TTTTCAGAGGTTAAGTTTTCCTTAAAGGGTTTCTTTAAATTAATTAAATACGGTTAAGGAAATTGTTATTTTGCAAGGGAAAAATTCATTTTAAAAATATTTAAAATAAATTGATTATTCTATCTATCTATCTATTTCGTATCCTTATCAAATTTATTTAAACTTCCTTTATTCTCAACAAATATCTCAAGTGTATTTCTAGGATTCTTCTCCAGAGCTGCCGCTCACTGATGATGATGATGACTCCGACTGGGATGTCCTTGGGCTACCAATGAATATGCAATACGAACAGGTTAAAATGCCGAACAACAACTCAAAGGATGGATAGCTGTTGCTACTGCTGTTGCTCCTGCGATAACCCACAAAAGGCGACCATCGACATCTGGTTGAAAAGTGCAAAGGAGCACAAAACGAGCTGCAGTATATACACAAACGTAATTGTAACAGTTTCAATCTCGTTTCGAGACGGCAAAACTTCATCGAACTTTGGAAGAGACACCCGCACAAACCATAAAACAAAAGGCGGTTCGCGGCAACAGCAGCAACATTGCACGTCAACAACATGCGGCGGGCGACGACAGCAACAGCAACTGCAGCAGCAACTTGTGCCCGTTGTCATTTGTACAATTCCCAGGCAGCAGCACATGCATATGAGAGCAAAGTTTTTTCTTTAATAAAATTAAATTTAATGCTGCCAAACGCTCGACGAACGGCGTCCGTTCAGTTTCATTTTTTGCAGTTTTTTCGGTGCTTTTATACTCTATAAAATGGGGAATGCATATGGATTGGAAAGAGGAGTTTGTAACGCAATGCAATGAACCCAATTTAAGAATATTTTTTTAAAGTGAGTTAAGTATATATTTTTAAAAATATTAATAATATTGTGCATGCAAGTTGTGCAACATCTAATTGTGTTAAATAACTATTTAAATATATCCTTAACAATACAGCTAGAGCATAAAAACTCCGGCTTATCAAAGTTAGCTTCTTTTATCGGTTTTTTTTTATTGTTTTTCTGTTTTTTTTGTTTCAGCAAATTGCATTTCAGACACCCAGCACAAGGATGACGACGCCAGCAACCGCAAATGCAAATGAGCTACAAATGCAATGCACATGCATAAAAAATGAAAACGGTTAAATTGCCGAGAGAAAGATGCAGATGCAGATGGATATGGAGATGGAGGAGGCCCCACAAAGTATCCATAAGTTGCGCTTGAACGACATTTCTGCCGGTCCTCACGAAACATCGTATGATTAAATATTGTAAATGCCAAAAGTTATGAAAGGCGCACCGAGACCCGACCCCAAGAAGTCGAAGCCTTTTGTGAGGCATTCAGACAATTCCGAATCCAGTTTTTGGGGGCTCTTGTCTACGCCCACAGCACAGAATCGCTGTGGAAAAGTGCAACGGCCACACCTTGGTGCCACAGTCCAAGTCACAGGGGCATCAGGTTGCCTATTTTGGCATGACTTCAGCCGAACGAACATAAATCCAGCAAGAAAAGGACAATATAGTCAGGGATTCCATTGTGTCTAGATGTAAAAATAGGGCCATATACATATGTGGAATATATTTGATATAAACTTTTGCGAAGAAATAAATAAATGAAAATACTTTTAGCATAACAACTATTATTAAGAAGAATACTAGGTTGAAATAAGGACATTTGTTACATTTACTTTAAAATTAATTAAGGGTTAATGTCACTTCCTAACTCTTTTTAATGCAATTTCATCTTTTATTTTGCAATGCAAAACATAACATAACGCCCGTTACTCATCTTATTGTTTGAATGTTTACAGAATATTTATAAAATCAGTATTATAATATTAAATACCCAGGTTTAAAGTCACTTCCTAACTCTTTTTAATACAATTTCATCTTGTATTTCGAAATGCAAAACATAATACATTGTCGTTACTCATCTTATTGTTATATTGTGTTTGATACAACTTGTTTTATGTCCAAAAATGTTATAATAATTTCCAATTTACACCCAAACAAAAATCGATTTACCCGCCTTAAAACGTGATCGACTTTCTAAAAATAACTCGGCGAATCTCTGGTCATGTCAGCTGTTTTTCTATGCATGAGGAAAAAACATTTTTTGTCGCAACTTAATTGACCGCAACACCTTGAAAATAACAGTGGTGTGTGATGCGTGGTGCAGGGGGCGGGGGGACTAAAAAAAAAGAGTGTGCATATTTTAAATATAACAAGTTTCGCTATGGAAATGCAAAAGTGGGAGATATATGGCCAGCGAGTCATGCCAAATATAAGCAACGAAAGACGGCTAAAAAAAAGTAATTGTAGCTAAATGTCAAATGCGACAATTGTTGCCATGGCTGCACTCGCTTGTTGCAGTTGCTGTTGTTGCTTTTCTCGGCGTTGGCGACTCTGGCAAAGTGAACGGTACAAGCTGAGCGAGCGGTCATGATGAGAAAGGAGCAAGGCGAGCGGTAGGCGGGAGGGCGGACAGGAACTTTGTGGGTTGGTCAATTGGTTCGTGGCAATGGTAACAGAGTGCCGCACTAAATGAGGCTTAGCTTTAAATGGAGACACTGGGAAAAATCAGCTTAAACCCGATTATAAAATAGAAATGTGTAACAAAATAATAGAAAACAAAAAATACATTAAAAACGTTTTTAAATAATTTTTAAAAAGTTTTGTTGGGATTTTAGAAGCCCATTAAGACCCTTGAATTCTCTTTGTTTTATACCACATTTTTACAGTGTACTTTACCTGCTGTGTCACTTGTATCTCTGGCGAAACTAAGGCTTGCATATCGTAGTAATTACTTGAGGGGATGCAATCTGCGAGCCGCACTAAATATGCTAATTATGCGTTAATAAGCGCTCCGGCTAACGGGGCGTATTGGTTATATATACTCAAACACCCAGCATTGTGGCTGTGTGTGAGATAATTTCTTGGTTCCTCGACTATTAGATTCGTTTGCTGTTTGCTGTCACCTCGAGTCGAGAGAATCGAGAATGGCGGTGACGCCAAGAATTATTGCGAAATTTTTGTGCTGCCAACAGCCTCGGGGCCGGTGGCTTTAATTATGAACAATCAGGCGCAACAGCGGCGGTAGTTGTTGGTCTTTGGGTTTTTGCTCCTTTTTCTGCATGTCAATCAAAAGAGCTCAAAGTCGTGATTTGATGATTTTCCTATGCCACAGCAAAATTTTGTTTGCCCGCCATTGTTGCTTGTTGTTGTCGTTGTCGTTGTCGTGGGTCAGGCCAGAGAAATCCATTTGTCAAGTAGAACAGCAACCTCAACTCAAGTCTCAGGTCTCAAGTCTGCCTGTCTGTCTGTCCGGCTGTCTGCGATTCTAAGCCCGCCTGTCCTTCAATAATCGTTGCCAAAAGGCAGTGACGGTGGCAAAAACAATGAATTATTGAAGCCAACAAATTGTGATTGGCGGAGAAAGAGAATTTTAATCAAAAGTGAGAGGCATGAAAATTTTGATTTGTGTGAGGGAATCGAGCGAATGATGAATTATTAAGTATTTAAGCCATGCAATTCAATGCAAGGGATTGTATTAATAAATGAGAAAAATAAGGGAAAATGACAGCAATAATAATACTAAGAATAATAACAGGGATATAATGAAAAGTTTTGTTTGTATTCTATATTTTCCATAATCAAAAAACTACAACTAAGATCTTAATTGGTCATTCAGTTTTTATAAAGACATTATATTCCCTCAAGTCATAAAAGCCTTGTTGAAAATTAGTATATAGCTCCTTGACTTTTGTTTTATTAAAACTAAAAAATTTAATATGCTGTTCAAGTTGTACGGCAATTATAATCCTCTATAGATATTATATTACCTATGATTTATGAGTCCTAAAAATAAGAATGATCGCTACAATTATTTCGAGAGCTGGCGCCAGTTGCTCCAAGTTGCCTCAACGACATCTGTGGCGATCTATAAGCCCGGCTTGTTTTATTACAACATCTCAACACATAAATTGAACAATGTCACGAAATAAATTTGTCTGGAGGAAGCCGAAACAAAGGCGAAACAGTTTCAGCTAACGTCTGTTAACGTTGGCTGATTTTTATTTATTTCGCTGACTTTTAGCAAGTTGCTAACTTTATTTATATATATGTTTTTTTTGTTTTGTTTTTTTTTACTGCTGCTCCCACACGCCCCCGCACCCCTCTCTCTCCCTCTGGGAGTCGTGGCTTCTTGGCTCTTTGACTTTGTTGCCGCTGCTGCTTTTTGGTTAATTTATGCAACGAACCAGTTTTGTTTGGTTTCCATGGCGTTCGCTCAGTGTCAGCAAAATCTTTGTATCACTTTGCACTCGAAAAAAGTTATTTGTACATTTTAGAAAGTACTTTTTAATTTACTTTAATTATTTTTTAAAAATTTAGAAAACCTAATGGAATGCCAAATATAAGCATGAGGTTTGGATACACATACAGATGTTCCGGATAAATCAAAAGTTGTTTTACGTATTATTATTATTATTTTTTTTTTTTTTAATAATTACAATCCATTTTGATATTGAAATATATATATGAAAAAATACAAAATTTGACAGCTTGAAAAATATAATAAAATAGAAAGCACATTCTCGTTTATTTCATACTGCTTTTACTTTTAACTTTAATTTAACTTCATTAACTTAATAAATATATATTAAAAATAAGAAATTTTGTTTTCTTAAATATTGCAAAATAAGGTATTTCTTCAAGTGTAATATATCGAATTAAATTTTTATTAAAACATTGGCATTTGAGCGTTTGCCTTTTGTTAATTGCATTTGCAATTTCTAATTAAGTTTGGTTGCCAAAAAAAAAACAAAACAAAAAATGGATAAAAATCGAAAGAGAGAAAAAACAAAAGCATCGCAGAAGCAAAAAACGATCATAAAGCTTCCAACTGGTTTGGGTCAGCCACTGGGCAGTCAGAGGTCTTTTTTCGAACGGATCTCTGGTGACTTTGTGACTTTGCCCGTGCTTTTGCCGTTAATTCCTAGCCACAGTTCAATGCAAACGAGAAGCGCCGCTAAAAGCCATTAAAACGAACCAGTTTTCAATGCAGAAAAGAAGTCTTATCAAGGTATATATTTATTTACACACGGCTATATACAATAAATCAATCAAATGGCTCCTAGTCCTGCCGCTGCTCCGCTGCCTGCCGCTTGGCCTCCTTTTTCAGCTTGGAGACGTTGTGGCGCAGTTTCCGCTTGAACAGCAGCTCCCGGTTCACCGCCTTCAGGTCGTCCATGCTGCATGTCTTCAGGTTCCGCACCGTCTTCGAGATGAGCTCGTCCGTGATCTCGATTTTCGTCCGGGAAAGTCGCAGCTGTCGTGCATTCCGCCTGGCCAGTTCGGAGCGATACAGGAACAGGTGGTAGGTGACAGTGGGCTTCACGTTCTCCATGGTGGGTAATTATTGTGCTTCGAAGTAATTCTACCAGAAATTTGCTGACCCGTGAAAGTCCTCCTTTCGCCTTGACTTCTCTCAGTCGAATGACATAACTTCCCTTTTCACTAGCTCTTCTTATATGTTTACGTGCTTCGCTTTCATTTACCTGTCTGTGCGGGGTTACCTGATATTTCACCCCAGGTCAGAACAGGTCAACGGAGGGTCCGCTCCTCTGTAAATATTTGTGCCAAAATATTTCATTACCTAATCCGGACTAATCCCCATTTTGGATCTTAAGCCTTGGCTCGGTTGACCAGCCATTATTATACTTGATGTCCGGGGAAAGGGTAACAGAACTAGGCCTAATTCCAGGGCTTCTCAATTGAGCAAGACAAATCATGTTCGCAATTGTGACAGAATATTCTGGAAGAGATTTCAGGACCTCTTGACCAGCTGACAAATATATATTTGCTAAGGCAGAACTGGGTTAATAAGAGCTTGTAGGAAAATAAATACAAAGGATCGGATTTTAATAGGTTTAATTAGAATTTAGAATCATCATACAATGCTGTAGATGCTGAATCTTAATATTATTTAAAAAATTAGGCACATGTTATGGATATAAATCAATCATATTTTCTTTAAATGCTGGTAATATTAAATTCCTTAACTTTTTCTTATAACTTTATTAAATTCTGAAATAGAAAACGTTTTTACTTTGACAACAATTACTACATAATTTCAAGTTATGTTAACATTTTCATATTTGTTCCACATTAAATCAATTTAAATTCTTTTAAAAAATAAACAAATGCTTATTTCTGGTACAACTTGACTACTGTTAGGCGTAAATTACTCTACAAACAACTCTAAAAATAGTTAACATGGTTAATATAAGGATTGTTAAGGTACATCATTGTAAGAATATATGTAAGTACTAAAGTTCATTGAGTTGGACAACCAAGAAGAATGTTTTCCAGACAGCTTTTCCCAGCGCAGCATTTCCCAGGCATTCTTTCCATTAGTTCCCAAGAACTTATATTTGCTCACGACATTTAACCCAAAAGAAACCTTTCTCTAAAAATATTTTCTAGAGAATTCTTGGGGGACTCTCAATGAACCGCCAGCAAAGACCTTTAGCGTACAATTCTATCCATTTCCAAGTAACTCGACGCCCATAGATTTCTGACTCAGCAACCGAGTGACATCAACGTAAAGTAAGACATGTGTCTTGTACAGTACAGTATGGAACACAAACTAATGCAGAATCATTAGCATAACTGCAGCGGAGAGAGACAAGAAGACTTTTTGCAACTTAACTACTTCCAGGTAATTCATTAAAAATGTGTCATAATGAAAGTAGATGGCCGGCTTCTGGTGTCCCTTCGCCCTCGGGTTCAGGTCCGGCAATGGCATAATCCTTTTATAATTGCACTTAGTAGCTGAAATGTAGCGAAAACAAAAGGATTTCCAAACCGGATTAAGAACTTTGGGAAAGACCACGCGCCGGATTAAGCAAATGCGCAGCATCAGCGTTTTACGACCCGAGGGCTTCATCCTCCCATCCTCATGAACTCATCCCACATCCCATACCCGTGGTCAACAGGTAGGTTGCGTAGGTGGCCGACTAGGCTTGGGATAAAGGTCAAAACAGAGGCCCAGGGGCTGGCTAAAAAGGCCATACGGGCCAGGAGCAGCAGCCATTTTGACCAACTGCTTGTGACAGCTCGCCGACAGCTTCCAATTCAACGCGCTCAATGAACCGGGCTTGAACCGACTTGGAAACGAACGGAATGGATTTAGAGTTGCACAGCAAATAAATCAGTAGCAACTTGATATTATCAGAATTTATAAAATGTTGATGAATTAATGCAAAATTTTACATATTTATAGTGAAAAAAAGCAATCGTTGCCTTGTACTTTGAAGGAAGGCCTTACTTTTCCCTTAAAATATAATCTTTTAGCACCTCTTTCTTTCCGTGTACAACTGCAACCTGAGTTGGGGCCAAATCTGTGCGTGTCGAGGCATATATTCCAGCGTAAAGTAGCCAGTAACCAGACGAGACAATCATAATGATTGCTGTATCATCGCATCAGCATCGTCATCATCAGCATCAGCATCAGTATCATCATCTTGCGCCTCACCTCTTGTGCCTTGAGGCTCTTCTTGCATTTAGCACCCAAATGGGCATTGAATCATAATTTATTTGGCCCAAGAATTACCATAAGAAAAATAAAAGCAACCTCGAACGCAACTTTCACTGGTCATTGTTATTGTTATTGCCATTACCATTATTATTATTCTCGTGGCTTAATGCAGCTCAATAAATTTTCCCTTAAAAGAATTCGTTGATAAGTCGCAGACAATGCAGAGGGAATTTTCACTTTCCTTTGGCACTTAAATGTATATGGGCCATAATTAAGTTGAAATTAACTTGATTCGGCGGCGGTGCGTTTTTAGATGCGGCAGGGGAGCCCCGAGTGTCAATTACGTTAAGTGAAATTACAATTACATGAAAAGCATTTTTAAAATCATCTAACCAACCCACATTAAATGGGTGTCAAGGGGGAGGGGTGGAGGCGGCACAAGGGGCAGCCAAGGTCACAGGATTGAACTTTTGCCCAGACATTCGTTCATAAATAAATATTTAACACGCAGTCCTTCGGTCGTGGGCTGAAACGCGAGGCAAAGAAAAGGAGGATGGACGAGTGCCACTTTGGGATTATATTTATCACTTCAAGGAAACTCATTAAATAAAAATGTTTTTCATTTGCCGAGAGTTGAGACAGAATTTATTAAGTTGCAGTTCGGGTTAATGGGGAAAAGTGTGCATGAGAAATGGCTCCAAGTTGGGCATAATTCTCAATATCTTGAAGCCAGGCGTAAAGCCATAAAATTAAAAATTCCTTACAAGTCTTAAGGCGATAATTCTGTAATGAATTATGATTATAATGAACTTGTACTTGAAGTTTACAGTATTCTTGAATTATTCGTTGGCTTATAAAAAACCTTTTTTAAATGTGAATAATACGAATACATTTTTTCAGACCTCTTAAATATTTTTTCGAGACTTTTCTAATTTCATTCACAAAAATTTCCACTGGCAAGTGACGGTGACTAGTTAATCTTTGGCTCTGCAAACCATTGAACACTCGTCCCGAGTAAATCCACAGACACTTAGTCACCGTCTAATCTCCGCCTTATGGCCATATTTAACCAGCAGCCAGCTTTGGGCGAAAGGTCAGGCCATAAACACTTTCCGCTTAAAGGAAACTCGTTGGGAATACCAAAAATAGGTACGTAAAGTAGCCCATGTAAGAGATGTCAAACATTTGGAAACTTTGCAAGGGATCTGATTCGAAGGGAAAAGAAACGGATGACGGATCTGGATTTACCGAAGCACTTCAGGTAATTACGCGACTCGCACAAGTCAGCAGGTCAGTCGGCGGGTCAACAGGTAGCTTAGCGCCCCAGATATAAATAATCCTGGTAAAGTACCACAGGACATCATTCACAGCTCAAGCTGCCAAGCAGTCACAGCAAGCACAGCTCGCGGAGTTGCAGATTTTCCGAATCCACGATATCTCACCATATCCATCCACAAACCGGACACATTCTTGTCAGCAATGGAAGGCCAGCAGCGCAACCACCGACGCGGAGCTCGTCCGAGCGTGGGCTACTTGCTCTTCCAGTATCAGAGCGAGCTGACCCGTCGCCACGCGGAGCCCACGCGCCTGTCCCGCACCAAGATCAACATCATTGACGGCCTGGTATCCCGCACCATCCGCCACCTGAAGCACTGCAGCGTGGAGGAGCTGCAAGCCTGCAAGCGGGGTCTCGTCTACAAGGAACAGCTCCGTGATCAACTTAAGGGAATGCGTCGCCGTCGCTCCTCCGCTGCCCCCAACACTAGTCAGAACAGTAGCTCCAAGACCTCCAAAACTGTGGCCGCCAAGGCTCCTAGCACTCCACCCAAACCCAAAACCTCCGAAGGTGGTCGTCCAAAGGTCTCCATCTTCGGACCAGAGATATTTGTCTGACTCAAAGTTACCACAAGACTTTTATGATTAACTTTTCTAGTTTAACACGTAGCCTGACATTAATTGTTGACGATTAAAAATCAAAGAACAAGATTGTATATTGTACATAAATAAACTATATGACTAAATAAATCATAAAAACAAAAATTGTTTATGTTTTAAATGGGACGTTTAAAATAGATTTATTACAGATTAGTTTGAACATTTAAATGAGGATATTAAATGTTTTTATTCCGGTGAAAAGTCTCCTTTGCTCTTTAGTGTGGATTGTTATAGAATTTATCAAGATATATTATTATATTATTCAGTCCTAAGAAAGTCTGAACTTTTCTTCAAAATCTATTTAAAACCAAATCGAATGTCTTTGTAGATTCTTATATAAATATTTTCAATGAAATACATTTTGTTAATCAATTTCAAATTGAGATCAAAAGCCTTGAATTGTTCCTCCTAATACCATTGATTTGAAACTAAGAACTGCATAAAACTAATTAATATTGAGGTGAACTAAAAATATATAAATATTCATATAAAACCAATTTATAATCAAAAGACCAAAAGTTTATTAAAATTCACACTCACGACCCTAATTACTCCATTTAAAAACTAAAGTTAAATATACAACTAAGACCTCTTTAAACTTCAAAACTTAAACCAAAGCGAACTGAAACAAAAACTCTTGCAATTACACAAAAATATCAATTGTCGGCGCTTTGTTGTAGGAGTGGAAATTCCTGTTCTGTAAGCCTGTTTTTGGCTTCGTTTTTTGGTTTGTTTTTTTGCGGCTAGCCAGGGCTAAAATGTGTGCCGCGAAATGCCAGGCCCGGGGTTCGAGACCCAAGAGTCAAGAGTTCCCACGAAGCGGTTGCGATCCAATGAAAATTGGCCACCACCACTCACCGATCTCTGATAGATGCGTCCGAGAGCCAAGCGTCTTGGCAGACAGGCCAAAAGAATGCGGTTTAAAGTTCAATCGTGCAGCAAGTGCTATTTGAGGGGAAAAACTGAAACAAGGAACATCGATCTGCAGCGTCGGGAAATCGTGAGCTGCGATGATCTAACCGTGGCTTTCTTCCACAGAAGTTATGAACCTGCTGCGATCGATATGCAAATCGTCAGCGGGAGAAATGTATACTAATGAATATATTAACCAAATCAAGTTCAGACCAAGTCGAGACCGAGTTCTGACGTTTTCACAATTCGCCTCATTAGCGGCGGAGAGCTCCCCGGAATGGGTTAATTCTTAGGGATTTTATGGGAGCCTCCCCCTGCCCTCCCCTTGTTTGGACTGCATCTGCTGACTTACCTTTAAGCGTTGAAATATTCCACTTGCTGTTCAAATTTGTTGCTTTCTATTTGCATATCGCTGGGAACAATAAATTATGAGCACAATGTTAACTGGTGAACAAATAGAAGAAGAACGCACACCGAGTGACGTTTTCTTTTTTCGAGCACTCTTTTCTTCGATATTTATTTCTTTCTCTGTGGCTTAATTTATATTCGAACACTTTGGAGTGAAATGCAGCTGCAGCTGCTTTAGTTTAGACACAAACACGTTTTCTTGTGGTAATTGCAGCAAAGCCCCCCCCCGAAAATAACGAGGAAAACGTAACGAAAACCGATCGAGAAATGCAACGCGGCGAAATGGAACGAAAAGCGAGTTAAAAGCTAAAAACCAAAGCCAAAATGCAAATGGTAACACGCACACGAAGGCACAGCAGTAAAACGCGCACACACACTGAGAGACACGGCAGGCCGCAAATTCGGGCCTGGGAAAACGTTCGTTCTTCGGCGAAGAAGAAGACGCTTTGCCCCGAAGATCGTGTCTATTTTTCCTGAAGAATCGCAGACGGATCGCGAGCGCGTTCCACGACTTTTCACGGCGAATGATCAAAAGTTTCTGCTTGGCGGACGGCAGCTTGGAGTTCGAAAAGCCCGACGCTTCGAGTTCGAAATTCGGTGAGAGCCGGGCTTAAGCTTGAGGCAGCTCTCGCGCGCTCTCTCTCTCTCTCTCTCTGTCGATCGCCGCCAGTTCGTTGCCTAAGTCTTTTGATTTTCCTCTGTTATATTTTTTTTTCGAGATCTTAGAATCCGTTGTTGATTTATTGTCCAGCAATAACTGTTTTTTGCATTGTGCGTTGAACTTGTTTCGGGAGAGAAGGAGGAAGAGAGAGAGAGAGAGAGATATTTATATAGAGAGTGAGACATGGCGTATGATCGATATTTATTAGGATGACACACTTCTGGCCAAAGATTTTGTGGGATTTTCGGAACTTTCGGGTGTTTAGATCTCTTAATCTCGCACTCTCCGCTTGGCTTTAACTTTCGCTGCTGCTCGCTCTCGTTGGCTTAAAGACTTTTACTCTCTAGATTGGTGTAATTATGTTTGGAGCTCTCACTGCCGCTGCTCTCGGATTTCGCTCTTAACTTTTCGCTCTGAATTCGCTCTGTTTACTCCAGAAATTACCACCTAGTGCTGGCCCGCTTACACGCACTGCGGCTTAATGCTATCTCACGTTTTTCTGTTTTTTTTTTATTTTCTATCCAACTTCGAATGACTTCTTAACGGTTCGCCACTTAATGCCTTGTTTTTGTACACGGCGGGAAATTTATGGTAATTTTTTATGGACAGGATGTAAGGGGTTCAAGTAATTAAATAAAGAGATATATAGTTAACATGTAGAAATAATGTCTAATATCCGAATATATTTATTGAGCCTTTTTCCCATTAATTTCCCATTAAAAACGATTAGATTTTAGCATTGCACAATTATGATTAATGGTGAGAAATTATAAATAAATAAATTCTAAATAATGATAGGGTAAAATTCTTTAGTCTATTCACCTATTTAGTTTATTTTAATTTTTATTTAAACAAAATCCTCTATAAGCAGCATCAGCAAGTTACTTTAGCAACAATAATCTAATTAAACTGAGTTTAAAAACTACAATTACTTTATGGGTTAAGTTACATATTTTTAAAACATAGTCATTCCGAATTTAAAAGCGTTAAAGAAAACTAACTGCGATATATCTTTAAGTTAAATAAAATATAAAAGCGTTTTATTTAAGAATCTACAATATGTTCTTTAATTCATCAAGCAAAATGTATTTATTAACCAGATTAAAAAAATTAAATTTAGTTTTTGTTTCTTTTCTTTTCATGGTAAAATGTGGTTTCCTTTAAATACTCTAAATTGAAAATATACTTTATTATTTATTTTTCACTCTGTAGTACTTAGTTTTTTGTCGTTAAGCTGGGCTCTCACAGAGGGACATCTCCCCGCATACCCCTTTTTAGGAATTGCAGCTGTTATTGTCATTTTGCTTTTATCAGCAGCTTCACCTCAACTTGGCTCAGTTCGGTTCAGTTTGGTTCAGCTCGGTTCGCTTGAGCGTAAATTTCCGTGGTTTCTCTGCGATTCTTTTGGATACCCAACCGCTCCTCCTTCTGCTTTATCAGCATTGTCATCGTCGTTCGCCTTATTGTTATTATTGTTGCTGCTCTCTGCTCTCCTCTTTTTGCTTTTTGCGACTTTGCGATTTTCTTTTAGCTAGTTTTCCCCGCCTTCCACGCTTGTAGGGCTGCTCGCGCGGCTATATCTGTTATATAGCTATATCGGTCGTTATATACATGTACATATATATTTGCAGCAGCCACCACTGAAACCGCAGCAGTCGGTCGCCGATATGATCTGATTTATTGTAGTTTCCCGACTTCTTGTTGTTGCAGTCGCCTGTTAAAATATTTATTTACAATTTTCACAATTGGCATTTCAGTTCAGCGAGCTTGTCTCTGATTGTTTGATTGCATTGTTGTTGCTGCTATTATTGTTATTGTCGGGACTGTAGCTCCAGACTTTTGCCCCACTTTTACTTATGCACATAAATAATTAGAGTGTTTATGTTGTAAACTGTGCCTGATAACAACATTTGCATCGTCGTTAGCCAAGTTGGCACCAAACTATGTTATGCATCAAGTTTTCAGAGGATTTATGTTGGCTTATTGACATTATAAGAAACGTTTTCTTTGATGTGTGTTAATTGGAAAAATAAGGAAGAATCTTGATATGATTTTAGAGAATTTTTTAAGATTAAAGGATTATTTTCGAATTTATTTTAGATAAAGTGCATTTTTTATCCCTAATTAGATTTATCATTAAATTAAATTAAGATAAAATCATAATAATATTAAATGTAATCAATTACTTGTTATTACATTTTTACAAACTTTAAAAGTTTTCCAAGAGGTTTTTTGATTTAGAACACAAGAAAATACCTTAATTAAGGATCTTAACTTTAAAAGTACATATTTCTATAATAATATATATATTTCCTAAGTATTTAAATATTATCAATTATATATATTTAATAAATAAATCAATTAAAAAGAGTGATCACTGTACACCACAGTGGCGCCTTCATCGAGTAGCGGAAATTTCCGAGACTGTCCTACCATGGATTTTTCGCAGCATACTTGCAGGCGGGTGTAAATATAAAGTTTATAATTGCGATCTCGCATGAGAGTTTTCTTTTTTAGGTTTTTCCTTGGGGGAAAATCAGTGCCAGTCGCTTTTTCGTTTGCCCTTGCCATCATTATTTTTTGTTGGTTCATTTCCAACCGCATGAGCTCTTAATTAGCCCGCAATGAGTTGTCGATACACCATTTGCGGGCTCATGAAACCGAATTTCGGTTTCAGTTACGATTTTTGCCCTACCAAAACCTGACATAACATTTTCAGCTTGTCTAAGTCTAATTACAGGCTCGTGTGCCTCCTGTAAAGTGTTCTTTTGGTTTGAGTTTTGCCTCTAATTGCATTTCCTGCGCTGCCAAAACAGTTTTGTGGACTCATCTAATGGCGAAAAATGTGCCGAGTTCGAGGCGCAAAAGGGTTGGAGTATCGAAGCCACCGAGACATGGGCAGATAATAAGCCGCTTGCCGGGGCTTCGTTAATTTGTGGGTGGCCCAAAACCGTCACAATTATCTGGCATGTGAGGAAAATTATAGGCGTTCGTTAATTGGCCGGAGGTGTTGGCCTGTTAACTGCCACAATTAAAATCAATGCCACAACGACCCAAATCCGCAAGGCAACCGAACTCATTGCGGTGCTGAAACCATTTTGTTTTTTCTTTAAGGGAAAGAGGGAAAAGAATAATCTAGTTTTCTGTCACAATTTGTAATTCCTTCTGTTTCCTTAAGAGAAGTATGTCAAACTAGTTTTCAAGATTTATCGAAGAAGGCCTTGCCAATCACATCGCCACCGCACCAGATCACATGTAGGACTTTGCTCAGTTCGAAACACACACTCATCCGGTTCGTCTCAGGCCAGTTTTTCCAACCGAATTAAAGCTTTCCATCCAGTAACATTGTTCTAGTTATAATGGCCCTCTTTTACGGCGTTGAGAAGCAGAAGACGGTACCCACGTACATGAAGTACCTGATGTGCGGGTCATCCGCCATGCTGGCCACGACCCTCACCCAGCCGCTTGACCTTGTCAAGACCCGCATGCAGTTGTCCGGCACTCTGGGAATTAAGGAGTACAAGACCTCCTGGGATGTCCTCTCGCGAGTATTCAAGAGCGAGGGCATGCTATCGTTGTACAACGGCCTCGGAGCTGGCTTGCTGCGACAGGCCACCTATACCACTGCCAAGATGGGGCTCTACCAGTTGGAAATGGACTGGTACCGCAGGAGCTACGACACCGATCCATCCCTGGTGGGTTGCATGGCCATGGGCATTATCGCTGGCGGCTTCGGCGCAATGTTCGGCAATCCGGCGGATGTGGCAATGGTCCGCATGATGGCCGACAACCGTCTGCCGTCGTCGGAGAGACGCAACTATAAGAACGTGGGTGATGCTTTTGTACGGATCGTGAAGGACGAGGGCGTGCTCACGCTCTGGCGCGGATGCCTGCCCACCGTAGGCCGTGCCATGGTTGTCAATATGGTCCAGCTGGCCTCGTATTCCCAGCTGAAGAAACAGTTCCGCGGTCATCTGGAGGAGGGCTGGACCCTGCAGTTTGGCGCCGGCATGGTGGCCGGTCTGCTGTCCACAGCGGCCTCCCTGCCACTGGACTTGGCCAAGACACGCATCCAGCAGATGCGGCTTATCGAGGGCAAGCCGGAGTACAGCGGCACCATCGACGTGCTGATGAAGGTGCTGAAAAACGAGGGATTCCTGGCCTTGTGGAAGGGGTTCACTCCGCAACTTTGCCGCACTGCTCCACACACCCTGCTCTCCTTTGTGTTCCTGGAGCAGATGAACAAGGCCTACACAAAGCACGTCATTGGAGAGTCCTCTTCAGACGATTCCGCCTAAGAAATTCAGGCTGCATCTTAGAAGAAGCCTTATTAGATTTTTCACGCGTAAATACCAGGTTTAAATTCTTTAAAATGTCAAAAAGTAAATGTTCTTATATACATTATGTACCAAATAAGTATGGTTTTCTTAAGGCCTCAGACTCTGAAAATATATTTTAGGGTACTTAAATTAACTTTTATAAATTCAGATAATTATATGAATGGTTTATCATAATATAAATGTCGTAAGTCATTTGAATACTTTGACAGCTCTGAAACAAAAACCACCAATCCAAAAAAAAACCGAGCAGGCCTGAGTGTACATTTATAATGTATGATGTAGGTTTACACAGTTTGCCTTCTTTTAACACTTGTAACTAATTCTATCCAAATACATAAATTTATAGAGTATTTCCCACCATGGCTCTTCTGCGTTCCAATGATACAAAGAATATTCCGTCGTATATGATGTACGTGAACGGCGGCCTGGCCGGGATGATGGCGACGTGCATCGTGCATCCGATGGACTTGGTCAAGGTCAGGATGCAGCTCGCTGTGGGGGAGTACAAGAGCTCGGTCGATTGCCTGACGCGGGTGGTGACGGCCGAAGGATTCGCCGCCCTGTACAGCGGTCTGACGGCGAGTCTGATGCGACAGGCGACATACACTACGGCTCGAATGGGGTTCTACCAGATGGAAGTGGAGAAGTACAAGAAGACGTACGCAGAAGCGCCAGCCGTCTGGGCCAGCATGGGCATGGGAATCCTGGCCGGGGTTGTTGGGGCCGTAATCGGAAATCCGGCGGACCTGGCGCTCATCCGCATGATGGCTGACAACAGTCTGCCGCCGGCGGAGAGGCGCAACTACAAGAACGTGGTCGATGCCTTCGTGCGGATCGTCGGGGAAGAGGGCGTACTGACTCTCTGGCGCGGATGCACGCCCACCGTAGGCCGAGCCATGGTCGTCAACATGGTTCAACTGGCGTCATATTCCCAACTAAAGGCAGCCTTTGCTCCGAATGTGCCAGAGGGTATCCCGCTTCACTTCTGCGCCGCCATGTGCTCCGGCCTACTGACCACAATTGCATCCATGCCCCTGGACATGGCCAATACCCGTATACAGCAGCAGAAGACCCTTGAATACAGTGGTACCATCGACGTCCTGGTAAAGGTGTACACACAGGGGGGTCTCCTGTCCTTGTGGAAAGGATTTACTCCATATCTGCTTCGCCTTGGTCCGCGCACAGTCTTCTCCTTCATCTTCCTGGAACAGCTGACAAGGGCCTACAAAAAGTATGTACTGGGCGACGACTCCGAGTCCTCCATCTGATCTTACTTTGGGACAAAAATTTTAGCTTGGAATCAAATTGACAAAAATAAAAAAATACAATGTGTTGGGAGTGCGAACTTCAAAAATAGTACTTTCTCTTTTAGCCTTGAATCAAACTGAACTTATATTAAGTCGATCTAATGAACAATTCACTAGATTCCTACAGTGTTACTAAGGTACTCGTACTTTACGTACCAAATAAGTGTGGTTTTTCTTAAGATCTAAGACTTAAAATATTGCTTAAATGAACTTCTAAAATGCAAAGGATTATTTGAATTATTTATCATTATATCAAGAAAGTCGTAAGCTTCTTCTCGCAACCAAATGGAAAACGAATTGTGAATACCTCAGCAGGCCTGAACGTACATACACTAGTCGTCATAATTATGTTGCCAACAAAATAGTTTAAAAGTTATGTTTTTATATAAAATTCAATTTAATAAGCTAACTTTAGCCGTTTCGCCATAACAAATTTTCGAAAAATTTTGCGCAGACTTAAACGTTTTCATAAACTAAGGACAATAGTTGGAGACCCCCAACGGCTTTCCTACAGAAAGAAAGACTAATTTTTAAGTCATTTATTTTGCAGCAAGATAATGAAACCCCCAGGGTTATCACTTGTTTAAAAGATGTGGGTGTGAACGTCTTGAACTGAAGACCAGACGCCTTTAAAAAGTTTTGAAATCCAATGGAGGGAACATCTTTCACTAATTAGATCGTTATTTATTTGTTTACTTTAGACTGATTTTTTAAAGTACTCTTTTCTAAGTTCCAATGCAGGAATACCAATTAAAAGTGTTTTAAGTTTACATTAGTAATTTGCAATAAATAAAAAATATTAAAAGAAAAATTCACTGCGATTATTTTGTCAAAATAATAGTGTGGACTAGTACGTATTATATTTTATTCACGTTCACACAGTTTGCCTTCTGTTAACACTTGTAACTTAATTCCAAATACATTTATTAAATTTATTAAATTATTTCCCACCATGGCTCTTCTGCGCCCCGTTGATAATAAGACAATTCCGTCTTACATGATGTATGTCAATGGCGGCCTGGCCGGGATGATGGCAACGTGCATTGTGCAACCGCTGGACTTGGTCAAGGTCAGGATGCAGCTCGCTGTGGGGGAGCACAAGAACACCGTCGATTGCTTTACGCGGGTGATAAAGGCCGAGGGATTCACGGCCCTGTACAGCGGCCTGACGGCAAGTCTGATGCGACAAGCGACATACACCACTGCTCGAATGGGGTTCTACCAGATGGAAGTGGAGAAGTACAAGAAGAGGTACGCCCAAGCGCCAACCGTCTGGGCCAGCATGGGCATGGGAATGATGGCCGGGGCTATTGGGGCCATAATCGGAAATCCGGCGGAGGTGGCGCTCATTCGCATGATGGCTGACAACCGTTTGCCGCCGGCAGAGAGGCGCAACTACAAGAACGTGGTCGATGCCTTCGTGCGGATCGTCGGGGAAGAGGGCGTACTCAATCTCTGGCGAGGCTGCACGCCCACCATAGGCCGAGCCATGATCGTCAACATGGTTCAACTGGCGTCGTATTCACAGCTTAAGGCAGCCTTTGCTCCGCATGTGCCCGATGGTATCCCGCTTCACATCTGCTCCGCCATGTGTTCCGGCCTGTTGACCACAATTACCTCCCTGCCCCTGGACATAGCCAAGACACGTATACAGGAGCAGAAGACCCTTAAATACAGTGGCACCATTGACGTCCTGGTTAAGGTGACCACGCAGGAGGGTCTCCTGTCCTTATGGAAGGGATTTACTCCATATCTGTGTCGCCTTGGTCCGCACACAGTCTTCTCCTTCATCTTCCTGGAGCAGCTGGCGAGGGCCTATAAAAAATTTGTACTGGGCGACGACTCCGGCTCATCTATCTGATACTTTGAAACAAACATTTTTGTTTTGAATCAAATAAATTTAAAAAATTACCATGAAACCATAAACTAAACTTATACTTAAGCCGAGTACTAGAGTGTTTCTAAGACACTGTTTAGTTTTTTAAACTGAAAGATAATTCTTTGAATACTTTTTCTCGCATGCGAGATGCGCTCCAGCGAACAAACAGCTGATCTGTGTTTTCGTGGGGCTTTCGCGGCGCTTATCAGTCGCCCGATCAGCCGGTGGGTCCAGTCTATATAATCGGTAATCGCGGCCAGCCAGTCGCGTTTCTACGTTGCGATCGAGCGGTTCGCCAGCGGTTCTGGTGGCGGTTGTAACTCGATCGGCGGTGGTGTGTGTGTGGGGCAGTGCAGCGGATCGGATCGAGACGGGATTCCTTAGTGATTTTTCTGGCAGGGAGCTGAGCAAAGCCAGCGGCGGCGGCGTCTCTCAATTGAAGCCACTTTAGGTCCGGGGGGGCCAAGGAAATCTCAAAATCTCTCACAGCTTACGGATGAATCAACCGAAACCGTCGAGTTTGTGCCGCGGAAGTGTTAATTTAGCGTCCAAATACGACTCGTAGAAGTGCCAAGTGCCGTCTTCCCATCTGAAAGTGGTCTTTGTGCGCGAGTATCTCGGATCGCATATATATAGCCCATAAATCGTGGCTGTCTGTCTGCCGAAAATAATAGAAATATGCAAATGAAATTATGTCCGAGATAGATACATAAATCGGTAATTAAGTGATAATTATTTCTGGTGTGAATTGGACCGAACGAAGGGACACACATTGACGAATCTCAGCGGTCGTTGTAAATTTACTGGAAAACAGGTGAGCTGAACGATAAGATTGTATCTCTTTCTCTGTGCATTTTATGGCCGACACTCCTTAAGATTGTGGTCTCTATCGCTGACGCCACCGACCGATCGATTGATTGATTGATTGATCGCTCAGGCTCTCGAGGAAATTTACGGGCATAAAGTCTGGGTAGCGATTGGGAAACCCTACGACTATTTTGAATTATGACCTCATAAATCTGAATATATATCTCGCCGTTTATCAGACAGACGTTCGCAGTAAACTGCAATTTCTCCCCTGCAAAATCAACTGATTTGACACTTCGATTACCACCGAGGGGAGAACGAGAGGACACACATTTAAGTGTCCAGGTAATTGGGGGGCTGTCAGGTGCGCGAAATCGGTTCAGTGGGTCGCGTGTAAATTATTTGGCATTTATCGTGCGCCATCGATAATCCTCTCGTGGATATCTACCCCAGATAAGCGAGATACTGACGCGCAAGGTTTCGCTCTAGTTTTATTTAATTATTCGTTGTTGACTCTTCTTAGGGCAATTAAAAGTTGTGTCTTGTTTGCTCAGAGTGGTAATTGCCAAAAGCCTCTTATCTGCCGGCTTGATTAAAGTTCGAGAATTGTCAAACGCAAATAAGCAGAGTATTTTTTTTTAATATTTGCCTATTTCACCGAGGCTACTGAAATATTCTCCCCGAAAAATAAATTAAATTAAATATATAATGTCATTTTCCCACCGTTTGAACTCTATTCGGCTTATAGCCACATTTTTGTCAGCTTTATGCCTCGTTTTTGTGGGAAATTCTGGCTAAACTGTCGGGGTTATTTGAACTAGAAATTCTAATTAGCTGTATGTTTGTCTGAATATATTAATTTGTAAACAAAATGAGTAAAAATCAACAATGGCCCGAACTAGTGAACGCTTCGTTTGGCATATTGTGTTTTTTGCGATTTGTTGTTTGTTGAAATTTTAATTGGAAATCAAGCGGCAGGAATCAAATTAAAATGCAATTCGCCCTTCCGAACGAAACCCAATAATGTAGTTAATGTTTGGCTAGAGCGATTAATGAGCGGACAATTGGTAGGGTAAACTTGTCAACACGGAAAAAAAAACACTGACGTTGTGACAATGCAAATATAGCATCAAAGAGTGAAAAATTAAATATCACAATAATCGAATTAAGTGGGGTGGATAATGTGGATTCATAAGAAGTCGAATAACAAAATACCCTTGACTTTGTATTTTTAGGGAAACTGTATTAATATTAATATTTAGTAACGAATTTAAATATTTTAAACTGATGTTTTTCTGCAAAAAAGGAAAATGAATAATAAATACATAAAACAAAGTTCATTAAGTCAAATTAAGTTACTTGAAAGCTTCTAAACAACTAAGTTTAATTAATATATAATTATTTAAAAATATATAAAATATACACCAATATTTCAAACCATAATTTGTGTAGAGTTTGGTAACTAATTAAACAAGAAGATTCGTTAAGCATGCTTTTATTCATACTATACTATACATTTATCCTAACAATTTTATTAAAATGTTTAAATAACTACAAACAATTATGTAAAAATCAAAATAAATATCTAAACAATTAATTTTGTTCCTAAAAGGACACATAGATGAATCTAAATAATATCTGAAAATTATTAACATTATTTTAAAATCTCTGCAACTCTTCTTAACATCAACTAATTTCCAATTGTCATGCCCTTCTGAATTTTAATGAAAACGAATTAACTGAAACTGATTAAATATAGATAACACAACATGTGCTCGATTTCAAGCTCAAATTAAGTGGAACTAATTGGTGTTTTCTGGCTGCAACTGCGAGTGTCTTGTCAAAGTGATTGTACTCGTTTCTACACTTCTCCGCTGATGTTTAGCAAATTGAAATGACAAAGTTTCAGACGGCCGGCACACTCTCGTGTTGAGGCTGTGCCAAGTCATTACCATATATACATATATGTATCTGTACCGTAGCCTATAACGGCAGACAAAACCGCACGTGATCACAAAAAAAACATACGCTCACAATTGCAATTTCCATAACTGGTTTAATAAGCTCGCTTGTCGTCGGCTTTTTGATCACATGACAACAGATGAAAGCCCTGTATTTTTTATAAACAGATTTGCCCATTTACATATATGTTTTTGAACATCAAATGCAATTAACTAATAAGCAAATTAATGAATGCTTCTGGCAAATTCACAGCAATAAAAAAGTCCATCTTAAAGTGAGCACGCAAAAGTCGGGGTCAAAGGTCAAACGGCAATTTTTTATATTTGACCGCACCGCAAATATCACATGTCATCGCTGGCTATAAAAGTGAAGCATAGCACATACATCATACATTTTGCAAATATGTGCAGAGAGAGAAACATTGGATTTACTTAAATTGGAATTTAAAAATATGAATACGATTTTTTAACAGCCTAAAATCATATATATTATATTATACATTTTGTTGTATATATTAAAAGCCTTAATTAATTGTATATAATATAGTTATTCATTTATTTTATTTAAGCTAATAGAAATAATTTTAGACTGTGAAAAAAATAAAGCATTTTTATCCATAACCCTTGGCCCTTGCCTCTCATAGAAGCCAGAAACTTTATTAAGAAACATTATTTTATCAAGTATATTTTGAGTATTTTATCTTTTTTATTTTTATCAGATTTTAAACTTTAACCTATTAACCAAAACATAAATCTTTCTAAATATCATGACTTATTTTAAACATAATTTACATCTTTTAGAGGTCTAGAAGTTATTAGATATCGTCCGAGTCCCCTTAAACCAAGGTTGATTTGCGTTGCCCATCTAATCGTCCACAAAAAAAACCTTTATTAAAAAAAATTTAATGTTCATTTAAGGATGTCTCACGTTACGATTTTATTTTTAAATTGGTTTCCCGTTTTTTTGCAAACTTAGAAAACAAAACTCCAATTTCTGACTAAAGATTATGTTATTTTGTTGGCTAAAAAATATAATACAATTAAATAATAAGAGAAATTAAACTTAAATTATCGTGAGTACCTTTAAAATTATTTACACCGACTTTTAAAAAGTAATTTTTTTAAAAGAGAGCTTTGTTTTTCTCACACATTTGAGCACCTCTTTTCAACTACACATATGGTAACTTCATTAATTTTAAAATTAAAAACCATGACCTTAAACTTATCGACAGGCATACAATTTTAAGAATACAAGAAATTCCCAATAAAACGAAAATTAAAAATTTGACTTGCATAAAAAAAACCCAAAATGCAGACCGTGAGAGACCTTTGAAGAGCATCGAACTCGTGTCAAAATTTGTGCTCGTCAGTGTATATGTATATTTGCCTCCCCTTGATGGGCAACAGATAAGCCGCGGCGCGACAACAAGACGGAATCGTAGCTGTCATCTGGTCGCATCTTGGGACACAATCAGTATCGTTGCCCAGATGCGTACACACTCGTGCATGGCCACAATTTGTCTCAACGGTCGCGAGAGTTGCAATTTTCGAATTAAGACAATTGCCCCGCGAATTACGGAGCCCGAGATGCCCCGGCTAGATTTGCGACCCAAAGCATCATCCGTCTCTGTTTCTCCGTTTCCTTTGCCGGGTGCAAAATCAATGCCAAAAGTAATGCAAATTTTTCGCCAAGCCAAAGAGCCTTCATTTTCTTCTTTTTGTTTTCTGTTGCCTTGTGGGACAGGCGGCTGCCAAAAATAAATTGAATTTTAAATGAACGCCGCAAACCTCAGCGAAAGTCATCAAATATTTAGATAACACTGGGGGGACGAAAGGCCCAAGGCTAGACACACAAGATATGAGAGGACATCAGACGGCAAGATGCTCTTAAAGAAATCTTATTTCCAGGTCAATAAATTGCTTGACACTGAAGCTATGGTAATTTGGCAATAAACAAGACTAGATAACATGATGCCAAATCAAATTACTTGGAGAAATATTAATTTTTATAATAAGGAAATGTAATACAAACATCTCTTCTTATATACTAAGTTATGAAGCATTAATTATATAAATTTATTTAATATAAAAATATATAAAACCCTTTTTAAAACCTTACAAAGTACCCATTTATAAGTGCAGAGTATCACCTTAAAGGCAAATCTGAAATATAAATCAGGAAAATCTTGTGCCCTGGCCTTTTGTCTTGCACCTCGAGTCAATTGCTAAGCAAACACACTCTTAAGCCAACATATATTGTCTACATTGTCTGCCGGCTAACGTCGCCTCAGATGTGCGGCAGATCGGCGGTAATTTTCCAATTGACGCCTATTACGGTTAATCGTAGCAGTGACCCAAGTCCGCACCAAACTTAAACTAATAATGTGCCCAGTTTAATGGCTAAGCCGCAACAAATCGCCCGGTCAATCCGTAGTCATCCCCCTTGACACACACCCCTCTTAAGCTTGGCACCCACTACAAAACCGCCACAAGACCGCACGACATCGTTGTCTTGTATGCCTGGACACCGCACTTCCCCCCAACTTGGCCACTCAACACTCCGCACCCCTGGGCAGGTACACTGGGAGAATGAATAATATTAGGAGCCTACTGTCAACACTATATTAAGCCATGAAATAAATATTAATTCTTAAAATTAAGAAATAGATTTCCCGAGAGATTTGAAATCGCTCAAATATGCTTTACTCATTTTTAACAGAATATTCTAAATATTCTATATTCTATTCTAAGATCTAAATTGAAATTGCTTGTAAGTGTTATAAATGTAAATGTAGTAAAAATGTCTGGAATTTGATTTAATTTTTAACTAAAAACCTTACTTAAGTTTTGAAATCCTTTTAAAAAGTGTCTAAAAGTATGCAATGTTATTTTAAAAGGTGCCAAAATCTGTTTTTTTTTTTTTGCACTATATTTAATAAGGCATACGGAGTGCCATTTACCCCTTTGTGACCTTAGTATCTAATCATTCTGCCCTAAATCGGGCGCGCCGGCTAACCTTATCTAACTTTTTGTATGATTTAAAGTGTTTCAACATAGTTTCTGGCATCTTTTTTAGAAGATTTGAAACCCATATTCAGTTTAGGATTTAATTTAAAGTGATTTACATTTTCAAGAGCTTTTTAATCGCTCATAAAATTATATAAAATTGTTAACCCTTTCGATAAGCATCTTCACCCTAAATAAGAAAACCCCCAAAAGCACCCACTTTTTCTCTCTGTGCACGGGTGTGTTGTTCCTGCTGCTTAGCACGCTAACTAACTAACTAGTTGCCGCCTAACTAGTCGCTGCCGGCGGCGTTGACGACGGCAGTTGCTTTAACATTTCGTCGCTGGAATTAGTCGCACCGCGTAGGTCGAGGCAAGTGGATTAAATGGCAACAGGATATATGTATGGAGGAATCGTGCCTCCGATGAAGTATTCATTATCCTGGACAAGCAATTAGCACGTCACCAGTGAAAGGGTCAATGCCGTGGCTCAAAGGCTTCGTGTGCTTTGCTTCTTATTGCGCATTGCTCATACGACGCGTAGGCCGGGTAGCATTTCGGAACCGTTTTCTCGTTTAATCAGAGCCCTTTTTCGGGGCATCCTTTCTGCGGATGCGGGTCCTTATCCGGATCTCGGTGTCGGCGCCTGTGTCGGTGTCCTGTGTCGGTGTCCAACGTCCGGTGTCCCGTTTGGCCGTGTCCAATTGTCTCTGATTTTCACGCAAATGTAATCCTCGACGGCTTGATTTCGATGTGTATCGTTTTTGGTTTGTTTTGGGTTCGCTTGGACGTTCGGTTTGTGTTTCGTGACTTGAGTAAAAGGCAAAAGTTGATTCATCTGCCGCAGGATACGGGCAAACAAACAAACAAACAAGCCAAGCTGGATGAGTTCACATGCGAGTCCAAGTCCGAGTGCGAGTGCGTCAGCAGAAAGTAAAATAAAATAGTGAAAAAATAAGGCACAATACGTATACGTAAATGTCGATGTGTAGCGCTGCAGCGGCACATCCTTGAAGCGAGCGAAACAAGCACTTTCGGTCACGCAAAACGCCGGCGCACTTTGACCTCATTTTGGGCTACGCTGGAGTGTGTGACCCTGTCACGCCCCCACAAGGATTGTGTGTTAGTGTGCTAACAAAAAATAAATAAACACACAGGAAGCAAATAAAATCAATAAGTTGGCATCATCGCTTAAACAGGATAGGCTGCAGATTGCATTTATGGTTTTTGTCCCGTCCATCGGCCGCTTTCGTTCGTTACCCACTTAAATTTGTATAAATTGCAAGTAATTAAGCCATTTTTGGCGAGTTAATAAAAATGGATAAATAAAAGCGCATTTAATTCAATAAGTGCGGATAGCAAAAGTGCCATTGAGTGGTGGAAAAAATATCTATACATATTCCCGTTTTTCGAGAAAATTAACATATATAAATTGAAATAATATTGGATAATGTGCTGGAGCTTCCCCTATTAGCATGCTCATTTTTAGCTAATAAAAATAATAATAAACTTGTCTGCGGAAGCGCATTTAAATACATATTATTGCCGCGTTCAAATTAAATATGAAAATAAAAAACCAGCCGATAATGGAATAACAAGTACGAGTTATACATATGTAAATGATGCTAATTAATTGGTGCCAACGAAAGGTTTTTGTTTTTTTAATCAATAAATTAAATTAAAGATTGAAATGTGAAGAAATTTATAATAAAATTCAATTTGTATTTAAAAGTGTTTAAGGGTTGAATGTGAAATTGTGATGTAAATAAAAGTGATTTATTCAGCGAGTGAAAAATAAGTTTTATAAGCTTTTTATTTATCTGCAGCCATCAATTTAAATATTTTACTCAATTTTATTTATTCATAATATCAGTAAATATTAAAGGAAAATGTATATATAAAGTGCCTAACGGAATAATTGTGTTTAAAGTAAATAAAATAACATAAATTAATAAGAAATAAACCACTTCTGAAAATATAAGTAAGAAAATCAAAGTAAATCAAGCTTTTTAAAAAGCCAAAAGTGCACAAAAAAGTGAAAAAATCTCTCAGTTAAATAAAACTAAAATCTAGAATTCATAAATAAATTTAAATAACAACAAACCTCAGTAATTTTGAAGCAAAAACTTTGCCTCACACCAGCCATTATTTGCCATGGGATATTTATGACATGCCGACGAGGTGAGCAGTAATTTATTGATGCACACTCGCACTTTTACACTAAATAGTTGGGTTACACTCAATTAAAATGCCGGGCACGCTCCACGGCCCATTAAATAGCGCTCAGAAATCAGAAATCATTTGCATAATTCTTTGGCGATTCACTCGCTGTCAAAACAAAGAAACAAACAAGTTGATTGGCCCAGCAAGTGCCAGCAAATTAAATAATAATTATTTATACAATGCACAAATAACAGGCAATTATAATGCATATGGACCAGGCCAGACGGAAATCCATTCGAACAATTCCGAAACTCAACTCGACTCAATGCAGCCAGGCGTACGAATTTTGTTGAATATTCCCAGTCATGTTACTTGAGTTCGTGGGTGTGTGTTGTGGGACATAAACTATTGCTAAATGCAAACATTTATAGTTTCATTAAATGGCTTAGTGTTTCGCTTCGGCGACGGACATCGGGCGACAGGCATTAAATCATTTTTAAAGTGCTTGCAAACAATTGAATTTGTTAGTGCGAAAATGCTCTCTCACATCTTGTATGCTTTTGACTTTGTTTGTACAGGGAGTAATGGCTAAAAGGAATGGTGTGATTCAGGGTTGAACCGTTTGATACCAGACAAAGGAATATATAGGGGGTCTAGAAATAATATGCTTTAAGATAGTTTTTAATAGGTAAATATATCTTATGCCTTAGCTTCCCTTTTTTCTTTTTATCAGTCTTAAGGACTAATATTTAAAAAAATAATTTTTATATAATTTTTTGAACCCTCTATTTATATTTTAAATATATTTTTTAAATAAGAATATAGTGTCTTATCCTATTTGCATACATTTTCTGACTGAGTTGTCCAGTAATTGTTATTGTCTCTTTTGTTATTAATATTAATTGGAAACTGTCTACTATGAAATTAGCATTTGCATTATAATGTTTAACAATTTGAGTTATGTTTCTCCTTGATTAAATGCATTCATTTAGTCATTTATAAGATTTTTTAATGAAATTATTCACTTTAAAGTGACAAATACTTTTTAAACGGTTTTAAATATTTAATTTTTTGAACAGAAAATCATATATAAACGAAACTATGCATATAGAAAATTAAGTATAATGAAAATTACTAAGAAGAGACATTATTTATAAATAAAAAACGGATTTTTTTCAATAATATTAGGTATTAAAATAGAAGGTATTATAACATGAAAATGGTTATGATCTTTCATAAGCGATTTTTGATTACTAAAACTTTATGTATTAAGTTAAACTCGAAATAGATAAAATATCCTAACTTTCCTAATTTTCTGTGTTACTTAACCAATCTCCACTGTAAAGTTCAGTCACATAAAGGCGCCTAGTGAAGCAGGACGCAACGGCTAAATGCCTGCAGCATTCGCTTCGACTCTTGTCCTTGTTCACCCTCCCCCTCTCCCCCCATCTCTCCGTCTCTAGTATCCTTTCGCATGTCCTTTGTCTTCCCGGTACCCGCCTTGGTCCTGAAAATGTTCAGACGCCTCCCACGCAGTTAGCAGCGCTCACTCATGCATCCTGACTTGTTTTATACCCACACACACACAGGGTTCTTGGAGGATACATGTATCCTCACACGACCGTGACGCCATCACTGCTAACAGCATCAAAGACTAAAAACAACAATGGCCTTTGCCATTGTCGTCGTCACTTAATATACAAATTTCAGTAAATATTTTTCACACACACACACACACTACACATGCTAGGTCGTGGCACAAGGAGTGCAATTTCCGCGAACTGCATTCGCTCCCAACTGAACTGTCATGGCACGATTTTCCCTACCTCCTCCCGCATGCTTGCTCTCCAGTCATTTTCCTCCATTTTCCATGCCGAGTTCCTTGGGCAACAATTCGTTCAATTTCATGCAATCAAGTTATTTTAATTCATTACCCTTACGCGACCAACACTTGCGAGACATGCACACACAACAAACATAACACACACACACACACACAGACACTCACCCGTGGAAACTTTTACACCCTGACGACACTACATATATGCCGTCTTCTCCTCCGACTCGAACACCCTGAAAACCCATTGAACCCCGCCATTGTCCCACAAGTGCATGTGCATTTTGCCTTGCGACACTTGACATTTACATACACCAACGTTTTGATCACTGCAAAAAAATAAAGGTGAACTTAAATATTTATAAAAAATTAATAAAGAAAGGTGTACAATATAACAAATAGTGATTTGAATGGTTACCATTTACACAAGTAAAATATAAAATTTAAAAAATTTAAAATAACAACATGGGAAAAACACTTAAAATCTTTACTAATTATTAATTTGTAGGATTTTTTTTAATATCTTAATTTATATAAATCGCGACTTACACAGACAATATGTCACAAGCCATTATATTAATGTTTAATGAATCGATTTTTCAAAAAAGAATTTAAAATATATTGATTAAAATCGATTTAAATTTAAAATTAAAATAATTGAAAATATATGTTTATTCATCAAAGATTTTTACTTCTGGTAATCATATCATTCTATCGATCAATATTTGTGTTTAAATAATAACTTTTGTGTCCTTCACTTTAATTGGAAATTAAATTTATATAATTTAAAAATATTTTTCGTTTAATTTAGTAGAGGAGCTATTGGGATTCCTAATTCCAAACTGCTGATTCCGAAAATAGTACAAATTAATTTAAATATTATAAAATGTTTAGCTGTGTACTTAACTTTTCCTCCCATTTACAAGACCGTTTAACTTGTTCGATTAAATCGATTATAAAAATGTATATTAACATATCGATTATTTGAAAATATTAGATTTTATCGGTAATAGAATCGATTTTATTTCGAGCTCTGGCATGAGCTATACGTATAAGAAACTTTTTCGATTCGAATATAGAAATTTTAAATTTTACATTTCATTTTTTTAAACAAGTTTACCTTAAATAATAATTTAAATATATTAAAATAAATATTGTAAAAATACACGTTACTCTCAGAAATTTTCTAGTTTTTAAGCCAAACTAATATAACAAAAATAAATGTAAAATCTAAACCAAATATATATTTTAAAACTTCATCTTAATTGATGATAAATATAATAATAATAGAACTATTTGTTAGCTTCAGATAAATAAATAAATAATAATCTTCATCTTCTGATTTCCCCCAGTGCATTTGGCTTTTTGCATGTGTTTATATTACACACACCACGGAATATAGGGACTCACGCACGACTATCAAAATGTCAGACATCTGTCATTTAATTTAATTTGACTTCACTTTGCTTTCATTTGCCCTTCCCTCCTTTTTGCGCCTTGCCTTCTTCGCTTTCTTCTTTTTTCTTCTTCGCGCTTTCTTTTCCCTTTCCACCCTATTGCGATATATATATCTATATAGCAACAGCTATATAGCGCGCGAGGCGTCGACGTTGAGCACAAAACGTGTAATTTAGCGGGTGGCGTTGGGTGGCTTGTTGGAAGGGGGTTAGTGGGTGGGTGTGATTCCCTTAGGCGGCTGTTATTACTTAGTTTTTCCCCTCTTGTTGTTGTTGTTGTACTAGTAGTTGTTCCTCCAGCTGTTGTTGTTGCTTTCGTAGCTATTGTTGCAATTGTTGTTGCTGCAACGTACGCGAGCTCAATTTAAATCGCTCTGCGTTTGCTGTGAAAGCGGTAAAAAGCGAGGAAATTGAGAAAAAGTTGGCGGAAAGTGCATCGATCAATGAATACCCTTAATGGGCATAGTACAAAAAAATGGAAAGTTTATAAATGGAAAGCTATTTGGCAAGGATATATGGCCACAAGTTCAAGTGAATGATTGAATTAATAAAATGCAACTGGGAGTTTATCGTTAACTTTATAAATCGATTTATATAGTAGCGGAAAAATAAGGTAATTACGGATTTAACAATTGGCTTTAGCAATGAGATGAATTCAGAATTTTGTGGAAAAAGTTCAAACAATACTTACCACTTTATAAAGAAATATTATTTTAATAGAAAAAAATTATATTTTAGATATTGAGTGGGACAATATTGTTCAAAATTGTATCCATAAACTTAAAAATAATACGTAATATTATTTACGAACTGGCTCCTTTGTAATTCGTTTCCGAATGTATAATTAAATATTATAAGAATATTAAAAAACAAAATTATAAAAAATTATAGACAGGACCATTGATACAAAGTCATGTAATATTTAGGGAAAACCCCATTTCCCATAATTACTTTTCATTTCAAAAGTCTTCCCTCAACTTTAGTCCCTTCGCACATATACCCCAAGTGTTCCCAGAGTATTACCAAAGACAACTTGACTAGATTTGCATAGGAAATTTTATTTCTTTGAACCAAACTAAACAAAGTTAGACTAAGGAAAGACACATCATTAACGCTAAACTAAAACTAATTAAAGTAGTAACCCCGAGGAGATTATCTATCTATGTCTAAGCACCGCTTTTCCTGTTGCTTGGCAATGGCCTTCAGCTGCTTGTTGCGATGCTTGAGCTTCTGCTGGAGCTGACGCTTGAATTGCTGCTCCCGACTAAGGATCTGCAGATCCTCGGGACTGCAGGAGGACAGTCGCTGCTTCTGCTCGGCGATCAGCTCCTTGGTCAGCTGGATCTTGGTCTTGGACACTTGGGTGTAGAGCATCTGGCGGCGACGCAGCTCCTGGCGATGCAAAAACAGAGCGTAGGGGACGGATGCTTCCATTTCGACGGCTTGTTGCTAAATGTGTGCCAGGATCGAGGTGAGCCGGCTTTTTAAAGGACCTCCGCAGGCCAAATGTGTTATGCAGGTCCGGTCTTGTTTATCTGTTTTTTGCCTGTCCTTCGGGTCCTGCGGCGATTTTTCGCGGCCAATCCTTTGGGGTGCCTTTAGGTTCGTACCTGCGTTCCCACGCAGCAGGTAACCGGCAGGTCCTCTTCCTTCACGGATCCGTGTCCGGTACATTAATGCACTTTAGGCCAAAATCCTTCGCATATGGCCGGCGGGATTTACCCAGCGGACCTCAGAAAAGTTGGGTAAACTTTTGCGCTTGCCTGCGTCCTGTGAAAGGAAATTGTTACCAGAAAATGGAACAGATTTTCGAGGCGAAGGGTGTGGCCTGGTAGCCGTTGGTGACACATCCACAGCAAACTTCTTGGTCATGCAGCCACGCTGCCCAAAATCCAATGCAATTTTTGGGCCATCCATCTACGGACAGCCCACACGCCCCATGGACCCACTCAACGACAGGATGGCACGCACGTCCTGGACAGCCTGGCATATGCATCAATAATTTTCCACAGCCCAGACACTGCACTGGGAGAAAATTTAAAGGAATAATAGGTTAAAGTTTAAAGAATGCAATGATTTTTAAAGTAAAAAACAGATAGACTTTGGAATTATTAAAATATAATTTGTTTCTAAAGAAGCAGGTTCTTTTCAATTCAGGTTTTTCATATTGTTTATGGACATGTACATGGTTAATACCTTGGAAAATTATTATTCTTAGTAGTACAATTAATAATAATTAAGAAAATAATAATAAAATCCTTATGAAACCTAATTCCACTCTTTTTTGATGGTAATTCTGATCCCAGATCTTTTTTTCCAGTGTTAATTGTAACCTATAGACCCTTACCCCGACATGACCCGGATCCGGGTCTAATGCCGCACCAACACTTTGAGGTTTATTAATTCGCATGAACTCCGTCCGGCTGTTCAACCCGGCGCTCATTTTTCATGCTGCTGCCGGGCAACGAAAGCCACAATTAAAAATTGCTTATGAACGGAAATGGTAGACAAAAAAGAAGGCCAGACCTGCCTCCCGCCGCCCGGAAAGTCTAAGCCATGAGCTGAGCCATGTGAAGCTCTCAAAGTTTTTCCCGGCGGAACAGGAGGGTAGAGGGTGCTGTGAAAAACTTAATTTCCTATTTCCTTTCAGTTTCCGGCGGGCTTCCACCTCGACTTCCTCATCCACTTGCACTGCCATCTCCTTGGCATTTAGTGTAAACTGTGTGCGCATCATTATTTTGAAATTTTTGACACTTTTTTCGCTTGATGGTGATAAGCTACTTGTAAATCAACCCAAGCTCTAGCTCCTCCTCTATGTGTGTGTCACATTTCCGGCGGAAGTGTAAGCAGAAAAGTTCGTTCGTTCTTGGTTTCGTTCCCGCTAAATGGCATCAAGAAATGCAGCATCCTCACTTCATTCTCAGCGAAGGCAGCCAAGGCGACATTGACTGATGATGATGAGCACGATGATGTAAATGGGATTTTAGTGCCGTACATGACAATAGTAAACTTCTGGGATCATAAGCTGTGATGGCTCTGTTCCATGTGGATTTTCTCTGTGTGTTTTCTGCCCTCGTGAGACATGCAAGTAAATTGCCTTACTCAATTTATTGTGCAATTATATGGGGGAAACTAATGAACAAAGCGGGGCAAGATGTCTGGGAATAGGATGTACTGCAATTAAGGGAGATTTAGCTTTGAAATCTATTTAAGTTATTTAATTTAACAGAAATAAATACAAATATTTTTAACTAAGTTATTTTCCCCTTTTTCAGTCTCCCACCAAAGTCAGGCCTTCGCCTGCTCTCCGTCCCTGACATGGCCTGGCCAGTACTCCTGGTGCTCATCCACCTCAGCGGCACTATCTCAGCCCTCAGCCTGCCCAACATGACCTCAGCGGATGCCGCTGCCGGCGGTGGCTCCAATTCGCCTGTACTGCTGGCAGGAAATCCCAGCGTTCTGGGTCCCAGCAACCTTAGCAATCTGAGCATGGGAGGTGGACTGGGACCTGGCAGCAATGTCGGTGGTCAAGCCCAGCCGGAATCGAGTGGAGGTGTCTCCCTGGGCGGATCACCGGTTAGTGGGAGTAGCGGCAGCGGCGGAAGCAGTCCCAGCAGCGGCAGTGGCATCAGTGGCAGCGGCAATAACTCCGCCTTGACGCAGGCCGGAAAGGATAAGCAGTATGACAAGTGCTCGGGTCCCGGGGATCCTGGTCCTTGCAAGCAATACATTTACAAGTGGCGCTACGAGCCGACCACCAACGAATGCACCAACTTTATTTGGGGAGGATGCGATGGCAATCCACAGAACAGGTTTAGCACCGAGGCGGAGTGCCTGTTCCATTGCATCGGGGGACCACGTAAGGATAATTTCTTTTTACTTTATTTATGAAAGAGAGGGGATTGAACTAGAAATAAAGCCAAGTCTGACCTTAAGATTAAGTGAATTAATTAATGAAATTTTGAGTCTCTAAAACAAGTTAAAGAAAAGGAATTTGTATAGGCCTCGATAGTAGTTTTCCGGCTTTAAAGAGCCTTTGTTCTTATTTATATTTGTATATGGAAACATATTTCCTCAAATTTGAGAATATTTCCATATATTTCCCAACAGCAAATCATATCTTTCCCTTAACGTACAATTTATTGTGAGATTCTTAGGTCACCTCTGTAATAATCCAAATTGACGTCAATTCTCTGTTGCAGACACTCTGCCCCCATTCCTGCAGTCCACCACCCGCGAGCCCAGCACCACGGAGAGTTCCCTGCTCCTTGGTTCACCGTACACCCAGAGTCCGGCCCAATCGGCGGACGGAATGGGCGGAATTGAGGGCGGAGACGGAACAACACCGGTGCCCATTGAGCAGCGCGGACCCGAGCTCACCTTCGCGGAGACGGGCCAGGAAAAAACTTTCATTTTCGCGAAGAACAACACGTTCATCCAAATGGACGGCGACATCATACAGACATTTCAATTAAGGTGAGTGCCGGAGAGGGCCAAGGGGAGTCGGCTTATGACCACCTGGCAGGTGGCAGCCTCAGGTCCTTCAGGTCGTCAGGTCTTTAGAACCTTTGCATGCCACACTTCAACTGGCCGCGCTCTGCAGTGCCGTGTCATTTAGCGGATTGTTAGCCTTTTGGCTTAAAAGTGCCTGATTTTCTTAACCCTAGAAAGGACATAAGAAAGATTTAAAGAAGGATTGTATGGAAATGTATATAAATATTTAAATAATAAATTCGAAACGTTTAAATATATAGCTTTAGTCCCATAAAAACAATTTCAATTCAATTTCTACTTCACATTTAAATCCAAAAATAAATTGTGGCATGTTAAAAGAGTTATAAAATATTCATTGACTTGATAGTCAGTAAAAAGGTTTCCATGTTCACCTATTGCGTGATTTCCGATTCACCAACCTTCACCAATACCAATTATAAAGTCTCTGGCGAATTTTTGTAATAGAGACCAATTAAATCTGGCATTTAAATGGCACCGTCAGATGCGAAAAAATCGATCTGACAGCGAAGGTCGAAAAAATTGTAACATTTTTGTTTTGGTTTCTGTTTATGACACAAGACCCAAGGGGTTAATAGTAAGAGCAATTAGCTTAACTGACATTTGCCTGCACCGCTTGGAAAATTGATTTCTCCTCAAGAAGTTTCTGACGGGCCCTGCCGTCTAATCGTTAACATAGTTTACAAAAAAGGACAGAAATCCAAAGAAAATCCGGGTCAGAGGTTAATTTTCTGCCCAATTGCGAACAAGTTGTGACATTTAAATGGCCCAAAAGCCCGACTTCTTTTGGCTGGCCAAGTTTAAAATTCAATTAGGACAGAGACATTTGACATTTGCATTTTAAATTAAGATAAAAAATATTATTTAAATGTGCACATGTTGGGCAAACATGTAGACAGTCAGGCAAATAAAATTAAACATAACTTTGCCAAATAGATCTTGCACTTGCCATCGTTGTTTTCAACCCTTTTGCTGCCGGCCAGTGGCTAGCTGCTCCTTGGCCAACTTGGCAATTTGTGCTGTAGTTTTAATTGTAACTCATGTGGCTGCCGACAGCAGGAGCAACGAGGCAATGAGAACAACAGCAGCGGCAACAGCAGTCAAGAGCAAAGTACAAATAAATTTAAAACTCTGTCAGCCAGACCAGGTCCTGGGCCTGCCTCCGTTTCTCACTCACACATATGCTAATGAGTGCTGAGAACTTGGCTATATCTTTTCTGACAAAATTAGTTAATTGAAATGATTGAAGAAAAAATATAGTAAATTTTAAAGGGCATATTTGAATGTGTAATCAAAATTTCTTTTTATTTTACGGGGCTCCGAATCGTAAGGGGTTTTTTAAGATTCTTAACAATCTAATTTTCACCAATTATAAAAAAAAGGGATATTATTTTATACATAATAAAATAACATAAGTCCAGCTTAGGGAAAATTCTGATTTGATTTAAATAATATATATTCTATCCAAAAGAACTCCAAAATAAATACTACAGCTTAAAATTTAAATCCAGATTTATTTAAGAGTGCACTAGAGGGAACTGAAGGCCTTATTTAAATATTGGTTTTTAGGATTACCTTTATATCAACTACCTTAAATAATCCCAGAAGCCCTTTTAGCTTTTTAAAACAAACCTCGAACACCTCTAGTCTTAATGCCTGGGTCCATTCAACATCTTTCTGTTTTTGCAGACTTTGCCGTGAGATTTCATTTCAATTCCGCACCCGCCTGCCGCACGGCCTGCTCGTCTATCACAACGTTAAGAATCCGGATCGCATTAATTTGGACCCCTATGCACTCTACGTGATTGTGGAGAAGGGCCAGCTGAAGGTGGTCCATGTCTTTGGCAAGCATTCAACGAGTGTCACTGTGGGCGAGAGTCTGAATCGAGACGAATGGCACAGTGTTATGGTGAGTGAGCCCCTTAAAAACGGGGTCAAGTCTGCCCTAAAGGAGATGCCATCCTGTGGGGGCTATGAGGCTACCAGGTCAGCTCAGGAGCCCAAATTAGTGGCAAACATCTTGTGGGAAAGTCGACTTATGTTGAGAGTTTAGAGTTAATTAATGTTTCCTATAAGATGTTAAAGAATATATAAGTTAGATATGAATTTTACTTAAAAGAAACACCCTTTCCAAGGGTTCCAGGGTACCTGAAATTCGTTTAACCCACCACTGTTGGCCAACATTAGCATGGCCGTGCGTTCAGCAAGCAATTAGCAAGATTGCAATGCGGAATGTGTGCTGCCTGCCTGGCTGCCTGCCGGTGCATGTGTGCAAAACGCTTTATCAAACTTTTATAACAAAGCGAGCAAGTTGATTTATGTGCGTTCAACTTTGTTAACTCACCTCGGACATGGGTCTGGTGGTTGGTTGTTCCTGCTCCTGGGATGTTACCGGAATATAGCTGGTGTATTGCTGTTACAATTGCAACTGCTTTTCCACGCATGTAGCTAACCGCAATCCCTCAAGCATCGTCAGCATCATCATCATCAATAACAGTGGCAGGAACAACCGAAAAGCAGGAGCACCAACTGAACCCAGCATCCCAGTTTAGTTCGTGTTTTCATATTTAAAACAAGCAGATCCCTTACTAATCACACTACCATACAAAAACTAGCAAAAACACATAGAAAAAAAATTGCAGATATTATTAACAGGATTTTAAAAATATTTTAAAAGTCCAAATTACATTTTTTACATTACAATTCCTTATAAAACATTTTACCAATTTTAACTAATTTGATCATAGTATATTTTTCAAAGTTTAACCAAATGATTTTAGGTTGTAATAAAAATAAAATCAAATAAGTAGAAGGGACTTCAAAGACTGAAGAGATTTAAAACCATTTAAACAAGCCTAAAAGTATGCTGCAGAAATCTAAGAAAATCTATCTAACAAATATCATAGAATACTTTTTGACATTCAAAAAAATGTTAAAAGCTATTTTAACTCAATGTGAAACCGATTAATTATTATTGTACTTTATTTTCCGTGCACTTCGCACACACTGAAACAGACACATGCAGGCACTCATAAATAACACGCAAATTCCTAATGAATTTCAGCTGATCCCAGCTATATGCGCACAGCAGTTGCAATTCATTTTCGTAGATTTTTACCCATGCAACGGCAGCAGTAGCAGCAACAACAATTTATCGCTAGCCGCTTTGCAAAAACTTGCAACTTCAACTCGGGGCCAAAACGCATAAATTCATAAATTTTTATCATTTGTCTGTGTGTGCGAATGCCACGCTCTCCCTCGCCCCACGCCAGCTTCCCTCTTTATGGCAGCTAGCTGGTTTATTGGTTTTGTGCACCTCACCGATCCCTCGCTGTCTGTTTTGCACAGGTGCGCATCGATGTCCATGGCGCAAGATTAATTGCACGCGTCGACAATAGTCAGGAGGAGGTCTATCTGAAGGGACTGAATCACGAGTACAACTACGGCGTCTCCACGAACCTGCCGTCGGTGGTCCTGGTCGGAGGTGAGTGCCCAAATCAATTGTGTGAGTGTGTCCAAATCCATCCCCATCTCCTTCCCATACCCATTCCGATCCGCAATCAATCATATTAAAGGCAGCGAGCGCCCAAATGTATCCCATGATTTTCCTACGCGAAATTCACACATAAACCAGCGCATCAGCGTCGAGCATAGAAAGTTTAGTACACGCTTACGTGTATATGTATATAAAACGTAGTATATATAGAGCTGGCGAAAAATCTGAAAATGTGCAACTGAAAATTGAAAATCGAATTTGCAGTTGGCGGTGACTTCAACCAAACAAACACACAGATCACACAGTAAACATTTTGTATAGACCCTTCTCTTTTGAAAATATGTTTTACACAAAAGTTGCTTTACCTTTATTTTAAATCAAATTAAAAGTACCTAAAAGTATGCTATGATATGTTTGAGCTACCAATTTCGATGCAAATGTTGTAGCATACTTTTGGACAGCTTCTCTAACGAATTGTAACCCACATTAATTCTTTGGTAGTAATGAGAAATATTAATAGTAATGTCATGAAATTACGATAAATGAAATGGATTAGGTATTTAAAATTTACATATTTATGATAGTATTATAAATTTGTAAAGATTGTAATTTTTGTTTCGTGTAGCTGCTCAGAATTTATAGAGAACAAACTCAAAATTGAACTTGCTCATTTCCCATTGAATCGGGGGGACTTTGTAAAGTGTTCGTATATGTATGACTTTGAAAGCTGCCTTTGTGCGTTATTTTGAAAATTTAATTATTTCACGTTGCGAATGGCAAAGCCCATGGAAAAAGAGGTTTTGCGAGCTGGCGGCCGACAGAATGGGCCATTGATTGCACTCTGATGATGATGATGATGATGTTGGTCTAGTTTTTCCAAGCCAAACCCCACCCGTCGAGAATTTTCAGATTGAATGAAGATAGGAAAATAAAGTATATATTTTTTTCGTCTTTGCAAAATGATTTTGTTGTGGTTTTCCTTTTGAGAAAGATAACCCCAAGAGACTGGTCCACAATTGATGATAAAAGTGAAATGAAAAGCGTGCAATCGATAAACTTTAAAAGTGTTTTATGCTGGAGTTTTATGGAATTGTTTTTATTCTCCAAATTGATGCATAAATAAGTAATTTTTCACATGATATTTCCATTTGGCCAAATGGCAGAGTGAACGGAAAACTAAATAATGCATTTTATTAAATGTTACTGTGGCTGAAAAAGTTATCTATTGATGTTTGGCATCGAAAAAATCAAAAGTAAATCTGTAAATAGATATATGAAAGCACTTATTTTGAATATTAATCAACAAATTGTTTGGTAAACAGTTTGCTTGTGTAAATAATGTGTGTGTCTTTGCTATTAAATAGTTTTCTTTGAAAAAAAAAAATGTGTTGTAAATATAAATAACGTTATGCTCTCAAAGAACATTATTTACTATTTTTTCTCTATAAAAATAGTAGTCAAACAATGCAGCCAAAGCTTTTTTATATCCATAAATAATTGGAGAAGAGCCTCTCAGCTTGTATTTACTTATTTGGACCGCCCTTCTCGCTGATCCCAAAAACTGAGTGGAAACAACTTTTTTAATTAAGCAATATTTAAATCTCTAGCAGCAGCGTCCAAAAATCCCATCAAAACTTTCAACTGCAAACAACGAAATTATGTTATGGCCTGGCCACTGCACAGCACCACATCGCACCCACTACCCACAATCCTGCACAGATATAGCCAAAATCCATTTGCAAATATTCAGCATGTTAATTAATCTGTGGTATCCCCGGCAAAACCAAACAACTGACCATTTGCAATTTCGCAGGCCTTTCCTCGGAGGAGAAGCTGCACGGTGTGAAATACATCACCGAGTCCTTTGTGGGCTGCATACGAAACGTGGTCCTCAGCTCCGGCAAGGCCGCCTCCGACCTGCTGCCCATCGCTCCCCTGGTGGCCACCAAGCACGAGAACGTCAACGAGGGCTGCTCCGACATGTGCGAGTCCCGGCACAACCTCTGTTTCGTGGGATCGCATTGCATCAACCACTATGGTGGCATATCCTGTGATTGCTTCGGCACCCACTACGAGGGCGAGCACTGCGATATATATAGTGAGTATTTGTATAATTTTTAGCCTAAAATATCCTAAGAATATACAAGAATTAAAAAAAAATGTATTTCATTTATAAATTTAAGTATCATAATCTAATATACGTAAATAAGTTTTCGTAAGATGTTTGCTTGTGTCTGAGTTTTTGGTATATAAACTCTGAAAGAAACACGTTACTCTTAAGATGCATTAAAATTCCCAACGGGTTCTAGCTACAAACTGATGATTATTGGCTGTCAGCTTCAAGTACAAGTGAAGGCTATCTTTCTAAACTGTTATAATTGCTAAAGCCTAATATGCGTTCGAAAATTGCTGTATTTAATTTCCGGTTTTGATAAAAACTATAAATATATTTCTTCAAGTGCTCCCAACATCCATCTAACTCTGTCCAAAAAACCCTGGAATCTATCTATCTCTGCATGTGGACTTGGCCCTAGGGGCGCCATTTTATTTTAATTATAAACTATGTTTGTTTGCTAGCGGTTAGCCACTGCCACTAGCCAGGCTTACCATGCCCCCCTTTAACCTCATACCCCCACACCGCCCCCTTGGCCGCTACAGTTTTAAACACGCTAATGACCTGACCATAAATTATGCAAAATAGTGTTTGACTTTTTGACTGCCGAACCAGCTAAGGCCGCACACCAGGCAGAATGTGCGCAAAATTAGTTTGTTATGCTCAATATATATATATGTATATATATATATAGCCCCCGGACTGCCCTGATCCCTCTGCAGCCCCATCCCTTGGACAACATCCGACATTTAGTTAATGACATAAAGCCAATTCCAGGCCGCCATAATCTCAATTAAGTCACGCGAGGCCATTATATAGGCAAGCCTATTAAAAATTGAGCAGCTCGTTTATGTTTTTTGACATTGCACTGGGAGGTTTCGTGAAGGTTTGGGGTCTGGGATTTGCAGGTTGCATGGAACGGCCAGTAAGTTTGCATTTCAGGCACGAAAATGGAAGTTTTCATTTTGGGGATTAGAGCGAAGAGGATTTACCCTGGCCCGTGGGATTATGAAGTAATTAATATTTCATTAAATAAATTACAGGCTTTTGTCAATGAAATTATTTTTATATTTTTCTGTAATTAATGTTAAATGAAATTGTGCGTTAAAAATATTAAAACGAAAATTATGGGAATCATTTTGAAATGTATTTTAATGTTTAGTTAGTTATTTAAAAATATGGTTGAGTTTTAATTAACTTCAAATAAATATTTAATACATATACTTATACTTATTTTTATTTGAAGATTAATAGCTTAAAGTAAATATTTAAAGTTTCGTTGAAGACAAATACCTTTCCAAAATTTTCTAAAACTTATTTTCAAATGCAATTCGGTAAGAAATTATTTAGACATGTTTTTCTTAAGCATCAATACAATTTTTTTATAACTTCATCAACTTAAGTAATAATAAAATCAAGCAGCTCTCAAAACCCAAAACTCCAGTTAGGGCATCTCAACATGCATTCTTCAGATTTTAGGCCACTTGCATTCCCAGTGTTTGCTAAAAATTTGCATGCAAATGATGACCAACATCACACTCTCACACACCCCGTAAAAAAGGAAAATTCCAAAAATAAAATCCTGACTTCGCGGGTGGCACTGGAATTAAGTGGAGTTCGGCGGGGCAGTGGTTCCTGGACTATTGATGCAGTGGACAGCTGCAAATTGCAAAATGAACAAAAAATATGCGAAACAAAAAACAAAAAAAGGAAAATAACACTAACGGCCAGCCATGACAGCGTTGGCCATTTTGGAAAATCCTGGTGCCCCCTCTCTCTCCGTCTGTCTAAATGGCGTCTGTCAAGGACAAAAGAGCGACGGCCGTGACATGCGAGTTTGCCGAGCATTTACACCGCCTGCCGCCGCCACTGCAACTGATCACAATTACGTAACGAGCGCCGGCAAGTGCAAGCAAATTACACAGATGGAGACCACCCACGCACCCATCACCCACCACTTCACCCCTCACCGGGTCACCACCCGACTTCACCCGCTGGTTTGCCGGTTGCATGCTGAGCTGCTCCTGGAACGGAAACAGTGTCAGGCCATTAAAAGCTCGCACATAGCGAGCAGAAGAGATGCACTGCACTGAGAAAAAAGAATTGGGTAAAAATAAGAATTCCTAGAAGATTAATATACAGCTTAGTATTTATTTTTGAAATAATTAAGACTTTAAATATAGAAAAATATGAAGTGGAATTTTTTAACAAGGAAACTTATATTCAAAAGGAAAACTTGATCTGAAATTAATATTTTCCTTAAAATTAAATCTCAAGCGAACTATAAACAAATTTTCAATAAAACGAAAACTAGATTTTTTCTCCTTTCCTACAAATTTCTGTCAGTGTTCGGAAATGGGGAAAATTCATACAGGGTACGAAGGACACGAGACATAATCAAACGCAGACGCTTTTGTAATGCAATAACTAAAATGACAACTGCCAGTACAAGGACGAGCCTGTTCATGTGCAGTGCATCCTGAAGCCCAAACCAAATCCCTGCGGCCCCTCATCCCCTGAGCCTCCCCTTTGATCCTCCCCTAGCAATCCGCTTCTCACTCATTCGGATTTCACAAAATTTCCGTGCTAAAAGTGTCAACGAAATGCGTTCAGTTGGGGGAAATCATTAGCCCCCGAAAAACCCGGCATCAACATTTCTGAAAGAGACTACAAGATTTTTCGGCTTCTTCCGGCATAAACGAATTGCAATGCCAACCATGAAAGAGAAACGAACCGACAGGGCAGCTGAACAAAAGGGGGGTGAACAGGACGAACAGGGCACGGGGTAGTGGATATGGCATGTCGTCCTATGATGTCCGATATGATGACTCCGGGCTTAGGTCATCTCTGGACTCTTTTGGCCGACACTTGTCAGCCCGACTGACATTCATGATGCAGCGAGTCGAGGTCCACACTCTTCTGGTCAGATTTCAATGGTAGCTACAATTACAATGGTAGCGCATTTCAATTGGGGTTATTAATTGGTGTCATTCGTGAACAGGATTTTCTCATAGTTTCTTTTACAATTAAACGAAGATTTAATGGGTTAATTTATAAACTTTTAATCAAAGGAATATTTTGTGAGCTTGGATTTAAATATGCATTACAAATAACGTAGTGTCAAATTCACAAACATTTTTAGTTTATTATCAAGTTAATTTTATTTTTATTAATTAAATAATGACAGTCAAGAATAGACTCAAGTCGAGGCTTTAATGAGAAATTCACACCTTTAATTAGAGTTCAAGTGGTAATTAGTAATTTATTTATAAGTCAATGTGCTGTCTGAAAATTTAGGTAAAGGAATTTGAAAAAAAGTAACAATTTAATGAGAGAATGGCTATAAAGCTAGCAATCTGTTGGTTATTATTATTTAAAGTTTTACAATGGGTTGTTTGGTGACTATACCGCTCCATAATAGGGGTATACCAGGACTTGCACGGCTATTATCCGGCTCGAAATACTAATGACACTTGAAAACGAAACCATACATAAACTGTTTGAAACAAGGAAAAGAGTATAAAATGTATATATATATTTATAATTTTTATATATTTATATAAAGTTTTAGCCTTTGTTTTCAACAATCAAAGCTGGCTTTTAGTTAATAAGTCAAACAATGCTCCCTTAGTTTACCTGAAACTCAAACACAAGCGCACACACAAAGCCACAAATTGCTTGAGTCCACAAATTTACTAGTTAAACTTGAACGGAAATCGTTGATACACTGGTACAGTGATCCCTCCGAAACCAAAAGATGCGCTTGGTTGCCTACTCCGAATTCTATGCCAACCATCAGAGCAGCCGTAAAGCCAAGATGCAGGCCCGAAAGGTGGCCAGCGATTTGCTAACCGATAAGTTGGTGCGGGAAAAGTTGCCACGTAACAGAGCTCCAACTTACTCGGAGTTCCGGCAGATAATGCGATCCGCCGGTAAACGCACGATGGCTGATAGTAACTTGCTTACCTTCCGGAGCATGGTGGAGCTGCGAAAGGCACAGATCGAACGTGGTCGCCTTAAGAGTATTAAGTCTAGCGTCGACTCTCGGTTAAACCGAGATCCGACCTTCTTCAATCGCAGCAAGCTGGTCGACGAGCTCAACCACAAGCAGAACCTCTTCCGGAAGAATCTCCAGCTTCTTGGTAAGCTAACTGAGATCAATAGGGTGAAGTACACTGTGGACTGCTTCAACCGCAAGTATCCCGCCCTGCAGCCGAATCGGATCAGGATCCGTGACCTGACCGAGCGTCTTAATCAGGAGAACCGGCAACTGGGCTGTCGTCTCTCAGCGGTCAAGTCCAAGGTGGGTGAGGTCATACATAAGTGGACATTGAGCTTACAGCACCACATTTCCCCAAGGTGGACTCCCAGAATCCGCTTGCTGGGCCACCCAAGCCCCTTGAGCAGAAGGCCTCCGACGAGACGGTGTCCGAATTCATACCCTATATGCCATCACCTCGCCTGGGCAAGCGCAGTGCCCACGTCCTCCTCCGGCCCATCGTGTACTTTGATCTGGCGGTGCTAGAAAACAGCCAAATCCTGGGTCGCCTGCTCCTCCAGCTCTACACAGAGATCAGTCCGGAGGTGGTCCTGGAGTTTGTTCGCATGGCCACGCACAATGACGTTCAGAGCCATCGCTTTGTCCGTATCTTCTCCAACCTTTGGATGGAGGGGGAACTGATGCTGGAGAACAGAGGCACCTTAAGCGAACATCACAGTGTAAAGCGATCGTTCCTCGATCCCGGCAAGCTGACCGGACTGCTCTCGTATTCGTGGGACTATCGCCGCAACTTCCCACAGGGACTCCTCAGCTACACCATCAGCTTCAAGCCCCTTTCGGTGGATCCGCTGCAGCGGGTCATCTTTGGCCAGGTGCGCAGTGGTCTCCGTGTCCTGCAGAGCTGCCCGCAATTTGGTACCAGAAATGGCAAGACCAAGAAGACAGTGATTGTGGCCCGGTGTGGCCTGCTCTAATGGGACAGACAACATATCGTAGGGCCAGGGCTCATTATGCCTCTGCATTAACATAAGTCTAGAAAAAATCGTAACATACTTTTGCGGTCCAATGCACCAGAAAGTTCACTCTACCCCAGAAACAAAAAATGCAAATAAAATTATAAAGTAAGCGGCATGTAGGCACTGAGAGAAAATGTAAGAAAAAGTCTTGTAAATTTGGGAACTATTAAGTAAGAGAGAGTAGTACCTCCAGATATGCAAAAATTATTTCCTACTTTTCATACGGTCTTTAGAATTTATTTCTCTTTACATCTACGCAATGAGATTACCATAAAAATAATGGGTTTTCGGTACCCTATTTTCTGGAAGATTTTTTAAGAATCTTTCTCATTAATATGTAAAATATATTCCTAATTACTACACCAGTTTTAAGCTCAGTGCAGAGTATACTGGCTATGCGTGGGTTGTGTTGCTTTATCGGCTGGGCATGGCCCACGTGTGCAGTGTCAGATAAGCGGCCAAAACGCGGCTGCTGTCAGCCCATCCTTAACCCTTCCCTTAACCCTACCCAGGCCTTAACCCTTTACCACCCCCAACAACTGCATCACGAGCAGAGAGAAAAAATTCATGAAAATTGCGCGTTACACGATTTGCACATTTGGTCCGGGGAAAGGAGGACCAGGACGAAACGAAACCGGAACGAACATCAGGCGAACGCCTAAAGGCCGCCATAGAACAAACAATATAATCTATTTTTGTGGACCACTGGAGCTTTTTTCCCTGCATTTTCCTTTTAGTCTGTTTTGTGGGCGAAAATGTGTGAGTGTGGCTGGCAGGTAGATAATGCGAGGGGGGCTTTAAAAAAGTCGAACTATTAAGTACTCTGCAGAGATTAAATATATATTGAATTAAAAGCTTAAATATATTAGTGGATCTTGTAAGATATCATGTATTGGATGAGAAATAGTTTATTAAAATATTTTAAAAATAATAATAATGTTTCTTATAGTTTTTAAAATATTTAGATACTTATTATACTTTATAAAATTCTTATTTTAAAGGGTATCAAAAGGAATGAAAACCCTGCTTAAATTTGCTTGGGCATTTGTAGTAAGCTGTGGCGAAGTGAAATCTGAAAGCAAATATGCTAAAGGTGGCATTAAGCTCGGCTTCCTGAAAGCCCGTGCATATTTGAGGGGATTCAGTGACTGGGCTAGCTTTACTTAATAAATTAATCGATTGGCTTTTCCCTTCTTGCAGCCGCCACTATAATTACGCTGCGTGGAGCCAGCTATGTGTCCTACAGGATATACGACTGGAAGGATCGTGTGCATTCCTCCACGCGGCGAATTAGCCTCATGTTCCGCACAAACTTCGACGATTCAGCCCTGTTCTATGCCAGCGGAGAGTCCCTGAAGCATCAGTATATTGCCGCTGCCATTAAGAACCAATCGATTCATGTGGAAATGGACTTTGGTGACAATGTGATGAGCACAATACTGACGGATGATTTGACCCGCGGTTACTGGCACAATCTCACGATATTGCATGAACAGCGAACGGTGAGCATCATACTGGATCAACAGCAGAAGGTCCTGGAACTACCAGCCACGGCCAGTGGGAATCTGTTGTTTGATCCGGAGATATATTTCGGCGGAGGACCCGAGCTGCACAAGAAGAAGGGCCTGGCCTCGCACAACAACTTCGTGGGCAGCCTGAAATATGTCTATTACAACGACATCTCCATTCTGTACGAGCTGCAGCGGGGCAATCCCAAGGTGCACTATCACGGTGAGTGGAGAACAATTTAATATATCGAGTGTAGCGATTTGCTGGCAACATATTTTTGGCATACTATTACCGAGAGTCCTGTTTCTGCCTCTGTTTCTGATTCTGGGTCACAGGCGTGCTGGAGGCGGAGTTTGTCGAGAACGAAGTGAATGTCATACCCATCACCTATCCCTTTGCGACATCACACATTTGGTGGCCCATAAATCACGCCGAAGAATTTAATATTAAATTCGATTTCCGCAGCAGTCGGCCAGGCGCGGTGCTGGCCTACAGTGACGTAACGACCAGTGCCGGAAATGGTTTCTGGGAGGTAAGTGAGAGCATTCAAGCATTCCTTCTCATACGTGCACTGAGAGAAAGGTGTGGGGAAATCGAATTAAAGTTTGAAAATAAAGGTCTTAAGGAAAAGTTGTTAAATAGGGTTGGATTTTTCCAAAGCAACAACAAATTGACTGTTACCTTTGTTGTAACTTTGTTAAAGACCTATTTTGTAAATAGGCAACTGTGTGTGTGAAGTATTATTTTTTTGAACAGGACAATTCATACTATTTCTCCGATCAATATAAAACTTGGTATATCAATAGCTTAGAATAAAATAAAAGTATATATTTTTTATTAAAAATCTTTAAAATGAGCATTAATATATTTTAGAGTACAAAAAGATTATTAAACGATCGTAATATCTGTGCGATTAATATGAATCTTGGTATGTGAATAGCTAAGGATATTATATAAATATAAATTCCAATTAAAAGATCCTAAGATCTAATTTAAAGATAATTTAGAGCAGTAAATATTTTGATTTCCATCATAATACTTGACCAATTCAAATGAAACTTGGTATGCGAAAAGCAATGATAAAAATAAAATAAATACCAATGATTTCTCTTACTTTAAACCATATTTTATATATTTTAATTTATTTTTATGAATAGCCTATAAAGATATTTTTGAGGAATCCATATAGTTTTTAGCAGTGTACTTAGCCCACAGACTTATGTTCATTGCTTGAGCTTTTGAGCTGCACACACTCCCACAAACACACACACACGACAGCTGGACGGATAAGGGACAGACATTTCCACCGACGACGCGCTGCTTAAGACGACTTAGCAGCGACTGCAACTGCAACTGAGGCAGAGGCAAAGGCAGTGGCTGTGGCTGAGGCAGAGCCAACGCCAAATGAAATGCAAATCAAATGTGCATGTGCGTGTACTTCTATCCAGAGTTGCGTATGAAACTTGCATTGCAATTGCCAGGGTTTCCAGCATTCACCCCCGAAAAACCCCTTTGAAATCCTCCACAGAAACCCAAGGCCCACAAAACTCCCACAATTCCGGAATCGGAGGCAAGCTCCACGTACATTGCCGGGACTCGAAACGAAAATGTACCCCAAAAATACTGGTTGCCATTGGGAATGCGGAAAATGCAATTAAATTTAAGCGCTGCTGAGTGAAACTCGACTCTGGCTAATGCAATGAAAAGTCAAATGAGCTTAGTGTTTTGTAATTGTTTGGCATTATTCATTTCTTTGGTAGCCTTGCGCGATTGTGTGTGTCTCGGGGAAAGAGTGAATTTCTTTTAAAATTTTTAGATACTGAGATTTTGTAAGGGATTTTTCTTCTATTAAGATATTACAAATAATAAAAATTAAGTAATTATTGTAATATATAAAAATTTTCTAGAGAATCTTAACTTTTTGTTTTCTTTTTTTATCTTGCAATAATTTCTCCGTTTTCCTTAATTTTTCCCCTTTAAAATACTTTCATTTTATAAAGAGATACTCTCTGCGATAAGCAAGAATATATTTTTTACTTTCGTATACAAATAATGACAGACCCATAAAGATATTAACCAGAATGGCCTAAAAATTGTTTCTTTTCTCTGCTCCAACCGCTTGGTCGTACGACTTTTGCTCGATTCTGCGGTCCGCAATTTATTTGAAATAACCATTTTTATAGATTTATGTCATGGCCATCGCATAACAATTGAAAGCAAGTTAAATGTTTCCATGAAATACCAATTTATAACCAGACATGTCGAGGGAGAGAGGAGAGAAACAGAGCCCGAACAGATTGAGGTTCGGCATATAAAAGTGCGTTGTAATCGATCGCAAAAACAATTGGGACAGTTTAATGCCAGTCCGAGGAACAATATTCTACCGTTTTCCCTGGAAAAGCCAGCTTTATTTTCGCCTCATCCCCCGAACTGTGACCTCGGCATGAGAGTTGATGTTTATATGGTTGTCAGTAGCATTTATCGGCATTTTAACAAACCAACCTTGTCTTGAGCTGTCCAAGAACGTTTATTTGGTTACTTGGGCATTTCGGCAATGTACACTCGAGTTGTCCTAAAGAGGGAATATTCTCAGAGAATGTGTGCATGTGTGTGTTTATTTTCGTGTGTGGGCCATATTTATTTGCATTTTATTGTTGATTTTGTTCCTTTTGATTGCAGGACCAAAGTCCCACACTCACTCCATCTTCCTAAAATAAACCGAAAATGTCACTGCAGAGTCGTCTCTGACTTATTGGCATTGCAATAAATGTTGTCATTGGTGTTGTTGTTGCAATGCCAATGAATATTTATGCCGCCAGGCATTTAATTTTGCATCTACTGTCTCTACGGCTTATTTTCCATTCGCCATTTGACGATTTATGCGCACCCAAATTAATACTAAATTGATTGTGTCAGTCAGGTTTATAATATGACTCTGTTTATATATTTTTATTTGACCGAATAATTCAAAAACAGGCTGTCAGTTTTAGATATTCATACAGCAGAGGTTAAGACAATAGAAGTGGGAATTTAATAGCTTGTATTTAACATTAAAATATGTAAATATTTTGGGGTTTCTTACTTCTTTATTTATTATAATAATTATAATATCATAAAATCCTTATTAAAAAAGGAAAACTATATTACAAAATGTTTTTACATTGTTTAAAAGTACACAGAAAAAAAGTGAAATATAAAGCCGTGCTACAGAAGTCACTAAAGTTTTATATCACTCGAAAGAGTGTCCAAAATAATACTAAAATATTTCACATCTTGAAAAAGTGAAATTTCACACTGCATTTTGTACCTAAATAAATGTAGTGCATATTTTAAGGCACATTTTAAAATGGGTTTAATATCAATATTTTTTATTGAAGCAAAATTTGTTTTATAAAAAATGATAAACAAAACTTTAAAAACATTTCTAAGGGAAATCCAAAGCTTGATAAATTTAAAATTCCATATTTTAGAAGCTTAATTCTTTTATAGATAATTTTATTCTAATCTAAAATTTAAGCCTCGACTAAAAAAATATAAATACAATTATAAACTTATATAATCGGTAAGAAAACTTTAAATTCCACATATATATTTATGCTTTTACCAAAAATTAATAATATCAAACATATGAACAATAACTCCCATAAACTAAAAGTTAAGCCCAGTCATTACTCTTAACTTAAACGTTATGCAACTTACTTTTAATGCTAATAATTCAACCACATATTTATATTTACGATACTTCCCATCTATATTTGGCAAACTTCAAAATCGCATCAGTTACGAGCTCTTATTATACCCTTGCAGGGTATTATAATTTCAGTCAGAAGTTTGCAACGCAGTGAAGGAGACGTTTCCGACCCTATAAAGTATATATATTCTTGATCAGCATCAACAGCCGAGTCGATCTAGCCATGTCCGTCTGTCTGTCTGTCCGTCTGTCCGTCTGTCTGTTTCTACGCAAACTAGTCCCTCAGTTTTAAAGCTATCTGATTGAAACTTTGCATATAGTCTTCTATATACTCTCACTGCTATATATGTCGGAACGGGCCGAATCGGGCGACTATATCATATAGCTGCCATACAAATGTTCGATAAATTTTTAGAAAAAAAATTATAACTTTGCTGTTTTTCAACATTTTTGCACCATTTTTTAGATATGGCCATTTTATATTATTTCAGAATTTTGGTAAAAATTTTATGAAAATCGGACGACTATATGATATAGCTTCCATAGGAACAGTAGGGAAATTAATAGGAAAAAAATTATAGCTTCGTTGTTTTTCAACGTATTTTTATCTACTCTGAGATATAAGCTTTTTTTATTATTCTAGAATTTTGGTATAAATTTCATAAAAATCGGGCAACTATATCATATAGCTGCCATATAAACCGATCGGTAAATGTATAAAATATGTAATAGACTTCTGCATGAGTGTACTCATTTGTAGCATAACAGATCTGTACAGTAGTGTAGAGTTCTTAAAAATACTGCACCCAATCCTTTCTGTACAGTATACTCTATAGGCCAGAAGTAGATAGCACAACACTTTTAGTGTGCCCACTTTACGTGAGTGCAGTATATGGTTGTACCCTTCGGGAGTGAGTACTATATTTGCTGTACAGCTTGTTAGTTGTACAACTTGTTAGTTGTATGTGTACAACTGTGCAGATGAGTTCAGTATTCTTCAATAAGTGCATAAAAATGGTACATAAAATAATGTTTCTCCATTCGAATATTAATAATTTAAATGTAAATGCTTTAATAAAATAAAATTGTTTATAAGAAATACATAGTACACACGAGAACTCTATATGTGTGCATGTACCAGTCATGAAGTTTCACTCACTGTACAATAAGTCAACTGCACACCAAAACACTGTACAGTGCCTGACTACTGCACACCATTTTTGCTGTACTCATAAACAGCTGTACAACTATGGAATGAGTGAGAAAACTGTCTGTCAAAACAGAAAATACTACCCTACTCACTCACACCCAAGTATACTGTGCAGTAAAAAGTGTGTTCCCGTTTCTAGAATAAGTGATTCATTTGTCATTTTGGATGCATTCATGCAGAAGTCTAATATGTAAAGCTGGGAATGTAAAACTGTAACTGTCAAACTGTAAACATAATAGGTATAGGTAAAATGTAATGAAACTCTGTTTTGTGAGTGTTTTCATCATTTAAATCTATAATATAAACATCAAAACCAATCTGCAAGGGTATACAAACTTCGGCATGCCGAAGTTAGCTTCCTTTCTTGTTTATTTACTATTTTCGCCGCACAGGCCACAAAATTGCCACCTGCGTGCTGCGTATGGAGCTCAACAAACTAATAAATTGCCGGCAGTATTTTCCCTCTGTCACTCATTCGGGTAACAAAAAAAAATGAGAAAAAATACACATACAGGAGTGAAGGGGATCCCGAAAAACAAGTGTATGTAGTATGCAACATGGAATGTCATGTCACACGATTCAGCTTCAGGGAGGGGCTTGAGCGGATCCGGGGTGTGACATAAAAACTATGCGCCCGCATAAATCGCGAATCACAAATCGAAAATCGAATTTATTGACAGCGCGCAAATGGGCGAAATAGGCAAACAAAACAAAACTGGCAGAGGAATAAAAATCATTTGAAATATTGTCACAGGGGGGGTTGCACGGGGTTTGTGTTTGCCTTTAAACATAACGCTCTGACAAAAATCTAATGAAATATGCAATAAAATTTGAGTGTTTGCCATTTCACATAAGCGACGCAAAAGCGCAATTCACAATGAGCATAGATAAATATGAAACAACACACACACACTCACTCGTGAATATATTCATACGGACATGTACAAATTGCAACTGTGCTGAGCTGCAAGTTCATGAAATTTCAATAAATATGAATATTTTCTTTTTTCGATTTCCCCAAATAATAGACTCTTCAAACAAGCAGGCGAAAAAAAAAATATATATACATGCACATGGCCTATTAAATTAGTAGGATTTTGTACGTTTATCCACATAGATAAATAGTTTTTAACAAGGTTATTTCTGCGATTTGCATTTTTGTCAATAAATCTGATAGACTTTAGTTTATATATGTGATCTATGAGCTTCCATGGGGGGTTTGATTTATAAACAATCAAATAAAGATACAAAAATTGCATAATTACTAGTCAAAAATTGGTAGGCAAATATTTTTGAAATATTCTGAACATGCTTCTGTGTCTGTATAGAGATAAAAAATTATAAAAGAGTAGTATTACATGTATTTTTTAACAACAAATCAAAGCTATTTGATGAAGCACCTTGCCATACCTTTTATTCCATTTTATTTTAAATCACAATCTCAAAATCCTTCGAACTAGTTCACCCACTCAGCGCCGTATACAGTTTTAGCTTTTTGCCAATAATCATTATTGCTGCATATATGACACCACGCGGCGGAGACCGAATATAGCACATCAATTTGGGTTCAGAGGGACAAACAAATGATAAAGAGTCGTGGGTAAAATACCATGGACTGACCACCACCTCCCACGAGCATGGCTGCAAATTAATGGGCAGCAATTTCAACAGAACGCAGCAACGCCGATTGATTCGGCGAATGCCACGTGGCGTATGCGTAATATGATTTAAGCGAAGCTAATGCACAAAGGCATTTAAATTGAAATGTGTGTGCTGGCAGAGTGGGTGTTTCCATGCGGTTGTGCCGAGCTGCATTTCAGGCATTTTCGCAATTTTGATTTATTTCAGCACACGAACAATCCCACACACACAGTTTGAATCCTTCTAATGCTAACAGAATTTTGTATTTTTCTTCCTGCTCCCTCTCTATCTCCCTCTTTCTATCTCCCTCTTTTTACATGTCGCTGACAAAAACTAATATTTGGAAACACGCTAATGCGCGGCTTCGGTTTTTGTTCGGCGCTACGTGCAACATCCGTCGGCGACAACAATGGCCGCCGTCTGCCGATAAAAACTGCAACCGGAAACGCGCGACTAACGGAAATTACAAAATGGCTGCCATCCATTAGATACGTCTCACGTCGGACAAACTGAGCTTCGATCTGGTCCCCGATGTCAACAACAACGTAACCCACTCGACCACCATCAAAATCAATAGGGCCACCTCCTGGCACAGCGTGGAGCTGGACTATAAGCTGGGCGAGATCCGGTTTACGGTGGATTATCGTCACACCCTCAGCCAGATGTATGGACTGACCTTTAACATTGGCGACAAGCTGATCATTGGCAGTAGCCTAAAGTCAGCGGCCATGGGCCTAGTGGGTTGTATCCGCGACATAGAGATCAATAATCACCTGATCGAACCCAGGCATGTGGTCAAAACGGAGCGAGTGGTGGGAGAGGTAAATTTAAAGCTCCTTTTGCTTATAATTTATTTAATTAATGTTCCCCAAAGGTGGCCCTGGACAACTGCAACTATATAGATCCCTGCAAGAGACCCAATACCTGCGAGCATGGCGGCAAGTGCTTTGTGAAGGACGATCGTGTCACATGCGACTGCAAGCACACAGGTTACATTGGCAAAAACTGTCATTTCACAAAGTATCGAAAGACCTGCGAAGAGCTGGCCCTCCTGGGCTTCACCAAATCGGATGTCTACCTCATCGACATCGATGGCAATGGCGTGTTTCCGCCCGCCCATGTGAAATGCGATTTCCAGAGCCTTGAAAATGCCACCAAGACAATTGTGGAGCACAATCTGCCCAGCCAAGTGGATGTGCGATCTGCCAGGGAGACGGATTTTAGCTTCAACATTCGCTATCGAGAGTTCTCGCCGCACATGCTGCAGGAGCTCATTTCGCACTCACTGTACTGCACGCAGTATATCAAGTACGACTGCTACCGGGCCCAGTTGGAGCTGCACTCGGCCACCTGGTTCACTTCCTCGGCCAAGAATCTCACCGTCGACTTCCTCGGCAATGTCAAGAGGTAAGCCGGGTTGCATAGGTTGGTGCACCATGCGGGTATTTGTGATTTACGTGCTGAGCCACGTCACCGCAAACAACACAAAATTGGATGACAAGAGCAGGACTTACGGTACAGTGGGCACCGAAAGGGGGAAAATTGATATTATTTTATTATTGATTTATTTTAGTTATAGTTGAGACTTAATGGGGTTTAGTGAAATACTTTTTTAAGGTTTCTGCACGATACTTTTAAAGAGCTAAAAATTGTATAATATTTTGTTTACGCAAAAACATAATTAGATTAGCTTTAGAATATACAAAGAAATTCCTAAAAATTTTCCAAGGACTCACATATATGCAGGTTTTTATACTTTTATACACCTTCTATATATTTAAAGAATGTTTTGTTGTATTTTTCTATTGTCAATGCGCTTTTCTTCCCTTTCAATTTGTCTAGAATATAAAGTTCTTTATACTGTCATTAGATTTTCCAACAAAATTCTTATTAAAACATATCTTAATTTATTTTACAATTTCCTCACTTAAAGCCCACTATTCGTGGCTTAGTCACTGCATATGCTGGCGGATGATTTTGGTCCACCGCCAGCCACACAATTAATGTTGCAGTCTATTTGCTTAACTTGCTGTTGCACCCTGGATTATCACCAGACCCTGATCCCGGTCCCCCTACCCCCCCCGGTGTGTTTGTGTGTATGTTGTGTGTACGTTCTGCCCCAGTGGAGTACAGAGTACGTGCGGTAATCCAACAATATAAATCCGAAATTTCCGAAAGACCAACCCAGGATGCTGCTCCTGCTCTCCCGGTGGTGCTGGCGTTTCAATTGTAAACGAAACTTAAATTAATTGCTCGCACATGCATAATATAAATGCCAGGCAGGAACCTTCGCTTAATGCCATCTGACATGTTTACCCATCACACACAGATGTGCTGTTGTTCTGTTTCTAGAATGCCAGCAAACTCCACATCACTTTCACAAGGCATCGATATTTCCCAGTGCCATGAAACTCCGACCACGTCTTGTCAGTGATGCGGTTGCACTTGGAAGAGCCATCTGTCGGTTTCTGAACTCTAAACACACAAAGAAAATAATTATTAAAGATAAGTTGCCAAAGAAAATACAAATACAAGTAATATACTTTGAAATGTGTCTTAAGATATATTAATACAAATGTTAAATGTTATTTAATATTCAATCTCTTAGAACCATTTTTTTTCTGTGATCTCTACAATTTGTCATGAAGGAGTTCGTCCCACTGAACTGGCCAACATCTAGTGTTGGTCTAGCTCTTCAAATTTCCCCTTTTTTCTTTCGCCAGAACTACCCCTACTATTGCCACTCTCACCAAAGTTATATCTGCGGCATTTGTTGCCATGCATTGGAGCATAAAATTTTATGGTGCCAAAGGGCGAGCAGCTATAGCCGGCTACCGAATGCCTTTTTGTCCAAGGTAAACTAATGGCAAAACCTCTAAAAAAGCCCAGCGAACCACACTTGATGATGGGAGGGTGGCAAAAAACATATGAGGCCAAATACAGAGAAAATTGCAAAAGTGCAAAACAAAAGGCCTGGGCTTGGTATTTATGTCAGGCAAATATGTTTCCGCATCAGCGCTAATAAGGTTTATGACTAAGTCCCGCCATATCTCTTGTGGCGCCCATTTTGCCGGTCCAACTTTTGTGTTTTTTTTTTCAGCCGCCATATTGTCGAACAACTCTTTCGTTCTTCTAGCTTTTTTATATTTGATTTTTTTTTGAGGGGTATTAAAGGGGGGTATATATTTTTTTATAGATTTATAAAAATTAAATATGAGATTTAAAGCGTTAATAGTTGTTAATTAAGGCATACAGTAGAAGCTTTGTTTTTATTATAAAGAGCTAAAAGTTTTTATAAAAAGTTGTATGAATTGTTGACAATGGGATTAAAATAAAAACAGGATTTCTGAATTTTTTAAATTAAAATGAATTTAAATTAAATTAAAGAACTTAAAAAAGGGGTACCTCCTAGTCGTATTCATATGCTTGTTATTTTCTTTTCCTTTTTTGTTTTTAACAAGTTTGCCTTGGTAATTTTTCTTGCTATGGGCAGGCCTTTTTAAAATGAATGGCTTTGAGCACACAAATTTAGTCTTTACGCCTAATTTCTTTGAGGCTTGGGTCCTCCCATAGGTTGACTCTTTCCCTCTGGATGGATGTTTCGGCTTGGCTGGCTTGCCTGGAGAACCCTTTGACAATACATCATGCGCAGCAAAGTAGGCAACATCTGGCGGCGGCAATTTCCAGTAGCTTGTTGCTGGCACTCCTCCTTGTTTCTACTTTTTACTTCCTTTTACTCTGTGTGTGTGCCTGCGTCACTAATTTCCGCTTTCAGTAAATCAATTCGAAAACCTTAACAGCCTGACTTTGGTTTCGCTTTCATTTTTTTGGCACTTGTTTGTTTGCCTCCATGAATGAATGGCGTTCTGGTTGGCTTCGGCCGACACGGCCAAAAATGCACCCGGTCTGGGGCTTAGAAAAAAGCCGGCTAGCTTTTTGGGGCGCCCCAGACCATTTGGCCATCCATCATTGGCTCGTAGTTTGGTCCTTACTCATTCAAAATTTGACAGGCTCGTTTGTTTGTTTGTGCCACTGTAGTGCTGTGCCACTGCCACTCCAACTCCTGCTGCTGCTGCTGCTGCGGCGGCTTGAATACGGATCTTGCAACACGAAGGCGGATGCGGATGAGGAAACGGAAGCGGCACATGCAGGCCAAAACCGCAGCAAGCACAAACATGAGCCGGAAAGAGCCCATCACGAATGGTATTTGGTCGAGATGATACTCGTTAATAGGGTTTTTTTAAAAAGAATTTTTGAACTCGCAATGGGATTTTCTGTTATTAAAATATAAATAAAAATAGTTTGGTAAATGGGAACAAAGAAAAGTATAAATATTATATTTTAAATAGATTTACAAGAAAACCCTGATTAATTTCATAAAATATAATATTTTCCCAGGCATTACTTTGGCTTCTTCCCTTTACAACTCAAATAATTGAACTTGATTGTCCTTTAATTGCCCTGTCACTGATATATCCTCGATTGTCTTGATACCCAACGAATATTTCTGCATAAATGGCGCAGCGAAAAGCCAAAACAAAAAAAAAAGAGAAGAGGGGGCGGGAGGCGGATGTGGCTCAGTCGGTCACTCAACGGACTCGTCAAACTGCCGGCGGCTCTCCGGCTCAAATGTATGCAAATGTATGCAGACTTTTTCTAATACCTTTCACCTTTTTTGTGACCCACCCCTCGCCCCACTCAACCTCGACCCGTAATCCGAAACCCCAACCCTTCCGCAGAGGCGCCTGCCCGTGCTCCGTTAACAAGACGTGCGTGGACCCGAATCAATCATGCAACTGCGACGTGAAGGAGAACAAATGGAATTCGGATGAGGGCTACTACCAGGATCCGCACAGTTTGGGCATCACCAACATGTACTTCCTGCAGCAGAAGGATCTGGACGATGAGGCCCAGGGACGCATCACTCTGGGGCCATTGGAATGTGTGGAGACAAGTGAGTGCAAATTTAAGTTTTCATTTATAAGTTAACAGCAGTCTTTAGGGATAATGTGGCTAGACTTTTTTAATGTCATGTCTTCTGTAATGCCCCCACAGACACGCAAAAGTACGTGGTTACCTTTACCACGTCGCAGTCGTATATCGAGGTGCCTGGATGGCGTAAGGGCGACATCGCCTTCTCGTTCCGTACCACCGGCGAGAAGGCCATCCTGCTGTTCCAGCCACCGATCCGCGCCCACTATCCCTCGTTTATGGTGGCCCTGACCGGCGACGACCAGCTCACGTTCACCTTCACCCTCAGCACGGGGACCACCCGCGAGCTGGTCATTAACTCGCACCGCCGGCTCAATGGCGGCGAGTGGCATAAAATATGGATCGACTACAACCAGTATCATGTGCGCTTCATGATAAACACCGATTACCAGATGCTCGATTTGCTGCCCGAGGAGGAGTTCGGACCGTTCGAGGGCAGCATGTACATTGGCGGTGCCACATTGTGAGTATTTTTCAACGTTGGGGGGGGAGGATTGGTTTATCCATTAGCTGTGGGGCACTGGGCTGCAAAGGTGAATTTTCATTTTGGTTTTTTAAAGGTTTAAATTTATGTATATATCTAAAGTTGAGATATTTTAACGTTAAATAATATATACTCTCAATATTTCACATTTCCACACATGATATTGAACGCCATATTTTTGGATAAACTTATCAGACTTCTCAATTCGATAGCACGAAGAACATTAGGTATAGAAAATTTACTTAAATTGATATATTCTTTACATAATTAGATCATTTATCCGGCTCGAAGGACCAAAATGCAAAATGCTCCCTAGTCAGGCGTCAAAGCAAATTATTTTACCAATTGGTTTGCATTAATAAAATTTGGTATAGGAAATGTATATAAATTTGTATATATATTTATTTATCCGGCTCGAAGTACCAAAATGCAAAGGTTTTATTAATTTTCTTTGAAACTACATATATTATAAAATTTTTCATAATGCTATCCTTATCAATGAATGACAGATAGTATTGATACAATATTTAAAATAAAATCTAAGCTGATTAATTTGTAAAAGTGACAAATTTGTAAACTAAAGTGCAATGCTCTTCCTGCTGTTTGTTAGTGTAATCAGACATACCGTTTTATGGCTGCCTGCATCGGTGGCAGCTGTAATGGCAATCGACGGGTATAAGCTCTATTCCCACCACTTGTCCTGATGCTATTCCTGCTACTCCTGCTCTTTGTCCAGCTCCAGCTCCTACTCCTCGTAGGGTGTCCACTGGCAGTTGCGGTTTGTGCAATTTATTGCGGCAATTACGTTTTAATTATAAACGCGCGACTAACTGCCAAGCAGCAGGACTAACAATGACAGTAGCCTCCAACCGCCCGAAGGAATCCCTCCAACGGCATCGTTGCCTGCCCTGCGGGGAGCACATGCCACGGTCCGGTGACCGCCACAGTTCGATTGATAATTGGGACGCCTCACTTATGAGTTAATTACGGATTGATGCCAGTAATTTGCAACGCTCAATGGGATAACCGATAACTTGGGGCGGGTAGAAATTTTAACGAGCTTTACTCTTCTTTGCTAAACTAAAATATTTTAAATGCTTTAAGTTCCTAATATAACTAATTATTTATACTTCAATTTCGCAAACGTCATCAGAGGCGTAATTTGTATGCACAAACCGCTTTCTCGCATACTTATTTTCAACATTCAATTCCTGGAAAGCCAATCCTTCTGGGTATATAAAAAGAATTGCCATAATTAAATTAACTTTTTGCTGGAAAATTCATTCCAAAGTCATTATCAATAATCAAACCGCGGCGGCAGCAGGGAGTGTAACCGTAACCTGATGCTGCCTTTTCCTGAATTTTTAGCCCGTAACCATTCCAGTTCATCCCCTTCGGAAGTTAGCGCACTTAAAACGCGCTTATTCTTGATTGGCATAATTTATAAAGTTTTTTTTCCGCCCCTCGTTGCCATGGCTCAGATACCGCTGGCGGCGGATGCTGCCCCTCACGAGATAGATAGAGCGTGGGGAAAAAACCATTTGAGGGGTTTTCAAGCACTCACATGTACTGAATATGGTACTTGTCTTGCTTCATTCCTTTTTTTTTTTTAATTATTGAAAATGTATAAAAATCAAATTGAAATATTTATATATACACTTGTGTGTGGTGTGTGTGTGTGTGAGTGAGTGGCAAGGAGACGTGTGCACACATTGGCACTTAACCCCGAAAAAGTTCCGCCTGCCACTCATAAAATTTCGATGAGCGGTAAACACGCCGAGTAATTAACGGTAAAGTGCAGCGCTCTATAAAGGCCAATCCCAATTCCAATAAAAATCAGTCACCCACCACCCCTCCCTCCAGAATCGATTCGATCCGATCCGATCCGCTTTCAGTGAGCCAATTTATTCAATTTATTTATCGGCGGAAAAGAAAGCTCTGTAAAACATACAAGTAATATGGAAAATGCAATATTGATGCAGCCATCGAAGGGGAAGGGGAAGGGGAGAAGGGAGAGGGCCGTGGCGAAGTGGCATATAAGGTTGCACGTAAGCCAATAAGCGGAATCAGCGGATGCGGCTCATAAATAAAAGAGTTAATCAACATATTGATAGAGACACGGCGAGACCTTAACGAGACGTTCCAAGGGACAAGCCCCGGCAGCCAAGTGTTAACCCATTAAGAACTTGCGGTGCGCTTAAAATTCATTCCACGTCACTGCTCACAGAGGAGCTCTTCAATTGGGATAACAATAAAAAAAGCAAACACAAAGTTAAGCCTTTGCAAATGCAATTACTCTTTACCCGCCGGAAGGGGTGTATTTAATATAGAAATCTACATATATGTGGGTTGTTTGAATTCGGAAAAGCCAGCGGTTAATTACTTAGGCATTAAAATAACCTAATTAGAAGCCTAAAAATGTAATTATAAAATGGGGCTTTCCAGGGATGGCTAAATATAACGATACTTTATCGATATTTTTAAGCGAAAAATTAAACGAGTTAAGTCGATAATCTGCTTTAAATAAGCGAAATAAAATATTACGATAATATCGATATTTAGCCATTAATTGCAAACCTTTTTCATATTTAAAAATATGATATATTCTTATTAAAATTTAATTTAAAATTTAAATTGATATTCTGTTAGTTGTTTGGTTAACAGAACCATTACAAAAGGAAAGTATAAGTTAAATTTGTGTCTATAATATCTGTACTTTATAATTATATAACCAATTAGGTAGCATTTAGAACATTAGGTATAGGAAATGTACTTAAATTGATATAGATGATTTATCCGGCTCGAAGGACCAAATTGCAAAGGGATTTTTTTCTCCCTAGTCGAGAGTCAAAGCAGATTATCTTACCAAATGGGTAGCATTAAGAAAATTAGGCATAGGAAATTTAGTTAAGTTAAAGTCTTAATATAAATACTTTATGGTTAATTTTGATACTTTAGATATTTAAAATTTCAATACATTAACATTTTTAGTATTTCGATAGAAATCACAGAGACGCCTTATTATATGAAAATAATGTTATTAAAAAGGGCTTTTAAGTTATTTTAAAAGTATAATAATTAGAATTAAGTAACTCCCTATATAATCAGCAAGTTGGTGTTCCTCTTTCAAACCCCAATATTTTTAAAACCAAAATTATTTTAAAACAAAATATAAACTTAGTAAATATATTCCCCAAAAGAAAAGTGCTTAGCCAAAAACTTTCTTGCTCTATCAGCAAAAGCGACTTTAAAATGTTGTCCCCTTTTTTTCCCGAAAAAGTTAACTTACCCAAATCAATAGAAAACTTTCCGGAATATGCTGGCAAATACTTTGAAACTTCAACGCCATTTAGTTAATGGGTTAAGCAGTGCTTTTCACACAGCTTAAACGGGGCGCCAAGGATGCATGGAAATTTATGCAAAAGTCGGGGCAAAAATTACAATGGCCGATGCTGCTAATGATTGTTGTAATCGGTTTTTGCATGTGGTGCAACCGCATTTCCCCCCCACATTCGATGTCGTGTTGTTTAGGAAGCGACAGCAGCTGGCGGTCCTGCTGATGGTCCTGGTTCTGGCATCCCTTTTGGGTGCCCGGACCCATCCGCGGATGTCCTGCTCATCATTTGCATGGCCATCGATTACCACAGCGCACAGGACACACAGCACAGCACACGGGGCACCGCATGCCGATGGGAAAAACACAGGCAACTGGCGTGCCAAATATGCGAATTATTTGCCGCGATGCAGGAAACAGGATGACGTCGATGGGCGGCGTGTCCATCCCGGGGCAATTCCCCCGCGGCCAGATACCAGCTACAGTGGACACCGTGCGGGTACAGTGGACACTTGATGCCGGATAGTAAAATGCACGGCTGTCGCCAGTCGCAACGGCCATGAATGAATGAAAAGTGCTTAATTGCTTGTGACGGCGTTAAATAAATTCTTAATTGCTTCGCACTTTGCGCGTTTGCAACGTTAATAGGATTTCCGTCGCCTGCATGTCGCCAGGATATGCACATCGCCTGCGCCGGCTCCAGCGACGGCACCTCCTTTACCCAAAAAACTTCTTTCCTTTGCGTTTTATTGCCGTTAATTTCCGAGGAATTTTCGTCATTTTTTTTTTACATTTTTTTGAGCGCGGCCAGCCGCCGTACAAATCCTTTTAGCCAAGTGTCAGCCAGGCCAGAACTGCCAGCCAGCCAGCCGGCGGCACATCATTTGCAAGGCAAAGCGCTAAATTTCATTTTGCATACGCGTGTGTCACGCGTGTCCTCCCACGCGTCCTCGTTACAACGTCCTGTATATACACTTTGGGGAAATTATTTGATCAATATTTTAAGGGGTTTTAAATAAGGTTTAAAAAATTTGGATTTTGTTAAATATTAAGCGGTTTTTTATAAGGGATATATCGGAAGGAAATCTTGGATGGAGTCTTCTTAGAGTGATTAACAATATTAATTTTTATTTTGTACATTTAAAATCAATTTAAATTTATGAATATTTTATTTTTGTTTTAAAGTAGAGGTTTGAAAACATCGAAGATTTCAAACCGATGTTTTCAAACATCAATCCGAAAATTTCATAAGAACCATTGATGTTGAACAAAAAACATCGATGTTAGCTTGAAATTATATATCGATGTTGAGTATTCTTTTTCCAAAATCGATACATCGGTAAAATGTATCTATCGTCAAGCCTCTATTTTAAAGCGAAGAAAATGTTTTCTTTATTTCCAAAACTTTATCTTTGAATAGCTTCTCTGAGAATGCAAATTCTTAATTTGTCTACAATTCCTGCTGATTCCTGAAAAAAGCCTGGAATCACTTTCCATCTTTTAAAAAATTTCAAAAAAAGATAAAAATACCTTTTAAAATATACAAAAACCTCTCAACTCCCCCTTTTCCTCAGTGCACTTTTATATGTACGCGTGGCCCCGTGTCTGTTGACGTACAAAAAAAATTAAAAATGCATTTGTGGCATGCTAGCAAAAAGAAATGCAGCACACGTTGCAAAAACTAATGACTTAATAGCTCGCTGGCTGCCAGCAAGGACACGCGTGTGTAAGGACTCCGGCAGCGGCTGAAAGTGGGGCTAAATTTGGGTGAAGAGTGCACTTGGTAAATGCAAATCATGAAATTAAACTGCTCGCCGCCGGCCAATTCGCCTGACGAAGGCCCGTCAATAAGTTCGGTGCTTAAATAACGATTACGCAACGCTTGGCAAACAATTACAACCGAAAAGCGGAAAGAAATTGTAATAAATTCAAAGAAGGAGGGAAACCCCAAAACCAAATTGAGACAGAGAGACTTTTCCTTCTTTTCTTTCTTATTTTAAAACAAGAATTTTAATTTCACTCGAAGCTCTCGCTCAGACAACACTCCGAGGAGAACTTGGGATCCTGGGGATCCTTGTGGGTGGAATGTCTCGTAATGAAATTTACATAATTTAGAAAGACATTTGAGCAACTTTCTTTTGCCGCTGTACGCGTATAAACAAGACATTTCCGCCACTTTAATTTTCAAAAGCTTACACTTGAGATTTTATTGGCCAATTCATTGTTGGCCATGGCAAAAGGGGGGGAGTGAAAAGTGAAAAAAACCCAGGCCAAAAGTGCACAAGGAAAACTTGCAAAATGCTAAAAGAAAAAAGGGAATCGCTGAGCAGAAAAAAAGGTTAGAATGAGCTGCGGAGAAATTGCGATGCTCTTTAGTAATTTTGATTACTTTTAGTTTTGGTGTTAGTATTTTTATATAAACTTAAAAGGACTTTTAAAGTTTTCTATTATTTTGTAAAGATTTTATAATATTTTATATATACTTTTAAAAAGTGTTTGTAAACTTATATGCCCCAAAGAAATTAGAGAATCGTAAATTAAAAGTGTGGCAAAGAAAAACTTAAGAAACTGTAGAGAAAACTCAGTTGGGTAATTTAAGAATACACCCAAGAAGTTCTTTTTACGAGTTTTTCAAATATTATTTGAATAATGAATATTTAAAGTCATTAATAAATAATTTTAAAATGGGAAATCTAATAATTATTAACGTATTTACCTATAAAAAAAGTAACTGTTTCTAAATTATTTAATCTGATAATAAATAATTATATTGTTAAGAAGCTCCTTAATACATTTACCAACTCTTAACTTAGAGTCAGAAATAAGGAAAAAAAAAGATGGCATACTGAAAAACTTTTCCCAACTGTCCTTAAGAAAATCCAACCACATTTTCCACCTTCCATCAAGCGGGTGTCGCTTCGATTCTCAGCTTGGCAAGTTTAAAACTCAAACGCGTCGCATCCGATTGAGCGGGTCACAATTTATTTGCATAAACCCAGTGACAGAATGGGCAAATACACGGGAATCCAGGATCTAGAATCGAGAATCCACCACATGGTGATGTCTCATGTTTGTCCAAGAGGGGGAAATCGATGGTGCAGCTGGTGCAACTTAAGCCAAAGTGGCCAAGTTATTGAATAGTTACGACAAGTCATAATATAAAATAATCCCCAGCTGACTTTCTCCCGCTTTTTTTCATCTTTCTCTCTTTTTCTCTGTCTCCAGCGACCTGCTGAAGAAGCTGTCAGTAAAGGCCGGACTCATTGGCTGCTTCCGGGGCCTGGTGGTCAACGGGGAGATCCTGGACATTTACAGCTACATGTCGGTGCATCTGTCGGAGATTATCAAGGACTGCAAGCCCTCCTGTGTCCCATCGCCCTGTCGCAACGGAGCCCAGTGCAAGGAGCTCTGGAGCAGCTTCAAGTGCGTCTGCAACAATCCCTGGGCTCACATCGGAGAGTTCTGTGAGACAAGTGAGTGCACAAGGAGAAAATTCCTATAAAATGTTATTAAAAATGTTGTTAAAATGTAAAAGAAATACTCACTTAAGAGGGAATTTGCCTTTGAATTTAAAAACCTTTTGGAAACTAAAACTAAATTATACCATTAAGGACCTAAAGTGTGTAACTTATTTATTTATTTCGCAAATACCTGTAATATTTTTTCATTAGTGTAATTTCCATTCGTTTAATTTTAATAACTTGACATCCTCTGCAGACATTAACGAAAAGGCTCTGACCTTCATCAACCGTGAGTCCTTCCTGATGCGAAGCTATCTGAGTGTGACCGCCACTCCGGCCATCTTAATGCACGGCATCGAGGCCGAACGGGATGTCCTGAAGGGCATCCTGCACCAGGATCTACTGATTAATCTGCGAACCTACGATACGAATGCTTTGGTCCTTTATGCCAACGATCATTACAACAACTTTGTGCACCTGTACATCAGCCTGAATCGGGAGATAGTATTTCTGTATAATTATGGCGATGAAATTGTAAATCTTACTCTGCTGGACGATACCCTGGTGGCCTCACTGAAGAGCATCCAGGTGGCCATAGTTCGGGGAGAGCAAGAAACTCGGATGCATGTAAATCAGCGAAGTGTGAGCATCGATAGGGGAACCCTGCTCCTAGATGAATATGCCAATAAGCCATGGAGTAATCCGGAAAAGGGTGAGTTTTATATTTAATTTAAGCAAGATATAAATTATAATTAATGTAAATAATACAAATAAATAAGCTTTAAGGACTAAAACATATGAATAATGATTTTTTAGTGTACCGTGTTTATATATTCCTCTAAAAATACACATAAAATTTCTTAGCCACAAGTACTCTTAGTTTCCATCAACAAAACCCACTTCAAAAAAACAAAAGAAGTATTTTTTTGACAGCTTTTCACACAATGCAAACTTCAAAATCCATTTTTCATTTAAAATATAAATATAGAAATAGGCACCATTTCAATTCTTAATTCATATTGTGATATTTTATTTCGTTTTATATTTTATTTATATTTTCGGATTTGGATTATTTTTGAGCCCCCGGTATTCCCTTTCCCCGGAACTACTTTCGTCACTTCCAGCGACTGCCCATCTTTGAGGTCTTGGTGTGGGCATTATTGCTGCTATTCTGATGCTGTTCATCCTGGGCAGCCAACTCCTCGTCTATGAGCAGTTCAAAGTTACCCAAGGCATCGGCACTGGGTACCTTATTCCAACGCACATCCGGCACTCCATCCGGAGGCAGAACCACCGATAAGATATTATCAATTAGCTTATACTTGAGTATCCGATCGTTGACTGTGGTTGAAGTCAGAGAGGGCGAGGCATTGACTTCCACCAACCAGGGTTTCAGGGCATTGTCTATGATAATGTCGTAGCCATAGCACTCGAAGCAATGCCTATCGCTGGCCATCACCGGGGCCACCGCTCTCAGGGAGTGGACTATGAGCCAGGATATAGCACCAAACAGACGATCTGTGACCTCCTTTCCCCGGGTTCCCTCCAGATATAGGGCCAGGTTCTGAACAGACCACTTTCCTCCATGCAGGGTATTATATTCACCGCCATGTTTCTGCACACTGACATTGGTCAGATGGACGTACATATTGTCCAGCTCCGTGACACTCGTATCGTATTTCACAGTACAAAAACGGCAGAATCCCTGCTTGAAGAGATAAGCCTTCAAAGGCCTAAAGGATGCCACTAAGACGTACAAGCGTAGATCAAACTTTTTGCCACCAATCAGCAGGGGATTGTCTATATATCTGGAGATTACATAAGACTCCTTGGCAATCTGTGGATGAAATGGACCCTTGGCCTCCCTGGACCACTTCTTGAGCTTGGACAGTTTGTTGATGAGGAATATTCCAGCTCCTTGGGACTTTCCACAGGGCTTCATGATCCAAGTGCTCAGCGGAAACTTCCTGTATTCCTCGACAAACATATTGTAATCGGCTGGCAGGACAAATGTGGTTGGGACAAAGTCCAAGTACAAATACCTAGTGCCACTCGAGTTGTTTGATTCCGTTTTCTCGGCCAAGGGATTGCCATCCCGTTCGAGGTCCTTGCGATACCGCTTGATATTCTTCACCAGCAGGTCCTTTCGCGACAGCTCGTAGTGATTGGGAAAGTGATTGATCATCTGGTTGTCATGCATTCGATAGCCACTGTCCACGCTGAAGATATTCCTGCAGGTCTGCACTCCCGCCCAGTAAAAGTGCCAGTCATCATCGCCGTTCACCTGATGCCATCCCCGCTTCTCAAAGTTATTGACCAGCACGGACTTATCCAGATCCGTGCAGAAGCCAATTTTCATCTTGTCATGTCCCTGGCCGCCTCCGGCTCCGCTGTTACCGCCGCTGGTGGTGGTGCTATTGGATACACCCGCTTGATTGGCGCCGCCCGCCTGGCGACCGTACATGGTGTGGGCTGTACCGCTCGAACGGAACGTCGTCTGGTGACTGTCTAACCGCCACGCCGGCGTCCAGTTGCCCAGGTCCCAAACAACGCTCATGTTGCCAGGAGTTATTGAACCAACAATGCCGAAATATATATATATATATATTCACAACCCTTTTCAGTTGCCTGGTTGCGCGGCTTCCTATTTGGGGGTTGTTCCTCTTGTTTTTGCTCCGACAATTTGCAAATAGTTTAGCAAGTTAAGCTGCAAAAATGCCAAAAATTTTGCCCAAAAACAAAATCTGTGCCTTTGCCTGTATGTGTGTATTGGCAAAATTATGTGCACTTGAATTTTTTTCCCTTGCAGTCAGCAATGCACATGAACGTGTGTGTGAGTGTGTTAGAAAACTGTTGGAAAATAAACGCCAAGCGAATGGATAAAGTTTTTCTCTGTGGCATAAAAACAACGAGTTGCTTTGTAGTTTGTAGATATTTGAAAAGCTCTTCTTTTTTCCTCGCTTTGTTCACTCAATATGTAAATTAAACGGTATTCCAATGGCAGATAGAATGCGGAAATTGTTGTTAAACGGAAAAATGCAAGCATATCGAGTTGATTATGATCCGAACGGATTTCTATTGTCGAGTTCGAAGTATTTGGAGAGCAAATTTTAGGCAAATAGTTTAGTAGTTTGTATTTAAATAAAACTAAAGTAAATATTTGTGAATTATATTTTTTTAATGGATTTTATAAGGGTTTTGGTGAGATTTTTGGGATTTTTGTAGCCGTTTTTGGGTCAGTGTTTTTAGTTTATTTATGTAATCAACTTTTTTCTGGTTCGTTTTTAAACCAGCTTCTTTGTAGCTTTTAATAAGATGGTTCTTAGGTTGTTTTTCAGAATGTTTTTGAAAAAGTTTGTAAAAAGATTTAAAGAGGTAAAGAAGGGTTTTGATGATGTCTTCGAGGGCATTTTTTTGGAGATTTATAAAAAGGCTTTTGAGAAGGATTTTGCAAAGGTTTTTGGGGAGTGTTTTAAGAAGATTTTGAGGAGGTTTTGAAGAGGTTTTTTATGAGGTTTTTAAGGCGTTTGAAGAGTATTTTGAGAAGGTTTTTGTAGAGATTTGTAAGGGGAGTTTTGACAAAATTTTGTAAAGGTTTTTTAGGTTGTTCTTTAGGAGATGCTTTTTAACTTTATAAAGATGGGTTAAAAAGGGTTTTAAGGATGTTTTAAGAATTATTTTAGAATAAGTTTTTGAGGAGGTTTTTCATGATATTTTTGAAGAGTTTCTGGGTGGATAGTAGTTAGCTACTGAGACATTTTTTATTTTTTAAAGGTTAATTATTCAATTTGTTATCAAAATATCTTTAAAGACACATAATTTTTATTGAAAAGGTAACACCAGAGTTACTCTTGACCTATCATCAAAATGTATAGACTATTTTCAAAACCTTTTCGCTCAACCGCCCATCAATTAAATCTAAAACACATGCTTTTGGGCAACGATATTCCGGAATGATTGCACCTCAAAGCTACTCTCATTGCTCGTAACTTACCTAGCAATTGAATTTTATGGAAAAGTTACCATCCATAAAGGCTCTGAGCTTGGCAATTGCCAAAATAGAGAGGAGGGTGAATCAATGAAATTGCCCGTAACTCAATGCCAAAGCGATTTGCCAGCAAAATCAATCATAATTACTCCACGTTCCGAAGCACTGCGTTTCGATTTGAATTCGAATTTGGTCAATACTTTGCACAGAATAACACATAAGCACTTTTGTAATTAAATGCGTTAACCAGAGATGGACTCTGGACACACTGGATCCTGTAATCCTGGCACTGCGGCATGCAGCCCTCGGCCGATTCAGTTTAGATTGCCGCGCTCTGTCGGCTGGCAAACATTTCAATTAGACAAACTTAAACTCGAAATTGATGGGCCTAAACCTCAAACGGCCTGGGTTTGGCCGTGGCCCGGAGTGCTGGAAAGGGTGTGGATAAGGGTACGTGTCCGGGTCTCCTGTAGCCTGGCTAAAACCCAAAATGCCACGGCAATGAAGGCTCATTTCCGCAGACGAACACACACAGAAACGCGAGCTTAGATAAAGCAACCAAAGCCAAAATTCTGCACTGTAAAAAATGTTATTGAATTAAATATTAATTAAATAATAATTTTAAGTATTGAAATAAGCATTGTATCTGAACTTTAATATGTATAAAAACCCCGAACCTCATAATTACCTTTTTTCGATATTTAATTTTGCTTTTCAATTGAAATCATATAGCTTCTTTTGCCCAGTGCATTGTAGACCCAAAAGCCATACACCCTTTCGCCACCCGACCATTTCTCATTTGATTTTGTTTATTTGCAGAGGTTCTCTCGCCACACCGTCCTCCAGCCCCGCCCACCGAGTACTTCCAGCTCCACGTGGGCGGCTATGATCCGGCGAATTTGCTGCGACCGAATGTGGATGCACCCGCTCTCGACGGCTACATCGGTTGTGTGCGGGGTTTGAAAATCGGAGCGCAGTTGATCGACTTGGCGGAAATCAATGAAAGGAATATAGCGCCCAGTAAGTAGGCAGTATAAATCAATTTTCACTGAGTGCAGTTTCGGGTCGCTTCTAATGCCATTTGGCATTTGGCGAACAGGCGACTCCTCCTCCAACTCTAATTCATGGGCCACCCGCTGCCACTCCACTCCAGCGTCTGCGGTTGCGACTGCGGCTGGTTATGTGGTTGCATCTGTGGTTGTGTTGCAACAGAGAGCCTCGTCTAACTTAATATGCATGCAATTTCCGTTAAGTGCTGGCGACTCCTGCGAAAGTGGCGATAGTGCAGGAGCAGGAGATGATGGCCTGGGCCAGGACGAGAACGATGAGCCCGGCCTGGCCACTTTGGGGCCGCGCCAAGATTAATGCCAATGCGATAAGCAGCCGGCCCACATGGCGTATGATTTATGCGGCCACGCATCGCGGAAATTGCAACCTGACTTTGATGCGATTAAGCCCAACCGCCGTCAAAGTAAATACTTTGACTGGAAATTGAGGAGTTTGGAGGAGAACAGGTTGTTGTATAGGGTCTTGAGAGTGAATATAGATGTACAACTGATTGATATGGTACATAGAGAGTCTTTTATAAAGATGAACTTCTTGATTTTTTACTTTAAATAATATATATTTTTATTCTTATTAAATACCCCCAAATATTCTCTATTACTTTCTCCAACCTCCCTAATATACTTTCTCTCAATTCCAGTCCAGGATGGCGTTCTGCCCAACTGCCAGATTAAATGCGATGCGGAGCCTTGCAAGAATGGCGGCACCTGCCAGGAGCATTTCGCTGAGCAGGTCTCGACCTGTGACTGTGAGCACACCAGCTTCCTGGGAGAGTTCTGCTCCGAGGAGAAGGGAGCCGACTTTAGTGGCGAGTCCACGTTGCAGCGCAAATTCGAACTACTGCCGGGCATGGGTCGCGTTGACTATGTCCGCCTGCAGCTGGCCTTCTCATCCTTCGACCTGCGACGCGCCAACCGCATTATGCTGCTGATGCAGACGGCGGCCGAGCGTAGCTATTACCTTCTGCTGGCCATCACCTCCGATGGCTACCTGCAGCTGGAGGAGGACCGGGACAATGGGCGCACTGTGGGCGCAAGGATCGATAGGAATTTCCTGAACAGCGCCAGGCACTCGATCTATTATGTAAGAAATGGCACCCAGGCACAGCTCTATATAGATCGCGAGCAGGTGCCGCTGACGGAGTTTGCCGCTCGTGTCCTGACCACTGGCGGTGAGGCGGGCTCGAATCGTGTCCAGATCGGTGGCATTAACAGCACAGACTCGCGGTTTGCCGTCTTCAAGAGCTACAGCGGCTGTCTGTCGAGTGAGTGTCGTAAATTTAAACCCCGTCCGCCATTAATTTCTTTTCGGTCTCATCAAGTGACGTCCCCCTCTGCATTTCATTCACTGAGATAAAATAGGGAAATGAGGGAAAATAATATATAAAATAATACAAAACATAAAGAAATTGTAAAGTAGCTTTAGGGATATCCATTAAATAGATTATTGTATGGAAATTGAAAGTAAAATCTAAATAGGGGTCTTTAAGATAGAAGGAAGAGTAGAAACTTAAGTTATTTCCTTTTAAAAAGTAACCTCAATATAGGATATACAATTTCCTTTATCCTGGTAAAAAGACAACTTCCATAAATAGTTATTTTTCCTAGTGTCCCTACTCTTTACTCCAGCAATTTTATGAACTTACTGAGCTCAACTCTGAGCTCTCGAAATGTTTCGGTGGGGGGGATAGTGTTGCTGCTTCACATTGTTGACCAAAAAATTAAATTTATTCGCTGCCATAAAAAGTCATTTCCGTGGCCGTTGGCGTCGCTTGCCATAAATTCTGTCAGTTTTTTCTCTCAAGATTTACAGTGGCTCATATTTAAATTGCTGCTTTGCTGCCACTCCAAAACCACAGCACAGTGGCCAACACTTTGATTAAAAATTCACCCATGATCCCGCACATTCCCCCGCTTTGGTCTCCAGTTGATATAACATCTGTTTATAGTGCCACGCCCACACACAGAGACCACATGTGGGGGCGAGCCGTAAACCGTTTGTCGTACTCGATCATCATTCCATTAAAGAGTCGTCTGAAAGGCGATAGTTGTGGGTCATAAAACAAGGCATATTTAACGCGTTGGCACAGTGGCAAATATTTTAAATAAGTCGAGAAATATCTGAGTATTTATTATATTTATTTAGGAGTTGTATAAAATATTTTAAGTATTTTATATGGCCATAAAAGGAAAGCATATATGTATATTGGATTTAATCAATTATTTAAGGAGAGTATTACATTTGTTGACAGGTCAGTTTTGCAATTAAAATCAACTTTAAAATAAATATTATTATTTATTAAACAATTTTAAATTATTTTAAATGTAATTTACAGCTTAAAATTAAATTTAAAACGACCCAGAAAAATCGGAAGATCTTAAAAGTTATCTAAAATTTTTTTTTGAGTTTTAAAATAATTATTAAAAATAATTATATGCAAAAATATAATCTTTAAAACTTTAATTAAATATTTTTCTCTCAATATGTAAGCCCCATGTAATCGAAAAGAAATTAAATAGCTTTCTTTGACCTTGATTATAACCTTGCACATACTTGGGACATTCCATTAATTTGCCAAAAGAGAATTTCCCCTCGAAAAAAACAGAAAACCAAAATCAAAGAGCCTGGGTCCTCGTAGGAGTTTACCGATAGGCATTAAAATTTTTATTGCTAATTTCGGAACGCGCATAAAACACGCACGAACGACTTGCCACGGGTGCCACGGGGTCCTCGGAAGCTCGGAGACCGAGCCGAAATTTCAGCCAAGTCAAGCCAAAGCAATTCCAATTTCCACTCGCCATCCGCACACATTTGCATTTCAATTTGAATTAATGACCAATACTAATGAAAATTTCAACCCCCCGACCGCAAATTGGGTAAACCAACTGGACGCCACCTGCCTCCCTCCCATCGGCAGACATCTATATACAGGTGAATGGGCAGGTTATGAAGCCACTCGAGGAGTACATGCTATTCACAAAGTCCGGTGCCGACAACATAACGGTCATCAATCCGCAGGGCGTGAGGAGCGCCCAATGCAACGCCAAATTCGATGTGAGCGAGCAGCCGACACAGGAGCCCATGGTCAACGTTAGCATGGTGAGTAATAGGGCACTGGGAGAAATCTAATTAAAAGTGGAAAAATTTTGCGATTTATTAAGAAATTTAATGTGAAAATTTAAAGTTTGAAATACTTAGAAAACTTATCTTCAGAAAATATTATCTTGTGCGTATAAAAAATTTGTTAAATTATATAGATAACTTGAAAGAATATGAAAAAAGTAGCTTGGACTCCAATGTATATTTATAACTTAAAATTTAATGCTTAACAAATTTAATAACACTTTTTCCAAGTGCCTTCAGTTGTGCCCATTGAGTGTAAGACAATCGGATTATCCAAGGCAACCAGGCGACAAATTGTGCTAATGAATGCCCAATCCCAATTCCAATCTTCTCCCCTCTCTCCCCTCTCTACCTGTCTTCCAGATCCCAGAGCCTTGGGTGGAGGAGCCGCCCGCCCGTGTCCCTTACATTCCGAGATTCGTGTACGATGAGAACAAGCAGGAGGACTCCACGCAGGTCGTCTTCCTCACGCTGACCAGCGTCTTTGTCATCATCGTGATTTGCTGCCTGCTGGAGGTGTATCGCAGCCACTTGGCCTACAAGAAGCGCATTGAGCGGGAAACGGACGAGGACATCATCTGGTCCAAGGAGCAGGCAACTAAGATGCACGAGTCGCCAGGTGTAAAGGCTGGCTTGTTGGGCGGGGTGACGGCGGGATCGGGTAACGGTCTGCCGCCATATACCTATAAGGCGGTAAGTAATGGACTCAACAAGCATTAACTTTGAATTACCTTTGCTCAGGTGCACTGAAAAAAATATTAGCATATTTTAAATGAGATTATAGAGATTTTAAACTTCATTTTTTTTAAAAGTATTTTCTATGTTTTTAGCACTTTTTGGAATTTAAAAAATATATATTTTTAAATATTTTTAAAACTTAATTATGATTGCTTGTTTATCTCTAATTTTTTAATGTGTTCCCCAGTTGCCACAGGAGGACAAAAAGCCTGGCAATGGCGCCCCTTTGGTGGGCATCTTAAAGAACGGCAGTGCCACGCCTTCTCAGCCTGGAACGCCCACTGCCCTGTCCAAGAACGGAGACATTGCCTCCCGCATTGAAGAGGAGGAAGAGGAGGAGGAGCATACGGCCACCGCGGAGACGGCAGTGGATAAGGAAGGCGACAAGGTGGAGACGCAAAAGGAGACCCCCTCCAGTGAAGTGAAAGATGCACTGTCTCAGTCACCTGAGCAGGTGCCGAAGGATACCACGGATGCCTCGGCAAATGGTGCGTCTACATAAATCAGTGAAAATCCATTAAAATATGACCTGACCAAAACACACTTGAAAAATTATGGCTATATATTTAACTTGTAAATAGGTTTACCCCTTATTATTTATATGTGTTCTGTAATTTTTAATAACTTACTATTTACTCTCCTTTAATCTTTCTTTAAGTTTTGTTAATTTAATATCTTTTTTCCCCTCTGTGCAGCTGATCCTGCAACAGAGCCTCCCACACCGCTATCCACCCCACAAAATGGACTCTTTTCTACAGGAAATGATGGCCTGAGTCAGGGAGGAGGGGATGTACTAGTGGAGGTGCCTAGTCTACCGGTAAGCAGAGGACCCACTGTACCCACTGTACCCAATGTATCTACCGAAAACCTTATCCGAATGGCGCCGCTCGTCACAATCAGCGAGACCAATTTGCATGAGTTGGGCTGAGGGACACGCGGCCTTGGCATTGGCATGTAAATAACACCTACACCTCACACAACACCACCCACCACCCCAAAATAAACTAAAGTCTAGTGGAAGAGCATGTCATTACATAATGTAAGCGAGTAAATGGCCTGCAAATACATAGGCACACACAGCTGTAAGGCATGAAAATGCATCATTTGTAATTGCAATCACAAGGACATCCCCGAAGACAAACACACACACACATTGGGGTACCAATATTTGGACAGTCCACGGGGGACATTAGTAGTCAGGAGGACATTGGATAAACAAAACGTTATAATGTCAAGTGCAATCAGGGTAACACACGACGGCAACGAAGGCCGGGAAGCAACTGTAATTACTTCTCTTGGGGATTAGCTGAAAACAGAGTATTAATATTCAACAAGGCAATAAATCTTATTTCTGAACAATACGGGGGTTAATAACTAATTAGAAATCATTGATTCTTTTAATTTAAAATTTTTTTAATATTTTATGCGAGTTGTAATAGTTGTTAATTAAAGAAGATCAAAAAATTGTTCTTTAAATGTAATTGGATATTACATAAATGAATAACTATCTTTTACATTGCATTTTTTTAAGGAAAAACACTTAAAATTAGTATTCATTTATATTTTAGTTTATGTTGATTTATTCATTTTTATTTGTTTAGAAAATAAAAATTGAATTAGGATTATAATTTCTATGTTCTGTTGTTATTAAATGAATAATTAACCATACTTAAGTCTAAGTGTTTTTCATTTTAAAATGTTAACATAATTTTAAATAAAATAAAACAAATGGTAGGAGTAATACCAAGTAATTTTAAAACCTATTCCATTTATAATTATTTTTTAAAAATATTAATAATAATTATAAAAATTCATTAACCATTGAACTCTTGAGTTTCTAATATCTTAAGCTTTTATCAGCTTATTACTTAACTACAAACTAATTTTATTATTAAATAACGATACCTACACACTTTCCTAATTTTAAACTATTTGCATGACCCTACTAAGTTACCATAAATATTGCCTTAGTAAAGCGTTTTAACTTGTTTGCTCTGCCCAGTTTGCCTGTGTATCTGCCTGGCGGCCAACATCAACTCCAGAGAATGTTCCATTTAATTAAATTGCATTTAATTAAATTTAACTAAATAAACAAAACATGTGAAAATATTTTCTTCACTTTATGTTTGCATAATTGAATGACGACAAACATTTTGCCTGGTGATTTTTTTTTAATATTTAATCGATAATTGCAATATAATGGTTACGCTCGTCTGTGTTGTATTATAATTGTCTATATTGAATGCGACTAGTGTGTGACTGTTTAATTAAATTTAACACAAACCAACCATAGGCATGCGAAACAAAAATGGTCAGAAAAAATGGAAATGAGTACCTTTTCACAATTGGCTTAAAGCAATATGAACGAAACGAATACCGGCAATAGACTTTGGCCAGAACAAAGCTTTTGCCAATCAAGTCAATTCAATTATTTCTCAATTATTGTGTAAGCCGATTATTGGCACTATCAAGTTAAATGAATTAATTGCAGCGAAGGCGCTTTAAAGAGTTGTTCCCAGAAAATATTTCATAAAATATGGTTAATAGACTTTGAAAAATATCTACAAATAAATTATGCTTGCATATCCTTTGAATAATTAATTGTAATTCACTTTGCTAAAACACCTTAAGCGTTGGTGGCTTATCTCTCTATTCTAAACCCTAAATATTTAATTTTAATTCCATTTAAGGGTCCTGCTCTTCAAGCTAGAACATAATACTTACACTTTTGCAGCTTGAACAATTTAATATGTGTTAAGGGAACTCTTAAACGCCGGCCACTTGATAGTTTTTACATGCCCTGCGAAACTTTTCGATTTTTATGTGGTGTGTGGTTTTTCCTTGTCTTCGTTTCTTCGCCGCGTTTCCTTTCTTTTTCCCCCTTTGTACATTGGCCAATTCTTTTTCCTTTGTTAGCTGGGGTAAAAAAAAGAAAAATGAATCCTTTCGGTTGGCTGTTGTGGCCAGGACAATTTCTTAAGCGGCATCAATGCAATTTCTTGCCAGCGGCAGACTCTCCCCCTTTTCGGTTTTGGTTTTTTTTTTGCCGGAGCCAAGCCAATTGTCTAAAATGTTATTTAATAGAAAAAGTGCTCTGCACAGCACAAAAGTTAAAATACCTCCGCACAAAAATAAATTGAACTGCATTCGGTGGGGACGAGCTTATTGCAACTGCTTTCTTTTGTTAACAGAAGGGGGCCAAAAGGACATTTGCCAAATGAATATGCGTTAAGGCAAAGCAGGGAAAAAGGAGAGAAGAAAAACGGTCAAGAAGCAGGGGAAAATCTCAGCAGAAAAACTTCATTTTGTGATGAACTTTAGGCTAAGAATAACAATTGTTGCAGACCACAATTTATGGGTCCAAGATGGGCCAGCACTCGGAATAAATTTAGGAATTTTGAACATCATTTTAGGAATCAAGTTAATAAATTTTAAATGTAAATGTTATTGGGTTAGATATTAGTTTTCTGTCTAATTATACCAAGGTAGAATTAATAAGATGCGTAACGACTAACCATAATTACTCAAGAGAAAGGGCACTCATCTTATTTTCTTAGCATCTTATGACTTCCGTCTGAAAATATTTTCTCCTTTTCTAATTCTACCAAAGTGAATATAAATAATAAGATGCGTAACGACTAAACATAATTACTCAAGAGAAAGGGCACTCATCTTAATCTTCTTTAAGAAAAAATATTCTAAGCTTTAAGTAAAAAAGCCCCAAAGAATTCCCAAATTTTCCCAAGTGAAGAAGCTATATATCTCGGTCTTCTTGCTTATCAAGTGCCGTGTCCATGATTTATATAGATTGTATATGCATGCGGGGTGACCAAAAACTCTTCGGCCAGAAACTTAAGACAAAACCTTCAACTAAGCAACAAACGCGGCAAGAACTTTCAACTTTTGCATCGACTTTTCGGCACGCCCAAAAACAAACTTCCACCGAAGCTCGAAGCTCGAACTACGAACTCCCTTTTTCCGTCGCCCAGTTTTCTATAGGAAATTGGAAAAGCAAAATATTGAACTTATTGGCTTTTATGTAGTTTTAGCTGGCAAAGTGTCTATCGAAGCGAATGGGGGGAGTAGGGGTCGCGGGGTCGGGGTCGGGTCGCATGTTACTTTTGAGCTTACTTAGCATGTACTTTGTCTGAGCTTAAGCTGCAGCCAAATTGAATTTTCCCCGACGCCAATCGCTGCACATTCAAATCTGGCGATGAATTTTCCTAGTTTTTCCCACGGCAACGGCAACGGCGACAGCGACACCCGAAAAATGGCGAAAGTTTTGCAGAGAGAGCGGAAAGTGCGTGTGGCATTGTCTAGGCCACGTCCCCCCTGCGCCTTCCCTGAATTTTCCACATTTCCACTTGACTTGCGGCGTCTACGCGAGCCTGATTGCAAAGCAACCGAAATTGAAGCGCACTCAAAACTTTTTTCCTGCCTCAAAATCAAAAAGTTTCGCTTACCCAAAAAAGGAGGAGGTTGAGATGGGGTTTGCCAGCCTCTTCGAAAGAGGTTAATACAGTGCTCGATATTCTGGGAAATATCAGGGAAAATGGGTAAGGGATACGAGCATTGACTTTTAAAAATTAATAATGATTAATTGCTTTCATTTTAATTGGATTTTTGAATAATTATTGATTCTATTTTCCTTATATTAAATACAGAACGAGGATTGTTTTCTACAATTTAAGATTAGAAAGTTGATCTTTGAAGTTCACCTTTTCTCTGAATAACAAGAGCTTAGAAAACATTTCAAAAGATATTGTGGCTTTTCATATTTTATAATTATGTTTAATATATAAATATAGCTCAACAAATATCCTATAAATTATAAAAATCAGCTATACCCAATCTCTACTGTAGTGAAAGCTGCATCTTTTGTTTGAACAGCAACAAAAAAGTGCAAGTGCCTCAGCTGGTGGCTGTTGCTGCTTTTGCTCCTGTCATGCATGCCAAGTTTCCTTCTTTTTTTTTATTCAGAAATGTTTGTGGGCGTCTTTGCACTTTTCTTTCATCTTCTGCTGCTCCGTTTCTTCGGCGCTTTTCCCGGTTTTTTGCCCCGCTCCTTCACCACGAACTACTGCTGTTCATTTGGGCCTGCCGCAAACGCAGCACGCACTTAACTTTGCCAGCTACCACAATGCTGCGGTGAAACTCATTACGAGCTTAGAATGCAAAAACGAAACCCCAGCCCACACACACACACACAGCTGCAGTTCAACCAACAACAAAGTCTGCACAACCAAAAAGCAGCAAGACGACAACCAAAAACACCCCAAAGAACACCCAGAAAATGCACCCATAAAATACACACAAAAAAAAAGAGAAGCAACACCCACATGCAGGGACCATCCAACAGATTTTGCCCTCAAGTTTTCTATAAATCTTAATGAAGGCAAAGAAGTCGAAGCGGGCTAATGATGTGTAAATCAAAGTATAAAATAAATAACTAAAAAAGAAGGGGTTGTGATATTTGCTTAAAGGTAAACCATTTTGATGTAACTTTTAATCAAGGAAATCATTTGGTTTTTAGTTAGTTATTTACTGGGAGGAAAAGCATACTTTTTGTTAAGTAAATATTGCATAAATAATATTTTCTTGAATGATTTTTAAAGCTAAAGAGTGTAAATAATATTTTCCTAGCCATCTAGGACTTATTAATATACAAAAAGCAAACCAAAACATTCTATATTATTCAGTTTTTTTTTTATTTTAATTAGCCCAGGCTTATATTCTCATAAAATGTATATCCTTTTGAGTTTTGTGTTTGTTAAAAATACAATAGAAACGAGTAACAAAATAATTGCTCAACAAGTGAACAATGAGTCTCTCTGGGGCTTCATCTGATATGCCACACTTCAATGGGTGTCCTTAATTCTGGGAAATTTCAAGCGAACAATAAAGTCCTCCGAAAAGCAGACGGAACGAATTTAGCAAATATGCAAATGGAATTACTAACAAGTGAGCAATATGTGAAAGGAATTTCGTCCTTTCGCGCATGTTAATTAAAAAAGAGCTGACTAAACTATGCATGAAGGTATGTCAATGCATGCCACAAAACAAAACTAATCAAAGAAAAATTGTTTTCAAAGGAATGTCTTTACTGCAGCCAACAAAAAAATAATGAAATATTTAAAACGCAAGGATAAAGTTTTTAATAAAAAGCAATTCGAAATATTTCTGCACTTTGACAGCAGCAACATGAAATTCAAAAGCAGCAACAGCAGCGACAACTGCCGCAAAGAGGAGCCAGCTCCAAGCGACGCAAGCCAGGATCCGGGGGAAATGGAGGTCCTGCCGGGACAGCAGCAGCAACAGCAGCAACAGCAGCAGCAGTGGGACCGGCAACAGTGCGGCGACAAGTTTCTTGGGGCCCGCCAATCGTGGCCGAAACAGATGTGGACTTGGCCAGCAATCCAAACTCAAACTCAAACTCGAGCTCCAGCAATGGTAATCGCAAGGCGGGCACCAAGCAGAATGGCTACCATGGCGTCAATAGACGGGCCACAACGACCAGGAACTGATGGAAAGCGAAACGAATGCACAAAATTTTTAGCCACAAAAAGAAATATGTATAAAAGCATAAATATTTAGGCGAATTGATGGCAAGACAACAACAAAAACCGAGCTGAATAAACAAGGCACCAGGCAGCCGAGTTGAGAGCCAAAAACAAAAGCAATTTGTATAAATAAAAGACAAAGTCAAAAGTGCGACAGAGACGAAGACAAAACAAATAATATAAATTGAAAAGAGGCAAGTCCTTGGATTGTTGTATAAAGAAAACTGTCGGCCCATATTCCTCAAAACTGCGACGGTACGAACTTTCTTTCCTTGCACATAAATTTTGAAATGCAAGCAATTTGGTTAAATATGTCATGCTCTTGGCTTGGAATTTAAGACTTTGGTTTAAATGCAATTTGAACGATAAACCAAAAAGGATACATTCTTTACAAAACCGAAACTATGTTTAGAATTAGTTAGAAATAAATCTATATATTTTGATAAAATTTAACCAGAAAAAAGCTTTATGAATTAAGAAAAATGTTAGGATAGCTTAAGAATTTATTTGAGAGTATTTTTTGATAAAACAAACAAATACAGTAAATGAAATATAGGACAGGATAACATTATCTTTTCTCAACTCATAAACTTAAATTTAAATTGATACCTTTTAAAGTTAAGTTGCAAATTGCTTTTGTACAATTTTTTTTAAAGCGAAAACTTGCCTCCATTTTTAGTTTTAAGAATTGCACAACTTTTATTCCTTTCTTCACTTTTCCTTGATATTTTTTGTTCCCCTTTTTCTTTTTTGTAAATTTCATTCTTTTGCTGTGTGATATACGAAGGTACGGGCAATGAAGCCAACTGAGGGAGAAATGAGAACACAACCTTAACTTGTTTCATATTAAACGATGAGAAATTACCCAGAATAACTCGCCCATACATCAATTCATTTAAATGCGTTTATTAAAAAACTTTACCCCCGGACAAACTGCTGACGACACACCAGAGGAGCGGTGGTGGCATCATCGAGATTGACGCCACAGCAAGGCGAAGGCGATGAAGTCGGAGAAGATGGAAAAAGTAAAGCGCAACATAATGGCACTCCAATATACTGTGTGTGAGTGGGGTGGAAAACACGAGAAAATGTGGGGGAAATGCGGAGAAAATGGGTATATATAGTGTGTGGTGTTATGAGGCCATCGCAGAGAGGGGCTTTTATCGGGGGAGTTGCTGGCCAACAGCTTGTTAGTGGCTTTGTTGGTCAGTACTTTTAACTAATGTGTTTTGTGCGACCATAGAAAATCTCAAGTACTCATACGCGCACACATGCACTGGATCTTTCACATATTGGATGTACTTAACGGTGGCACTGGGAGAAAAATAGTAAACGAGAAGTTTATAGGGATTTTGGATCACATTATAGACAAGCTTTTTTGGCATTTTGATAGCAGTAAAAGTACAAACTAGCTGTGAAATAAATTCTTTAAAACATCAAATCTAATCACTTTTTTTTTAATATAATTTCTCCAAGTGCATTTCTACCCAACTCCCCTCTACTTGAAGGGTGCCAGCTTAACCACAAAGTGTTTGTATGAGGAGAAAAGGGAGCTCACACATATATGTAGTCATAGCTAGTCTGGCGCTGGGATTCCCTTGAGCTCCTTCAGTTTTGGCTGCTGCCTGCATAAAATAATCGCATAAAATGTCGTTAAGTATAACGAAATTGAGTCGGCACATAAATTCAGATTATGAGATTAAAATGTTGTGATTTTCGCTCATACATAGAAGCCTGAGCTTGAACACAACCCTTTTCATAATGAAACCCCAAAAGCGAACGCCAAATATTCCGGATGGAAAATGCCCGGAATATAAGCAATGGAAGCCCCATCAAAAGTGGCAACAACATCAACAGCAGTCAAGCCAATGTAATGAGTTTATATCGCCCTTTTGCCCTTAAGCATAAATTTATGAAAAAACAACAACGGGCGTGGCACAGTGGAATGAGTCGAGAGATGGGATTATTTAAATTTGAAACTCGATGTTGTAGTTAAGTTTCTTCAACTTGTATTTCTTGTATACTTTATAAAATCGCGGATTAACTTTGCATATTTCTAAATTAATTGTATTACTTAAAATTAAATTGAGATACAGACATATATTTCAAGGACTTTATTGACTTTCTTAAATTTTTAAATCTTAAAAAAAACTGAATAATGTGTTGAAAGTAACAAAAAATTATAAAATATTAATGAAAATATATTTTATAATAAGGTTTTTATAGAGAAATAAATTTATTAAAATATATTTATATATCTCAAGCTTTTTAATGTCTTTTTTGAATAAAATTCTTAATTAAAACCCCTAAAAAAGTGAAAAATCTCTTACAACCCACTGTGCTTCTGTCGAATAATAAAGAAGTTGCGGTTGCGGCCGGCGATCAAAGTCAAATATTTGGCTTGGCTGTTTACAAATTGGGTCAGCTGGTCATTTGTGCTGGCCGTGGGCCATACGGAGGAGACCCCTCTCACTGCCGCCTCTGGCTGCTGTTTTTCAACCCCTTCTCAAAATGTAAAATTTCCCAAAATAGAGTGAATCTCGGGAAAGGCTATCAGCTGTCGTGGCTTCATTATGACGCTAATTGCTGGCATCGGTGGCCAAAGGACAACGGCAAAAAGGATTAACATCATGCAAAGTGAGAAGAGAATCGATGAGACCGCACAGCAGAAGTAAAACAAGCCAGGACAAACGAGAACATGCCAGAACAGGACCATCATCGGTCTTCTGACCCATAAACAGTTTAGTTCGGACCTAATCCCTGGCTGTATATCCGGATTAGCGAGCCAGAATGCAAGCTATTTTTACAACTTTACCGCACTTTTTAGGTAATGAATGGGATTACATTTTTTTAATCCACTGCCAGCCGCGAGCTGTAAAAAATCTAAGCGAGAAAAAAACAAAATGCAGGTCAAATCACCCGATTGACCTGCGACTATGGGTCTCATGAATGGGCAGGTCAGAATGCAAAGTTGGGTATAAAATAGAGCCGAAATTCTGATGCAACCAGCAAACGCAGTTTAGCAATCCAACAGCCAAGATGTGCCCAATTCAGCATAAAAATGCTTCACAGCCAGCCAAGGATTCAGCTGAAAGCTCTGGGGATTCACCTCCTCGCTCTCCCACCGCTGCTTATGCGATGTTTCTGCACCGCGAGGAGCTGAGACGCCGTAAAGTTCACGTTTCTCGTGTTTCCGTGACCAAAATTCACCTGACTAGCGAATTGATAGCCAAAACCAAACAGAATATAAGGCAGTGCAGCTTCGAGGATCTGGAGATCTTGGCCAGGGAGACGCTCTTCAAGAAGAGTCTTCAGCGACATTTGCATTATCGGAAAATGCAATTTCAGCAATGGATGATGAACAAAAAGAAGCTGGCAACCAAGGCAGCCAAATGAGGAAAGCGAAAAACAAGTTAATATAAGAACAGCTCAAGTGATACAATTAAGAGTTATTTTGTAAATTAATTAAAATAAGGATTTTAAATAAATTAAACAATTGCATAAAATACGTCTTTTGATTGAGAGTTAAATAATTTGTATAAGTATATTCCAAGCTCAACATAAAATACGAATACACAGAAAAAATTTCTGAAGGAAATCCAACCAATTTCGCAGTCAAAATGATCCAACCTAAGTTCATTGATTGATTTTACTGTAAACTACAGTATAACGACGTAACGCCGTTACTGCTCTGCAGTATATCCAACCACGATTCTGCAGTAAAAAGGTTCGAACATACGAAATTGGTGAAAGACAATAATTTACAGTTTCACTGTACAGTATTAACTATGCATCTCTTTCTCTCTCTTTCTGTCTGTCTTTCTGTCCCTCTGAGCTACGTAAATCGAACAGTATCTTGACTGCAACTGACAGTATTTTACAGTCTTTACACTTTATTTGGAACATAAGCGTAACTTTAATTGGCTGTCACAACAGTTTCGTACGGACAAAAATCAAACCACAAAATACATTGACAGTAATTTTACTGTAATTCAACCCACAAAAATAGTATATTCAACCTACAAAACTTTGTTTGTGTACTATGAATATTTCTATGTATAAATTTAAAAAAAGAAAAGATAACAGGAACTCAAATGAAATGAAAAATAGAGCTACAACTCTTTTGTTTATCCCCAATCTTTCGAAATAGCTAAGATCCAAACTAAAGATTTGAACCAAAACCGAAACTTAAATTAAACTTCACTCATTTGTTATGGCAAAGCAACATGGAAAACGTAAACTTGCACTCACTTTCCACGGCAAAAGTGCAATTTTCCATTTAAATATTTGATTATGTGTCCGTTGTCCTCAGCTTCACAGGACCCCCGGTTAGCGGGGCGACCTGCACTTGTAATGGGTGTAAAAACAAATTTACACATGATTACCAGAAAACCCGGTCGGCAAAACTGCGAACATTTAATACAACTCAAACAAAATGGTGCGTTGCATAAATTTGAACAGGCAGCAGCAGCGCTCTCCTCGTTGGCTCTAGAAAAATTTTTGCCTTTTTAGACTACATAAATTTTAATTAAATGTCACTCATACGCCATGTACGCCGAGCACAGACTCTGCCTGGCCTGGGTGTGTGTGTGTGTGTGTGCATTTGAGTGCTGAAGCTGAAGCAGAGTCTGTGTGTGAGTTGGAGTGAGTGTCTGAGGGAACATGGCGACAAATGAATGCACATGAAAGTGGCGCACGAATTACAGTTTATTGAACAGCAGGAGCAGGAGCAGGGATAACGGCCACAGGACAAGGAAGTGGAGTGGAGCTCATCGAGAGCGAAGCTCAGAAGCAAAACACGACACCAAGGAGCAGCTGGAAATTTTTTAAATTTAAGTAGCACTTAGCTAAGAATAGATACATTAGGGTATTCTTTAATTTATAATTTTAAACATTAAGCTACCCTTATTTTTTCAATACAACAGAAAATTATATGAATTATATGTGATGAGAATTTAATGTTATCTTTGGGTAGAAATTAAGAGTTGGGATGAGGAATCTTAACTAAAGAAATCTTAAAATGGCTCCTATATGTTATATAAGTAAATCTATAACCAATTAATTTGTATTTCTTAAGTGAAATATAAATGCATAACAAAATATATATTAAATATCATGCTTCCATTTTATAAATAAAAATTTTTCGATTTAATTTTCATCACTTAAATAAACAAAAAATATATTAAAGAGCAATTTTTAATGATTGAATTTTCACTGCTTAAATGAAGTATAAATATTTAGATAATCACATTTTACCAATTATATTTTTACTGTTTATATTCGATTTTATTTAATTATAAAACATAATTTTAATCGATGCTAAGAATTGACTCTATTCCAATTAGAAAAAATTGAAAGTCAGCAGCCGTGGTTGGTTTACCAGCTTGCTCTAATTATTTTTCTGCTGATTTGTTGTCAACTTTTTTTTTACGTTTGCTAGTCCTCGTTTGTTTATTTTCAGTGGTGGTGGAGCATTTTCCTTTTTCGTGCATTTCCTCCATACAACTTTTATAGCATGCATTATTCATGTTCTACAACAATTGCTTTGGTCCGGCAGTGGATGATTCTGCTTCCTCGTTTCTCCTCCTGCTACCAAGAGCCACTCCCTGGGCTTAATGAAAAGCCATCATGGCCATCAACATCATCTTTTGCTTCTGCCATTTGGCACTTGAAACTTTTTCAATAATTTTAACATATGTATGCGTTCTCTTTCGGCTTTCTTGATAAATTAACTCAAGTGCAGAATGAAGTGTTTATTGTGCTGGAAAAAAGTTTTTTTTCGGCCGCCACGCTTAACTTGAGTCGTTACCAGGAAAGAAAAAGAAGCGAACGAAAGGAGATGTGTGTTTATATATACTTTGGATTTGGTTATCAAGGGAGAGTTAGAGTTGGCAAAATAATAATAATAATATTCATATTTGTATCCTTTAAATTGCAAATTTTATTTATACAAAAAGTATTTTGCTTTATAAAAAATATATAAATATGCTTAAATTATTTTAAATTAAATTTTAAGCCTTTATACAATTTCTATAAATTTTAATAAATATATATGTATATATTTCCTAAAATACTTACTCGATTTCCCTTTAAAATAGTCAAATTCCACAAAAAAAAGACAAAATGTCAGTACTATAACGTATAGGCAGAGCACAACGTAATCGTCATGGTGGCTTAAAGCAATTTGTTATTAATTTCCGCGTTGAAAAGTTGAAAAAAAAAGAACCCAAACTTTTTCCTTCTTTTGTTTCGGCTCGCAATTTTTCCCCCCTCTGGTTTTCCGCAGCTTTTCCTTTACCTCGCTGTCTCAATGCCACTTGGCATTCATTTAATGCGAAAAGTTATTGTCGTTTTTTTCTGGCGTTCTTCTCCATGTCGCTGTTGTTGTTGTTGTTTGTCGCTTTGTGTGTGTTGCCACATTAAAACATGGCCCATAATGGTTAACAAGGCATTTGCTTGTTGACCATCGGCCAAATGAGCAGCAAAACTTGTGCTTACATTGTTCAACATGTGTAATAAATATATTTCCACCGAGTGCCGCCGCCCCTGCCTTTGCTGCCACCCTTCCAAAGTGCGTGTGTCTGTATGTTTTCGTGTGACTCTGTGTCTGTAGTTGTGGCACAGAAAATAAATTTTTAGGATTTTATTAATTTTATTAAATTTTGTTCTTTTAAGAAAAATATTTCTAAAGGATTTATGATAATTTACTTAGAAATATTCTAAGGACTTTAATAAACTTGGTCATGGGGAACAAGGAGCACCAAATATGCCTTGTCCGCCTGTCCTTCTGTCTGTCCGTCTGTTTGTCCGTCCCTATGTCGTATAAGGCACCAGTTTTTAGAGACCCTAAAGCCAAAGTTTTTATATTTGATAGGAATATTTTTATAAAGTAATTGACGAAAATTATGTTAATTTTAATAACAAACATTCAACTCAAAAAAATAAATATTTAAAAATTGTAGGTCACAATATTGTTTCAAAAATATTTTTAAAATTATTTATATAAAATAAAGCGCACTTTTTAAAATTTATTATACCATTAAAAACTAATAATAATAATAATAACATATATTCCACGTCCCTAAGAAAATTCTATTTATCCAAAAACAAACTGCAGCCTAAACACATAACAGAAAAAATTTATCCCACATATTAAATTCTTTACATATACAGCTTGTCAATTATTTGCAATTTTTTCCCGTGTGCCTTGCTAGGTAATAAATTGGAATATTCCTGCCTAGGTATGATGATGACTTGGCAAAGTACGAAATACAAACATATTTGAAATGCAAGCGCCGCGGCGTATGCAATGAAAAATGTCAGAACAACAATGTTAATATGGCTGCCAAAGGATTCAAGGGAGCTGCTCGGTGGGCGTACTTAAATGGGGGCGTGGCACGTCGAGGGGGCACTGAGAAGTGTGTCAGTGTGTGCGTTGCATGAAAGTGCAAGTTTTGCTTATTGTTTCTGCCCGCTGATGCTGCTGCTGTTGCTGCTCCGACAGTAACCTTCAGCCAAGAACAATAAAATTGCGCAAAAAAAAAAATGAAAAATAGAAAAAATGAAACTGAAATGGGTCCCTTGCAAATGGAAAACTATGAAAAGCTATGGCAGCAGCGAATGCCAGGGAAAAATAACATTTTAAATGCGTTTTCCATACCCAAATTGCATAAAGTTTGATAGCATTAGCATGGCATAAGCTTGATCAGGATGTTTTTCAAGGTTTAAAGCTAAACTTTGGGAACTTGATATTATTTAAAAACAAGCCATTTTTCGTTTAGAATTTATTAAAATTAAAGTAAATTTAAAAGGTTCTAAAGTTGTAGTCTTAAAAATTAAATCGTATTACAAAGACTACCAAGAAAATAATTATTCAATAATCGAATCCCTTTTATTAATATGTTTTCATATAATTTTCTTATCCATAAGAGTATTCTCCAGTCGTGGGCCACAAACTCCTCCTTTCTATTCCCCAAATGGCAGTATGTAAATGCATTGCAGCCGCTTGGCCAACACACATTTGCACTTGAGTGAAACGCGTTAGCTGCTTTCCTTGCAGTTGATTTTTGGGTTAGTGCCACGCCTCCTCAACTCCAGGGAATAGAGAGGCGGCGGTATTGGGGATGCGGGGACTGAGGATTTTAGATTTTCGGTCGATGAGGCACAAGGAACGAGAACCATGCGGCTGCCACACAAAATGCTGGAAAGTGACTGTCGGGTTTCGTGTTACCAAGACACAATCCGGGGACCGACGCGTCAGTGCGTCATTGTTGGCCAAAGGAGACCTTGGGGCAAAGCTTAACGGGCAGCAAAATGGATTTTGGACCGGGCCCAGGCATGCTCCAGAATCCAGAATGCAACACAAAAGCACTCACATCCAATACACACCTTCAAAGTTAACTACACTTGCCTCGAAAAGGGTTAAATATGTCTTGAAACTAAGGTTAATATTCATAAAAAATAAATTATAGATTAGTTTTTGCAATTCATTTGTTTAAATTTCACTGTATTATATTATTTATATTTCTTATGAAATTTAATTTTATTTAAATAATTATTGAAAACATTTCAAATAAGACATACGTTTTTTAAATTTCTGAACTGTAATTGTTGAGCTTTTTGTGGGTTGTCTGAGGATTAGCAAAATTACTTTTATTATTAAAATTCTGATATATATGAAACATTTATTTTTAAAAGCAAAGATTTAATATTGTCTTGAAAAAATAAAATAATAAAGTTTTTTGTTTAATAAAAGTTCACATGACTTTTATAACGAACTACGAATGTGCTCTTCCCGTCAGCTAATAAACATTTATACGTTTAATAAACTAAACACTCCACTTGCTTCGCCTTTTAGAAGTGCATTATTTTTCAAAATAATGTTAAAATTTTATAGGTGTACGTATACTTTCATGTCAGGCAGGTCCTGTGCATTTATATTAACAACATAAAGTGCCAAGTCACGACAGGTGCCAAACTCCAGAACAATGCCAACCAAAAAACACTTTTCCCTGGACCAAAAGCAGCTTGAATAACCCGCCGTAGCCCCCTTCTTTCTGTGTCTCAAAGCCTTTAAATAATTATAAAACTTTATCTCTTCTCTGGACACGAACCCAACCCAACACCACACACAACCTCTCTCACTGTCCATTGAACGACACTTTGACTAAAGCCAAATAGAATTAAACCCTGAAAAATATTTGATCTAAATTCCCGGACCTTTCCACGCTCCACCAAACTCCATGTCCCGTTGCCATTTTCATGCCCAATCTCCCCCAGAAAGCGCAGCAGCAGCAGCCGCAGCAACGACACAAATCCCGCCACAAAGAGCCCGATGACACAGAGGATCCCAAGCAGCGAGAGCCTCAGTCCTTTGATGTAGCCACAAATGCCGATGCGCGAACAGGGTCCACCCTGCCTCAAACACCCCCAGACTCGCCGCAGATGGTGGAAAAGCCACCGCTCCCTTTGGTGCCTCCGCGACGACGGCCATGCCCTCCAATGCCGCCGCCGCCGCCACCGATTTTCCTGGAAAACTCACTGCAGCAGCGTCAGTTCGCGAATCCAATTAGTTACTTGGGAGGACCGCGACTGCAGCCGCGCAGTAATCGCACCAGCATCGACTCGATATTATCGCTGGATTAACGCCCAGCCGGTTTTCCACCGCCCAATCCTCGCAGACAAGTCCCAAACCGTCAACTGGCGGGCGGAAAAAGGGGGAAAAGTGGGCAGCCAAGCCGCCGCCATCCCCCAGTGGATTCTGTTCCTGTTTGCCACAACCTCAAGCTATGAAGTCTAGTTGCAGTTAGAAAGTTAAACCAATGTTAGATAGACAAAGTTGAAAAATAAAAAAAAAAACAATTTGTTAAGCGTGATTTTTGTGTTGTTATTTATAATCGGAATTTTACGCATTTAACGGTAATTATAGAACTAGGTGTTATAATATATATAGACGTTTATATATATAGTATATTATAATTAGTAAATGTATATATAGTATACCACCCATTAAAGATTCTGAGCACATCAACTTGGGGCATTCCAGGAGCTCCGCTCCCGCACAGTTTTTGGGGAATGGGGCTCTCCTGGAAAAGGATGCTGTCCTCAAAGACACCTTTGACTCAGTGATCCAAGAGTACATCGACCTTGGCCATATGAAGCCTGAATTTTGACTAACCCTATCACGCGGTGTTCAAGCCCGAAGTTCAGTCCTTCTTCAAATGGAAAACAGCCTTAATGACATCCTTTATCCAGGTCCAGTACTTCAGGCTGATCTCACTCTCCAAGTCCTCAAGTGGCGGACATTCAAATTCGTGATCAATGCCGATATCACCTAGATGTATCGGCAGATTCTATTAACCCAGAGCACACCCCGTTTCAGAGAATCTTCTTAGGAAATGATCAAGAGGATATCACCGACTTCGAGCTTAAGACTGTCACGTTTGAAGGTTATTGTGCCCCTTTACTGGCCTTACGAACACTACAGCAACTGTTCAACGATGTCAACGCTCAATATCCACGGGGCGTCTCATATAGTAATTTCAAATTACATATATATCGACGATGTGCTAGCAGGAGCTCATACAAAGACTGAAGCTATTTTAGCCATTCAGGAGTTGAGGGCAGCGCTGACCTTAGCTGGATTTCCTCTCCGCAAGTGGACATCGAATGAACCCGTCACTCCTTAAGGTACTACTTCCCAAAGATCACCAACTTGCAGGTGATTTCCTTGACCACGAAGAGGTTAGCACCACTAAGACACTGGAAGTATTTCGTCCCGACTGAGTTTACGATAAATGCGAATTATTCCAAACGCGACCTTCTATTGCGAATCGCAAAGTTGTTCATTAATTTTTTTTTTTTTTTGCTTACTTTTTACACCAAAACCCATATATGATTGGTCCTAGTAAATATAAGGATATGTATGTCTAATACTATTGCTAGAATATTTAGATATCTCATGAGTTTAATGTAACTGTCATGTTCTGTGTTGAACTTTTCGGTTTGACCCCGGAAAAAAAGATCTCGAAATCCGATCCAATAAAATTCCCCGTTACCACCAGGAGTAAGCCTTAAATTTTGAGCACCAGTCTAGGGAACCGAAGAGCAACATGTCGATGCTGGCGAGAACCGTTGGACGCATTTTAATGCAGGCTGCTGCAGTCCGTAGTCTGAGCACCACGTCTGTCGCCAAGGATGCCTGCACACTGATTCCCGGCGATGGTGTGGGTCCCGAGCTGGTCAACTCCCTCCAGGAGGTCTTTAAGGCAGCCAGTGTTCCTTTAGACTTTGAATGCTATTTCCTCTCCGAAATCAAGCCCGAGCAGAGTGCCAAGCTGGAGGATGTGGTGGCTTCCATTCAGAAGAACAAAGTGTGCATTATGGGCATTTTGGCGACATCCGACTACAGCAGTGGGGGAGACCTGCAGACGCTCAACATGAAGCTCCGCACCGCTCTGGACCTGTACGCCAACGTGGTCCATGTCCGCAGTCTGCCCGGTGTTAAGACCCGCCACAACAACATCGATACCGTGATCATTCGCGAGCAGACCGAGGGCGAGTACTCGGCACTGGAGCATGAGTCGGTGCCCGGAATCGTTGAGTGCCTGAAGATTGTCACCGCCCAGAAGTCGATGAGGATTGCCAAGTTCGCCTTCGACTATGCCACGAAGAATCAGCGGAAGAAGGTCACTGCAGTGCACAAGGCCAACATTATGAAGCTGGGCGATGGCCTCTTTCTCCGCTCCTGCGAGGAGGTCTCCAAGCTCTATCCGCGTATCAAGTTCGAGAAGATGATCGTGGACAACACGACCATGCAGATGGTGTCCAATCCCAACCAGTTCGACGTAATGGTAACGCCCAATCTGTATGGCGCCATCATTGATAATTTGGCCAGTGGCCTTGTTGGCGGTGCTGGTGTGGTGGCTGGTGCCTCCTACTCGTCAGCGACCGTGGTCTTTGAGCCAGGAGCACGTCACACTTTCGCTGAAGGTGAAGGCAAGAATGTGGCCAATCCAACTGCCATGCTGCTCTGCGGTGTGAAGCTGCTCCGCCACATCAACCTGCCCACCTATGGTGAGTTAATACACAATGCCATCAAGAAGGTGCTCAAAGACGGCAAGGTGCGCACCAAGGATCTGGGCGGACAGTCGACCACGCAGGACTTTACACACGCCGTTATCCGGAACATGTCTTAGGCAACCCACCATTGATTACTATGGCAGATGGTTTGGAATCGTAAGGAACGACAAGCATAAACTCATATCTAAATTACAGCTATTGTCAATCAGTTTGGGCTGTCTAAATTTTAAGTCAATTTTAAAGCAATTTCAATATTTTTTATTGATTTCATGGAATTTAACAGAAACAATGCATTACGTGATTTAATAAAGTTTTACCATAAATAATACCTGTTGTTAATCGAATTAGAACCTAGCTCTATATAAGGTCCTCTGCCCAGTTGACTAGCAGTCTCAAAATGAAGTACTTGAGTAAGTAGTATATTGAAAGCCGATCGTTTCAGGAAGATAATCCCAGATACACCTTCTGCAGTTCTTTTTCTTCTGGCCACTTCAGTGGCAGGATTCCATCAAGTGTTTAATAATTATTTGGACCATGTCCATAAAAATAAAAACCTACTTGCATCTTCCTACTCGGCAGAGTTGGCCTTAGGAATGCTCTATGTTGGGGCCGGAGGAGAGACGGCCCAGGAACTGGGATCTGCTCTAAACGTAACCGGTAGAGAGGATGTGAAGGAGAAATATAGGGCCATGCTAAGCTCGCTTCCTTACCCCATCGAAATAGCAAACAACTTACTTGTTAGTAACGAATATAAAGTAAAAGAAGCATATAAAGCGGAGGTTGGACTTAACTTCGGTGCCACAACCGGAACTCTTGACATGACCGACCCAGAAGAAGCTGCTGCTCAAGTTAACAAATGGGTGAATGATAAAACTCATGGCAGAGTCCAGAAACTATTTTCGTCTATAGGACCTAATGTCCATTCAGTACTGCTAAATGCGATTTATTTGAAAGGCCTATGGGCAAAAAGGTTCGATCCAGCCTTGACCGAACAAGCCCAGTTCTTTGTGTCGGCCACAAAAACTGTCCCTGTCCAGATGATGTCTATGCAAGCCAGGTTCCGGGCTGAATGGTTTTCCAATTTGGATGCCAAAGTTATCGAGTTGCCGCTCAAGAAGTCTGATCTTGTGATGATCATATATCTGCCCAACAAAGTTGGCGATCTCAACGTGTTGGAGGACAGAATAACTCTACGAGACTCTACGAGGCCAAAGAAACGTCAGTTCGTAAATCTGAAGCTACCTAAGTTCAGAATCTCAAGTAAAGCAAAACTAAAGCCAGTTCTCAAGCATGTAAGTAAGATCTGTGTGAAACATTTCTACTCTAATTCAACTCTAATTAATTTATTTTCTATATTTCTGTGCAGTTTGGCATAAAAACGCTATTTAAGCGTTCAGCGAACCTAAGTGGCATCGTGGGATCGGAAGCATCAAATTTCTATGTCGATAATGTAATACAGGAGGCATTCATTGAGATCAATGAGGACGGCGGTGAGGTAGCAGCTGTCACAGGTAATTTGAGCTTACGATAGTCTAGATATTATATAACATAATATAATTATTCTGTTTATATATATTATATACTTCTCTTTAAGGCCGTAGTATCCTATTTTTAAGACCAACTTTATTTTCTTGTATTATCTGTAGAACCACGGACATCACCGCTGGATTTTATTGTCAATGTTCCATTTGCCTACGCCATTCGGGATGAACGAGAAGTTTACTTCCAGGGCCACGTCAACCAGCCTGTGTGGTAATAAAGATTTGCCTGGCATAACGTTTACAATTAATTAAACAAATTAAAATGCTTGTGTATAAAACATGGTGAAGTATTCAATTAATCTTGGTAAGGGTAAAATTGCACGGATATATTCTACAAATTTCTATGCAAATGGTAGGTAATGTATTCTTACATATAAGTTTAAAGTCAAATTTATAGAAAAGCCCACTAAAAAAAGAAGAGTTTTGATGTATTGTATAAATATTTATTGGATTAGAGTAGTTTCTGCGTGAATCACCACATGGGATCGCTTCTTGTTTTCTTTACTTTTTGCTTAACTTACACAATTACAATAAATTGTATTTTAGCTTACGAAGAGTTCAAGTCCCGCCCACTGATTACTGATTTTCCCCCAGGAAAATCGATGGAATACGGCTTTCGATCGATTGCGTGGGGAGGCATGGAAGGCGGGGCTGGGGACACATGCTGACTGAGATGATGATGGGATGGATTGAGGAGCCATGACTCAGGGGGCATGCTCGGGAGACGTATTTGGAGGTGGGGGAGAGTTCAAGAGTCGCTAGGTAAAATCCGGCGGCTTGTACTTCGGCGGTCGCTTAATTGGCTTCTATAACCAATTGCGGCCGCCACGTCATATGTTGTTCTCCTTGGCGCCCTTGGTTCCGGATCCGGAATTTGATCCGGTGCCGGCTGCCGCATTAGTTGTCGCTCCGGCATCGTTGTCGCTCTTGTTGTTGCTGTTATTGTTGCTGTTGTTGTTTGTAGTAGAGGCAGTGGATTCCTCACCATCGGCTCCATCTCCTGAAAAGTAGGGATTGTTAGAGGCTAGACTTCTTTATATCAATCTGTTTTCACTCACCCTTCTCCTTCTCGTCCTTTATTTCGCTGGACGTTTCCGAGGAAGCCTTGTTGCTGTTAGTATCCTTATCCAGGCGCGGCCTCTTCCTCTGTCCCTTATACGTCCTGTTGTCTCGGCGTCCGCCCTCGCCCTCATCCTCGGAGTCCGAGTATTCGTTCTCCGGTACAATGCGCTTGTCCTTGTCGCTCTGCGGCAGTCGTTCGTCCTTGTCGACCTTGTCCTCATCTTCGGACTCGTCGTTAATAGCGTCCTCGGGGATCGCTTGGATTTGAACGCCAGGAGCGTGTGGCAGCATTCGCAGGTTTTCAAACAGACGGTTCTTGATCTTCTCCAGGTACTCGGACGTATTCTGATTCGTCATGTTACTGGGACTGATGTGCAGCTTAAAGTCGGGCCCAAAGTACTCGAAATAATCGTTATACGGCAGTTCGTTGGCGATTTCCACGGCCAAGGCCACCGATGTTTCGTACGTCCAGCAGCGGGAGACATTGCGGATGGTATAGCCACCACCGCCGACCATAAGGAATGGCAGGTTATACTTCTTCACAAACTCCACGCACTTGCCATGGCCCTTGACGGTGAGATTGAAGCAGCCCAACCGATCGCCGGTGAGGGAATCTGCGCCGCACTGCAACACCACAGCCGCCGGTTGGAATGTCTCCATCACCTTGCTGATAATGGGCACGAATATGCTCTCATACGCATCATCGTCCATGCCGTCGCGCAGCGGTATATTCACTGCATAATACTTTCCCTTTCCGGCGCCAATGTCCCGGAGGTCGCCGGTGCCCGGGAAATACTCGCCGTACTTGTGGAAACTCACGGTCATCACACGATCGGTTGTGTAGAATGCCTCCTCAACGCCATCGCCATGATGGACATCGATGTCGATGTAGAGAACACGCTGGTGGTATTTGAGTAACTCTAAAATGCCCAAAACGATATCGTTCACATAGCAAAAGCCGGAGGCCTCAGATTTCTTAGCATGATGCAGTCCGCCGCCCCAATTGATGCATATCTCGGAGGCCTGTTTGTTCAACTTTACAGCGGCTGCCACGGATCCACCGGCAGAGAGCTGACAGAACTCGTAGAGTCCATCGAAGACGGGACAATCCTCGCCCACGTTGAAGCGCTGCATCTGCTTGTTGTACTCCGAAATGTTGTCCGGACGAATGGAGCGCAAGAACCGGACGTATTCGTCCGAATGGAACTTGGTCATCTCATCGGCGGTTGCTTTATGGGGTCGCTGGAAAACCAAGTTTATTGTTAGATCTTCAATAACAAATATTATTTATATATAATTTTAAATACCAATTACATGAAAATTATTATACAGGAATTACTTACGTAAATCTCCATTTTCCGGTAGAGCCCATAGTTGAGCAGCAGGTTGTGGGTCATGCGTATGCGGTGTGGCTTCATGGGATGGCCCTGCCCATAGTAGTAATTGCCAATATCACCTGCGGATTACAAATCACAAGTATTAGTGGCTTGAAAAAAAGGCAATTGCCACGCTATGCAAAATATAAATTTTATGGCCACAGTCGGCGCGGCGTCTGTGTGAAGTTCACTTTTCCCGAACGACCGCAGCGGTCGCACTTTCGCCCCGAACAAAAGCAACAAAAACAATAGGGTGGCGGAAAGAGACCTACAGGTACATACACGCACACGCACACAGCGGCACTGCGGTCGTTACCGAGAAGTGTGCTGTGGGAACAACGCGCGCGTACAGTCGGCATAAAACTTGAAATTTATGAAAATGCTATTATCTGATGCCGAACGGATGCGGAAAAAGGCGAAAACTAGTCTTGTACACTTTAAATGTTGTCTTGAAGGTATTATTTTCCATCTCGCGGTGTTTTTGCCATTATATTTAATAATAACTTACTGTCATAGTAGTAGCAGACGCGTTTTTTGCTGTGAGACTGCATTCTGTGGTGCTTTGCTAGGGTCTTAAGAAACCCCTTGATATCGCTTCTGCGGGTTCTTGGAACCTTGATTGTTTACTTGGGCAGTTGGGGACTCGGGATGCCCTTTTTTTTGGGGAGGTTCCGCCTTTTTGGCAATTTACAATCAATTTACCGAGACCAGGAAAATTCGCGCACAAGATAAATTAGAGGTGGAAGCATCGAGGCCAACATCGATGTCATCGATGTTTTCGAAACAACGCTTATCGATGTTTGCCAGGGCATCACCGATGTTTTTCCACCTCTAAATGTAAAAAGAAATGTAAAAAGAAAGTTCTACACGATTACATACAACGATGTCAAATTTCCTATACGAATTGGGGTAGAATTCTCGAGTTGGGAATTATAAGATGTAAATGTAAAGGTTTTGCTAGGGATGTGAACGTAGTTAAATATATCGATATTTTTATATTATTTCATATATTTTTTATTTTTATTTAAATATTCTGATATTTTGTTGTCTCTTTTAAGTCCTCGTTCTACATACTCAATTGCATTTTTTTATTTTATTATTTTTGGTCATACAATACAGGCACTAATCTAAAATATTTAGACTTTAGTATGTTTTTTACCGACTGCTGTTTTTAATAATACCGTTAGTTTTGAATTATTTAATTCTAAAATATAAACAATTATTTTTATTTTATGCTTAACATATGGTTATATAATTTTATAAAGTATTACAAATTTAAATTAATTTACTCAGTAACATAGGAACTGTACAATTTCAATTTTTGTTTTTTATATGTTTTGCTTCGTGCTTCCATTTTATGGACAAACTAATCAAATTATCCAATTTTGACCACAATTGTTTGATCTTTAAAAAAGATACTTTCCTTATACATTTTCTGGAAGACAATGAAAAAAAAGAACTATTCTTTTGTTAACAAGTGTATAAAAAATAGTAAAGTCTGGCAGCACCAACACTCATGAACGCAGCTTCTGGCAACGCACCAGTGCTGCCAGAGCGGCCCAAAATTCCAGACATGAGCGACCAGCGATGCCAGACATTTCGTTCACACGGTAAATGCAATATTTGCATCTGGTAACACTGATATTTGAAAGTGTGACCGTAATGTGGGCGCTGAAATACACAGAAAGACGAGCAGAAAGAAGAAGAGGGAGGAATATTGAACACAAAAACAATCAACGCTGCGCGATTCGGACGCATACTCGGAGTTTTTCAGCGTGGGTGTTTTTCCTCGGTCGGCGTTTTTCGGCGGCTTCTTAGTGAAAAAAAAAACAATTGTGCACGAAGGCAAAAAAGTTAACAGAAAGCTGAATTAAAAAGAATATAAATTTAAAACGACGCGTAAGTTAAACTCCAACTGATACTGTGGGTTCGTGTGTGCGTGTGCTGCCGACTGCTAGTGTGTGTGTACGAAAAAAAGAGAACGAAGTTGCCAAGCAAATGGAGTTGCAGTAGGAAACACAAACAGAGTTGCCCTCTCTCTCGCTCGCTCACACACACTCGCACGCGAATGAAGAAGTGGAAAAATTAAAATCGAAATAAAGTGACAAAGTGGAGTAACCAATAATAAAGAAAATGCCAGATTAAATGAACCCGCACGCTGTGGAAATTAAATTAAAGTTAAATGGACAAATCAAATAATATCCTGCGCAGCTCTCTGTGTGATTTTTCTCTCTTTATTTTCCCCTCGCAGAACCAACGCCTCTCTGAAACTTTCTGTTACTTTTGTTAAACTTCTTTCCCTTCCTCTTTCTCCCTCTTATTGTTGCTGTGCCCGCAGGATATGTGAAACTTTTTTCCGCTGGTGTTAAATTATAGTTTTTTTTATCCCTCTTTCTTTCCTCATCTCCTCCATCCAATTTCCAATTAACTACGAACTTCAGCAAAAGCATAAGCGAAAAAAATATATATTTTATTTGTTGTTTGCAGACCGTGAATTAAAAACAACAACTAAAGCCGCAGCTGTAAATTTCGCGCTTTTAATAGCCATAAAACGTACGAAGCAAAAGTTAAGAAGTTTTGATTTATTCTAATTAAAACTGAGGTAAGTGCATAAATAAAAGAAACCGGATTAGCTCCTTTTCATTCGCACCTCCTTGGCCAAGTACCGTTAAGAAGAGAAGCCAATGAACGCAAATAAGTAAACACAAAAACTAAAAAAAGAGAGCGAGCGAGAGCAAGAGATTTGCTCTCCCGCTGCATTTCTATTTATGCTTTAGCTGCTGATAAAACTTTACAGTCCATTCTCGATACATATTTCAGCAGAATAAAAATATATTTAAAATAAAATATATAAAATGTTAAATTTTCTAAACGGTTTTAATTTATTTTTAATAAATACAATTTTCTATTAATTATCAAACCTATTAGAATTATTAATTAATTAAAAGGGAGATATTATTAAACCACAATTGGAATATTTAAACATTGTAATTTTTCAGAACTATAAAAGTTCATATAACGGAGAGTTCACTTTATTTAGCTCGTCTCGGCTGCTGTAAAAAGTCAAAGAGCATTTCTGGTTGTTTTTGTTGTTACTGCAATTGTCTTTAATTTGTTGTGAAGAAGAGGAGTGCTAGCAGGAGGGAGCGAGAGGAGATAGAAAAAGAACGAGATGACGAAAATAACGAAGAAGAACTCAGAGCAGCAGGCGTCGGCGCAGCAGCTGGGGTTCTCCACGGCTCTCGCCCTCTCTCTTTTGCTCTCGTTTCAGAGCTATGCGCTATTTTCGGCATTTTTGTGCTTATTTATTTACCTTTTGGTGGCTTGTTTATTAATCTTCCTTCCCCCACCTTATCCTTTTTCAACTCTCAATCGGTCCATGTGCTTTGAAGTTCAAGCCACAAAATTTGTTTCTGGGTTTTTGTTGATTTTCTGCTATTTTTGTAGCTTATCTGCTCCACCGAAGTTTTCTTCACTAACCACCCCTCCTCTTTCCCCTCTATGCCCCGCAAAAACCCTTCAATTAACATTGCCGCCGTCTGTTTTCCGTTTCTTTTTTTCGGTTCCTCTTTTTTTAGTTCTCTCCTTTCCCACTGCGGCTGCCGATAAAGATAAAAGACACAAATAGTGTGCCTCACATATTTACAGTGAAGTTTAGGATATGGGAAATTTAAAAAATCTCAAAATCGTAATAAATGTTGTAATATTTTTTAACAAAAATACCAAAAGTTAATAGAATATTTAAATTAATTAAACAAAAAATTAAAAAATAGGTAACTTCCATAAAATTTATAAAAAAAATATAACAAATTATGTTATTTTTATTATTATTTTTTTTTGTTTGTTTTAGTGTATATTACGAATTCGAATGCAACTCCATTTTTGAACACTATATCTTTAACCCTTCGTATTGCGTTGCTCTTTGCCGCCGCCTTGCTCTCTTTAACCCCTGTTGGGTGAATGGCGGCCTTCCGCAAAGTTCCATTTAAGTGCAACTGAGCAATTATGCTTTTTGGCCTATCGACCCCTCTTTTGTGCTCCTCCATCTTTTCACTCCCCACCCCCCTATCCTCTTAAATCATTGCAAAATGGCAATCGCAAAATGCTCAAACAAGTAAATCTGCTTAACTCGACTAACGGCAAACTTGTTGAGATCTTTTCATTTTCTCTATTTTGCTCGCCGCTTCTCCTGTTGTGGTTGTTGTTGTTGTTCGCATTTTCTATTTTGCACACAAAGCGCTTACAAAGGCAAAAGGCAATCAAAGCGAGAAAGGGAAATGGAGCGAGGGAGAGGGAAATATTAAGCGTGGGAGGTGCAATCAGAAGAATCCAACAGCACAAAACCACTACAACAACAGAAAACGAATAAAAAAGTAGTAAAAGCAAAAGAAGTGGCGGAAGAAGAAGCAGCAGCAGCACAAGTAGAAAATTCAATTGTTCGCCACTCTCTTTTGGGCTCTTCCTTTGTGCTCTCTGCATGTGCCTGTGTGCAAGTGTGTGTTTTGTCCACTTAGCTAGCAAACAATGAACAATTGATAAGGAACAACGGAAAGGAGAAGCGACAACGAGGAGAAGGCGAGGAAAAGTGGAAAGTGCGTGGCAAGTGCGTCAAAAAAAAAAGGAGAAATATGTATTTGTAGCAATGACCGTGTGTGTAAAGAAAGATTAAAGGTTTAAATTTTTTTCCACTTTCCTTGCGGTTTGATATAATGGTAACTCCGTTTAATATTCGATATTTTACATAATAAAATAAATATCAGTTTTAATGAACATTAAAAATAGATTAAAAGATTTCTTAAAACTGATTCAGAATTTTCATTCTGCTCTTCAGTTCTTCCCTTAGTGTTTGGTCATTCACAATATAATTCAGATGTGGGCCAAATGTCTTTAACATTTTGAATAAACAGCGATTGGTGGCCAACTTCAGTAGCTTGTGGCTGGGGCAGAGCTTCCCGTTTTCACGGTCCGACTGAACAGGAACCTCAGCAGCGGCAATCAGCTTTCCCTCCACTTTGATAAGGACTTCAAAAACCCAAGATAGATCTTTCTGGACAATACCATGGCTGTCTTCCCTTAACGATCTCGCACAGATGCAAACGAGTCCTTGAAGGATCCACACCAAAGGCTCACCACATTGGAGTACATGGTTGAGTTTAGCCAGTTTATCGATTGCGAAGAGAAAAGCAAACTGATTCGGAAATACTAGGTAGCTCGGAAAGAAAAGTCCCGAATAGAAATGGACGAGTTCTCTCAAGTAACCTACTATATTACAAATGCACAAATGGGTTGGCTGAATTTGAATTTCAATTTGCGGGGCTCTACAGTATTTTCTAAGCGACCCTTGGGCTACTTCCTTGGGCTTGACCAGGGATCTAATCCCTGTTTGACGCTTCAGTAAGTCACTGATCTGCGCTCGAGGAGCAGTATCCAAACAGGAGTCCATTTTGACTAGAAAATCATTAATTATTTTATATAGAACTTTTCGCAATTCTTCCCAATAAGCACTGGTATTCTTCACGTCCTCGATAGCGACCAATTCGGTCCACAAACTGCCTGACATTTCTGCATAAAAGTCACGGGCAGCCAGCACCTTAAATCCATATATGTGGGTACTATCCAGTGCGGTTGATATGGATAGGGAATGTGTATAACGTGGCTTCTCATCCACTGGCTGCTGTTTGATTCTGCAGATCAAGGTTTTTATCCATTCCTTAATTATATTGCGTAGACATATATCCTCTATTATGTCCTGGCATCGAAAGTCGATACTTAATGGCAATTGACGCTGCATAATCAGGCCATAAAGCTCCCAGACCATTCGTAACTTTGCCAAGATAAGGGTATTTACCAGCCAACCTCTAAGGAGTATCCCAGGTTCCGTTAATATCAGATAAAGTCCGTTAAAAATGTTTTCCATATAAGGCCAGAAAAGCATGGTAAATATAATAGTTGTACCAAAAGCTTCTCTTCCAGATCTTTCCAATAAAGGCCACCACATCTGCTGGATGGACTTCAGCAGACCCAAACGCACTATGGGCAATGGGAATCGTTGAAGGGTAAAACCGTGTTGGGTTTTGAAATAAAAAATCCCAGATATGCAGCCCAATATCTGGAGATAGTATCCTTCGACAGGGTCCGCATAGGATGCATATAGCCAGCTGCTTGCAAATGCTACTAACAGTATCGAGAAGAGCAGTGAAAAATGTGTGGGAAAGTCATTGATAATCCTTTTCATTTTTGAGCCATTACATCTGGGATAGGCATAATGCATATGGCACAATATAAGACCATATCCTGCCACAAAAACTCGTATTATAACCATCATTGCCATTGTATATACCGAAAACATAGACCTCTGAAGGGTCATAATTACGGAGTTCAATGTGCTTCTCAATTCAAAAAATTGAGAGGCGAGAAAAATTCCAAGCATCTGGTAATCCAGCAGAAAGCCAAGTATGACAGCGAATACGAAGCGATATTCCAATAGCTTTTGGATCTTGTGCGGCACATAGCTGGGTCCGAACAGCGCTCTTAGTATTATATCCGACCACATAATAACAAACTATATAATATTTTTCGTATTTATGCTTCCGACAGTAGGAATTTATGTACTACTGCTTAGCTGTCAGCAGGGTGAAGGGAGACTTATAACCTCCTTTGATTCAGTTTACTGTCTCAATTGACATAGTTCCCAAGTCAGTTGGCCTGGACATCAATCTATTTAATGGCCTGCCGTTGACCCAACGCACGCCCCCACTGCAACTTTCGCCCCCTTTCTGCAAAAGTTCAAAAGTTTTGATGCCAATTTAAAGTTTTCCCTTAAATACCCTAACCTGAGTACAGCGTCCTTTTGAGATCTATTTTGTGCTAAAATACTTTTGATATATCTGAGTTTCCTGAAGGTCTTACAAAGTCAGTGTCTCTCTCTCTACTTTACGATTTCTCTATTTAAATTTTATTTAAGGGGGTCTTCTCATTCAAAAGCCGTTTTTTGGACCCTTTTTAAAAAAATTCTTATTTGAAAACGCAAAGAATAACTGAAAACTTTTTTTATTTATTGTATGCAAAAATGTTCAAAGTAACTAAAAAAGTTGTTCTTGCCTCGATACGAGGGTTGTTCAAATAGTAATGAGACTTCAAACTTGGTGGTCGAAAAAAAAGGTGTCGTCCTGGCGGCCACGATTCAGGGTCTCCAGAGCGTCCGAAATGAAAAATAAAAACGGGTTTATAATCAGAATAGATGTCATTTTCGGGTGATGGAACAGATTTTTTTTTAAATTTTTTTAAACAAAATGGAAATTTTCGATTTCGGGCTTTTTTTTTGTAGTTTAGTGTAAAAAAAAAAATATTAAAAAAAATTTAAAAAAAAATCTGTTCCGTCACCCGAGAATGGTGACAATTCTGCGTCGATTTCACTTTGTTTCATGAAAATCGGTTCAGTTGAACTGGAGATATCATGGCCGCCAGTTCGAAAAACGTGGTTTCGAGATAAACGCGTTTAAAGTTTGAAAAAAGCCCATTTTGCTTAGACCTTGGTTCCCAAAAATGGCTGTATCTTCTAAAGTATTTCGAATTTCTAAAAATCCTTTTGGGGACATATACACAACATCCCAAGCTATAAATAAATGAACAAAAAAAAATCGAAAAAAAAAGTTGCCCAATGAGAAGACCCCCTTAAGAAAATTACATTCTTTTTTTGAATTTTTGTAATTCAACTTTCTCTAACGTATTGTAGAGCATTTAAATGTCTGCTTCTCTCTTGAATAAAGTTATCCTTTTAGTCGTTATTGTTACCGTTTTTTATGGCTTTACAGGTGACAAGTCAGCCAGGACTAAGTGCAGCTAAAAACAAAGTTGTTGCCGCTGCAGGCACAACATTGCATTTGCAATTGTTTTTTCTTTTTTTTTTGTGGAAGCCAGCCACCTGAGAGGGGATAAAAAGAGGTGGAGCCCGGTTTTTCCGATGCTCTTCTGCTCCCAGCTAAAGTTCTAATTTATGTCGTTAAGTTTGCGCCTGCGAAAGAAAAGTTAGCAGTCGCATTTAATGGTCAAGCTGCAGGCGCAATTTCTAGGGGGGCCCGAGTCGAGAATTCAAACGGGAACTGGACATGGACATGGAAATGGACATGGACATGGTAGAGGATGTTGGATGTTGGGTGTTGCTCCCCTCCGTTTGGCTATTTGGCATTTTAGCCTGTGTGTGACCGCCTAACCCAAAAGCTGGCCGGGAGTGGAGCGAGGCCCGGGGCCAATTAGATTTATGGGATTAGCACAGGTCGTTGGCTATAAAACACTCGCAGGCTTCCAGCGAACAGAGAGCAGAGTCAACGTGAAAATCCGGTACATGGGGATCCCCCCAGGAACACGTATGTACGTATTCGTAAAAACGAAACTGTTTTTGTTTTAAACAAGAAAGGAAGCTAACTTCGGCACGCCGAAGTTTGTATACCCTTGCAGATATTATTTCATTGCATTCTACCTATACTTATTATGTTGAGAGTTTGACAGTTACAGTTTTACATTCCCAGTTTTACATTTTCCCTACACCTACCGATCGGTTTATATGGCAGCTATATGATATAGTTGTCCGATTTTCATAAAATTTATACCAAAATTCTGAACTAATAATATAAGCTTATATCTCAGAGTAGATAAAAATAGTTTGAAAAACAACGAAGTTATAACTTTTTTTCTATTAATTTCCTGCTCGTTCCTATGGCAGCTATATGATATAGTCGTCCGATTTTTATAAAATTTTTACCAAAATTCAGAAATAATATAAAATGGTCATATGTAAAAAATAGTGCACATATGTTGGAAAACAGCAAAGTTATAATTTTTTTTCTAAAAATTTATCGAACATTTGTATGGCAGCTATATGATATAGTCGTCCGATCCGGCCCGTTCCGACATATATAGCAGTGAGAGCATATAGAAGTCTATATGCAAAGTTTCATTCAGATAGCTTTAAAACTGAGGGACTAGTTTGCGTAGAAACAGACAGACGGACAGACGGACAGACAGACAGACGGACAGACAGACAGACGGACAGACAGACAGACGGACAGACGGACATGGCTAGATCGACTCGGCTGTTGATGCTGATCAAGAATATATATACTTTATAGGGTCGGAAACGTCTCCTTCACTGCGTTGCAAACTTCTGACTGAAATTATAATACCCTGCAAGGGTATAAAAAGAAAGAAGTCTATATTTAAAATGGTAAAAAATTATATAATATCTATTATGTATGATATTAAAACTTGATCTTCTTTATTCTTTTTATTTATAAAAATAAGGATTAAGGCACGTTAATCTATTATGATTTTTTATAGATCACTAGTTCAATATTTATTTTCCTGTCTTGAAAGATCTCCAATGTGGTTTCTCGCCGTGCAACACTGCAAACATTTGCATTTGTCTGTCCTGCTGAGCTCCTCCATCTGGTGTCCTCTCTTTCACACTATGTAAAGCTCCCCCTTTCCATTTTGCTCCTGTAAATCCCCCTCAGTCTCTCTTTTCCCCATTTTCCGCACTCCGGGCGCGCTTACCTTCAGTGCACATCCGGTGGGCAACAAAACATTGTTTCATTCCATAAACCGCCGCCAACTTTTGCATCGTCCGTCGGTGGTTGTTTCGCTCTCGCACTCGGCGAGCTTTGTTCCGGTTTACCATTCATTCTTCTTTTACAGGACTCGAGTCCTTGCGCCCACTTTCCGCCAGCCACGCCCCGTCGTCCTGGCCGCCCCTCGTCCTGATTCCCTTGCCATTGAGAGGCCGCGACGATGACGCGTGCTCCTGACCCATTCCAAAACCACGTACCGCCGCACACATTTCCGGACTCAGCCGGACGCTTTTCATACTCTTCACATAGGGAAGGTATTTTAATTTTAGTCATAGGTTTTTGGGAAAACAAATTATCAAATGTTTTTTAAATAAAATCTTAGGATATATCTTTATATTTAAATAACCAAAGAATCTTTGAAGAGTACAATGTTTTAACTATTTCTGAAAGTTAGATTTTTAATAAATTATAAATATCTCAGCTCATTATAACCAAGTTAGTTCTAACCAGCTTTTGATAGTAGGAACTTTTCTCTCTTTCAATTGTACGACCATTCATAATGGCATATTTGACAGGGTATTAAAAACTTCGCTCCCAAATTAACCTTCCTTTTCCCTCCTCCTCTCATGGTGGTGGCTGTTTCGTTTGCTGTTTCTGTATTCTGTTGGCCTGTTGTTGTTGGCTAGTTTTCGATTTTATCGATTTTCATAAAGCTGCTTTTATGGGCGGCATTCAGTGGCAGAAAGTTTGTGCCTGCGTTACTCCAATTAGAGGCACAAAAACACATCCATAAAGCAGAAACGCACACACAGAAGAGAGGCTTGCGGAGATGAACAATTTGGCCGTTGACCAGGTGAAGCGAACATTTCTGGCATTCCAATCGCATTTTCATTGACTTTGCTCCAGCTGCAACTGAGGGCAAATTTTTCGGTATTCGCTTCATAAATTGAGTTTTTACTTTTCCCTCGGACCATAGATATATGTATGTATATATCCCTTTGTAAATGCGTTCAACCGAAAAATAAATATTGCTGTATATGTTTTCCTTTTATGATCGCGATTGGACCACAAATTGAACTAATTCGTGTAGACTTTTGGCTGAAAATACGATTTGATTGGGCGTATGTATTTATTTATCTTTTATACATACTTTACTAAAAGATTATCATACATTTTTCCTAGAAATCAATAAGCTTCATAAATATATCCTATTTTAAATGAATACAACCTTACAGAAATGATTCATTCCTAAAATATTAAGTTTTTAAGCACGTTTAGAATTTCTTTGCTCACTCGGTCAGTAGACCAATTTTAATGACTGTCACACACGTATAGAAACTGCAGCTGCAACTTAAGCTCGACCCAATTCGAGGGCTCAAGTTACTCATCCAAAACTTATAGGATGACACTAAAATAAGAGCTCTGCTTTGCGACTTAATGAAAACTTTTTAATTACAAGGATCAGGACAATAAAAGTTTATGAGGCGAAAAGCCTAGCCTCCCGGCTCACTCCCTCTGCAATTTCTGGCAAATAAATACCAAAGCGTGGCAAAAACTAATAAAACTGAACTTAACTCTCAGCTAGCTTCCAACTATCGTTATATACAGATATATAAAAAAGAGGAAAAAAATAAAACAAATAAGAAAATCTAGTTGAAGTTGAACTGTTTAATGTGTGCGGCAAAAACTTGGCTAATCCCTTCAAAACGAACAAATAAAAGAGGGCCAATAAATAGGGAAAGATGAGACTGTTGCGCTTTTTTTTGGCACAAAGTTTTGTAAATATTTTGAGAGCAGCGAAAGAGGGAATGTCAGGACATGGCAAGGATTCAGGAACTTTGGGTTTTGACGGTGACAGGCTAGCGAAATGGCAAATCGATTTCCAAATGCAACCCCTGAGCCTGCAGGGGCTAATATTCAAATGAAATTCCCGTGCATTGAACCCAAATCAGGAGTACAAGGTGTGAATTTGCCTGCCATCCAAGGAGCAGGAGCAGGAGGATGAACGGGAGCTGTTGTGGAGCAGCGGCAGGATGTGAATTGGTTGGCAGGAAGCAGCTTCGAGCCAGCAGCCAGATAAATATAAACACGAAAGTGGAGCAGGCAAAGCTGTAGCCGCAATAACTGTCTTGGGAGATACAATTCCCCTAAAGCAAACCAAGTCCACACTGATACCTACGATTTTTACTTTATTTCTTGCTTTTTTAATTAAATGTTGTGATAAATTTGTAAATAATTGAATATATTTTCATAAAACCAATCATTAAATAATTTGATAAGACGTTGATAAATCTAATAATTGTTAAAGAATTAAGCTAACCAGAGGTAAAGGCACCTCGATTTGTATGTACTTCTTGTGGTTTTAATTTTTAATAAACATTTTCTGTATCAATTTCTTGA